TCCTCATTGGTTAGAGTAGGCCTTTGTGACACCCTCCTCGTTAAAAATGCCTCAGTAATGCTGGGTCAACTGATCAACTTCAGTCATACAACAGCGCATATGGACATTATCACTGCATGTGGATTTTTTGATCCAAGCCAAATTTAGTGAATAAAGCAAGTATGGCAAGAAGAGAAAAGAATAGTTTGGAGGATGAGAAAACCAAAGTCGTAGACCCTTTTCTGATATCGAAAAAGCAGCTACTGATGCAACTAGTCAACAGAGAAAAGCCTATCCTCGATCAAACCCCTGTTTGTTTGTCTGTCTTTTTGTTACCTCCACCAAGGAGGTTATGTTTTCATCCCTGTTTGTTTGTCTGTCTGACTGTCTGTCTGTCTGTCTGTCTGCCTGTCTGTCTGTTTGTTTGTTTGTTTGTCATCAACATAACTCAAAAAGTAACGTGCCGATTTTGATGAAATTTTCAGGGTAGGTCAGAAATGGGTTATATTTGAAGTGATTAGTTTTTGGTGGTGATCAAGATCAATAATCAATCAATTATCATTAATAAAAAAAACTCAAAAAATTATGGACCAATTTTTTTGAAATTTTCAGAAACTGTCGCAAGTGGGCCAAGGAACAGATTATTCGTTTTTGGTGGGGATCTGGATCAATAATCAATCAAAAATCAAAAACCAAAAAACTAAATCATTATGGAATGAAAATTGGGTGGAGATTTCGCTCTCGGAGTGCTTATCTAGTTGAATTTAATGATTTTGAATTTAAGTAGGCATGTTGGCTTATATAGTCCTCCGTGGAGCTGATTTTCACAACAGAAATGTACACGACGGCTGCTTAAGGAAGACTAAAAGTAACTCCAGACCAACCTTACATTTTAAGGAATCCTCAGCCGAAAATAAAGGAAATTTTTAAGCAAAGGCAGATTCTAGAAATGACCGATTCCTTTGCTAAGGATGATTGTTAGGTGATTCCTTTCAAGTGAGATAAAGAAAGGTCTTGGAATACAAATGTTGTATAAGGTCGACTTTAAGTCTCCCTTAACACTAAAGGGAGATTCTGGAATACGGGCCCAGGTCTTTTTATGCTGTCAAGGCTTAGGTATGTGAACCGTGCAGCGACTTAGCTTTGCATGGGCCACGTAGTTGCAGGTTAAGGTTAGCGAAATAACTGTTCAAAGAAAGCTCCATGTTTCAAGAATTCACACCAGGTTTTNGTCCTCCGTGGAGCTGATTTTCACAACAGAAATGTACACGACGGCTGCTTAAGGAAGACTAAAAGTAACTCCAGACCAACCTTACATTTTAAGGAATCCTCAGCCGAAAATAAAGGAAATCTTTAAGCAAAGGCAGATTCTAGAAATGACCGATTCCTTTGCTAAGGATGATTGTTAGGTGATTCCTTTCAAGTGAGATAAAGAAAGGTCTTGGAATACAAATGTTGTATAAGGTCGACTTTAAGTCTCCCTTAACACTAAAGGGAGATTCTGGAATACGGGCCCAGGTCTTTTTATGCTGTCAAGGCTTAGGTATGTGAACCGTGCAGCGACTGAACCATGAAGATTTTTTTTTAGCATCCCATGTCACTTCTCTTTGTTTGTTTACCAAGCTGATAAATGTTTTTCTTCTGGTAAAACCTGGTGTGAATTCTTGAAACATGGAGCTTTCTTTGAACAGTTATTTCGCTAACCTTAACCTGCAACTACGTGGCCAATCCAAATATAATCCAAAATGTCTGGGCCAACGTAACCCCCAGTTAATAACTGAACCTTTAGAAGTCTGTGTCCAGAAAGACGGTGGCCATATTGAGATCACGTGGCTATCCTGACATAATAACGTGTAATGTAAGGACAAAGCATTGGTCTGTAAACCTTTAGTAATATATATATATATATATATATATATATATATATATATATATATATATATATATATATATATATATATATATATATTTACTTGACATAACAAGTTTTCAATAAATTACTAATTTAAAAAAAAACAACAAACAACCCCAGCTGTTGTGTACCTTCAAGCAAAATGGTGCAATATACTTTTGTCACACCTCTGTACATAAAATCATGACTGACATTAGTTTATATACAGCATGAACTCTGTTTCAAAAATTAATGCTTTTAAACACATTGTATTCCATTTCCTTAACTATGAGCCAAACTAACCCCGCAGTCACCATATAAGAAAGATCATTAACTAACAGAACGATATGTTAAAATAATAACGTGAAAATCGGACTAAGAAACATGCGGCGTAGGCACCGTCCACCTGCCATCAAGCTTATTTTTAGCACGCCACACAGATTTAGTGCCAAGGGCAGATATCCTCTTCATCTGTCAGTTGCGCAAAACACTCTCTGCAACTCACAGTGTGTTGAGTAGAGTTGTGATATTAATTATCACACTTATATCTCTTTTAGGATTATAACAAATTTTTGATAATACCAGTATACATGTACATGTATCACTCAACTGCAAGTTGACGTTGACGTTCTTCAAGATTATTATGTACAGGTTCACCGAAACGATTTCTCGACATTTACTAGTATATGTGATTTTGATTTTATAAGTAGGGTATTGTTTTTTAAAAAATTGTTGCCTATGATGGTGGAACTTGTAAATTTCACTCGTAACAGTAAAAATGAAAATTTACATCTCGAAAGCAAGTTCATAAATCACCATTTTATCAACAGTTTTGGAAACAATGTAGGATAGTGATTAAGGTAGATTGTTGGGATTTCCAGGAAAATTAATTTTTGTTGGCTCGTATATAAAGGCCTCACATACATTGTACAAGGCCCTATGCCTTTTAACTTCGTGAATCTAAACAGGTTTATACAGGCATTATAAACGGATTAGGCGTTTACTAACACTACCCGGAGATCTTTTAGTACTAACGCCCACATTAATCACCAAACCCACGAATTAATCAACACACCGTACAATAATTTAGCACCAACAGAGCGATACCTAGCACTAAAATTCATCCGCGGTGGTAGTGCTGGTTAATTTGAGGGTTTGGTGGTTAATATGGGTGTTGGTGCTAAAAGATCTGCGAGTAGTGTTAGTAAACGTCTAATCCGTTTATAAGGCCTGTTATGCTAAAAGTGATTATCCAATGCACACTACACACGTGTAGTCACCTACTAGTCAAGACATGGCACGCTACCGTAATGGCCAACGGGCATAGCTGCAGCTGTGGTTTGGCTCCCACTATTTTGATAATATTGATATTAAGTTCTGTTATTCTTTTGAATGCATGTAGAGTATGAGGTAGGGTCTACATGTACTAGCACGCGTATGTTCTCTTGCAACTGTGAATGACATTGTGGGATGATAAGACGGTATAGAAACAAGGAGACGATCACAGCTAGACCTTTTTATTTAACATTGTGTAAAAAAATAATACCGCCAATATAAATATTCTTTCATTTTGGTGACTGTATATCCACAGACAGGCATGGATTGTTATTGGCTTGACTTGGCAGGTATCTTTGATAGCCTACTATTCGATTGACAAGTGCGTGGGGGAGACGCATAGTTTACTATCACGCAGGCAAGGCGAGCTCCGTTGCCGAGAAAATGCATTGAATTCCTAGATTTGATGGTTTATGGAACAATAACAAAACACAAAAAGCTGCAAAAACACTGAAAAGTGTTTGGTTAAATGGACGCGCCTGAGTGTGTGGAGTGGTTGGGAGGGAGGGAGGGGAGGGAGGGGAGAGAGGTTCCAAATATTCTATCGCAAATTGCTTTTTATTTCCAATGTAGATTGATTTAAAACAATTTTGATACATGAGCCTTAATTTTCTTGTCTACTTAAATTATATTTGGTATTTCTTGGAACATCAGACCAACGGATCGACCTACCCAGCAGGCATAGTGACGTAGGATCAATGTTGAAAACAGGTTGATACGTTGAATTGCCGTTAATCTACCTAAATTCAACGTAAAATCAACGTTGATCCAGCCACGTCAAAACACTGCCATAATATGACGCGTACGTTGATTCAACGTTGTATTTTGGTCATTGACACAACCTTGCAGACATGGATTGTAATTTAAAATATTAATTATTGAAAACGTGATACTTTGTTTATCAATACTGTAACTAACTTTATCAAAATAATAAAAAATGTGTTTTAAAGTAAAAGTGACAGTTGTTTTGTGTCTTTAGTGAATTTTCTTAACTTGTTATTCAGAAATACATTCCAATAAACTTCCTTGCAAGGTCAGCTAACACTAGGATGAATAAGTCGCTGTAAATGTGATGGAGTGAAGTTAATAAAGTTGACAGTTCTCGGTACCCTGTTATAGATAGATAGGTAGGCCCTAGAGGTAGATAACCGCTCCTTGGCGTGGGGTTCGGGGCCGCTGAAGGGCCGCGGAAATTTTCGGTATCTTAGAAGGTGAACGGTGTCATTTGGTGCGGTGTAGAACTATGGTTCAGCTGTTAAAATTCTAATTTCAAGTTTTTTTTTCAGAAATTATAGGGAGGTGGCGGGTCAGGGCCCCTCTGGCACCCCCTTAAATCCACCACTGTTGCACTATTGTCATACATATGTAGGCTACTGGTGGAAAGAGTCTCTTGCAAGTGTTTTTATTTGGAATCCGAAGAGAAATCGGTAAAGCCCCCTTTACACTGGACGGCGTCCTTTCTGCGTCCAGCAGTCCGGAACCATTTGAGAGTTTAAAAATTATAATATTTTACGTGCCGACAACTGGCCGATCATTGAGCATTCATTCTGATACAAAATTAATGCTCGTGCCTCCTTATTAAGACCACAGCGATGCCAAATTTCATGGTCGCAGAGAGGACGCAGAAAGGACGCCGTCCAGTGTAAAGGGGGTATAACGCGAAGGGGCCTATTATTACGCCTTTCTTTTTCTTTCTCTCTTCAACGTTGGAGTCTCGTTATCACTGCCAAATTAATGTAACAAAGGTATATATTCAAATTTTAGAACGAGACTAGGGAAATGTGAATTTTGAGATACAGGAGAAATACCTTCTAAAGGAGAGTAATATTGTATAATAAGCATTCGGTCGATTCAATTCTTATTTAGTACGTGTGTTTATGCTACATCTTAATATTTAATTATATTACCATGTTTGGATTAACACATGTTTATGATGTAAGCGACTACATACAGATTTCAATATGGCGCTGTCCATGCCACGTCGGAGAGATAAGGTACGGCAATATTTCTAAATACCTCATTCTCATAATGGTGAAAGAAAGGGCATTTGAATAGACATAGTACATTGAACACAATACCGTGCTTAGATCACTAACCTCATTCTCTGATAATTAGGTATTGTAAAAAGAGTCTGTCAGCTTCATTATTTTGCTAAGTTTGCTTCAGTCGTCGGCCTTACACGTAAGCAATACATGCTACGCAGCATTTTAAAGCCGAAATCATTAGACAGCTTTTTCGTTGTGCATGCATATCAAACGATTAATGTCTGAATACGAATACAGTACAAAAATAAACATTTTTGACAATGCGAAACGATGTCACTTAATCACACAATCAGATTCTTAGCCTGCAGATCTGCTACACCTTTAAACTGGGCATGAAATTTTGTCTAAAAGTATACTTTTAGGTGTCAAGGATAACCTGCCCGTCTGCTTTGAAATTGAAATTTGAGAACAAGTTCAAAATGCAGTGTCTTATAAAAATATCTTGGCCTTATCATCTCTGATGACTAAAAGAGGAGTCGGCGACAATTGTAGGGTTGTGGAGTAAAGGCTGAGAAAAAATGCTTTGGGGGAAGGGCTCTGCTGTTGAATTGTTGAAGGCTTGCATTACAGTACCAGTATATGCAAACAGATCAATTGTACTGCCTTTGGTACTCATCTAAACGCTGACTAAAATAAACGTTAGACTCTCCCGTTGGACTTGGAAAAATGTAATGACAAAAAGTTCCGCTTTTCCCCACAAAAATCTCTGTGTGTGTGTGTGTGTGTGTGTGTGTGTGTGTGTGTGTGTGTGTGTGTGTGTGTATGGGGGTGACAGAATTCAACAAATATAGCTATAAAAACTATTAGATCCATAAACTATAGCTTCAAGTCCACTATCTGCCATTATCTGACATAGTGGGGTTACAGTTAAGTGCTACAACAAGATTACATTATGTTGTATAAGTTGGTAGCCTGCCTACTGGTAGTTGCTTTGCCTGTCTTAGGCTTCTAACCCCCCCCCCTAAAAAAAAAGTGCAATTATTTTAATGACTGTAACTATGCATTAAGTGCATGTGATTTTGGTCATGCTGGAAACACATTTTGCATGTTTTTGGGAACATTTTTGCATATATATTTTTTATTTTTCCTGTTTTTCTTATTTCTAGGTTTGAGTCAACATAATCCAGTTGCTTTACCAAATCTGAATACGATTATTTAAACCAGTCTTCTGCAAAAGTAAAAACATGGCACAGAGGTGAACTCTAACTCTCAGCCTGTGTAAATAATTTCCACCAGCTTGTACAAAGAAGGAGAGAAGAATTCCTGTAAAATTGCATCTGACCAATTTGAATATTAGTGGAAAGCTCCTATTATACTATCAGATAAACCACAAAATGTTTTGGAAAACATCCAGCACAGTAGCACTGTGCTCTGCAGCAAACTTTATCAATGCAGCAGACAGGGTCATTATGCCTATTGCCATCATACAAATGACCGATGAATTCAAGTGGGATCTCCATGGTCAGGGATGGGTTCTAAGCTCCTTTGCAATAGGTTACATGAGTAGTCAGGTATGGATTTTCTTTTCTTTTTTTTTATAATTCATCAATTTTCATTCACAGATACATTTAAGTTTGACTGTGACTTAACCTTACTTTTTATATATGAACAAGTTCGAAAAGATCGTCGAAACTGCAGGGATTGTAATTGGAACAGATCTAACTCCCGTCCATACTATATATCTAGACAGGACTAAAAAGAAAACATTATCAATAATGACAGACAGTTCCCATCCAGCCCATACCCTTTTTAAATTTTTACCTAGCAATTCGAGACTCTTAGCTTTTAAGGGTAGTAAGCGATTTTTAAATAGTTTTTATCCTTCGGCAGTAACTATTTTTAACTCTAACATGTAATTTTAATTTTCATTTTTTATATTTCAATGGCGCTACTACAGGGCAAAATATTCCCGATTTTATACATTTGTATTTTATTGGCTTAATAAATTATTATTATTATTATTATTATTAACACTATGTGCATTTGTTAAGTATTATTTTATTTAATATTTGTACAATACACAAGATAGTCTAGAGTCCAGTTTACATATATTGTAAGAATTTTTGATTACTTTTGTTGCATGTAAATGTTGTTTATGTTATTTATAAGTATTTTTTTTGTAATAGGTGATAGGAGGTAGTGCAGCTAAGAAATATGGTGGCAAATACATGCTTGCACTAGCTGTGTTCATGTGGTCCCTGTCAACACTTCTCACACCACTTTTTGCTCACTCTTTTTATGCCCTTTTTCTGTCTAGAGTTGTATTGGGCATAGGAGAAGGAATAGGTAAGTATTGTACAGACAAAGTTGAGAGAAGTGTACAAGTGCTGTGTGTTCAGCTTTAAATGTAGGATTGTCAGGTGTCTGCTTAGGATGTGCAACATTTCATCTAAATGTTGGACTTTCCTCTTTAATAATTACTTTGAAAAAAGTTGTACTCATGGCACTATACTTCTGTAAACCCTGCTTTACAAAAGGTTAGAAATTTCAATGTACAGTAGTCATTTCATAAGTTGTCACTTGAAACAGCTCAGTGATTGGGAAGGTTCAAACCACCCATGGGACAATGGCCCCTCCTGGGTCACCCTTAATGGGCCATTTTGCATATCAATGGGCCATTGCTTGACATTTATGGGCCATTTTTAAACATGACAAATATATTTGAAATATCTGTATCAATATTTTTGGGAATAATATGATAAGGTTTTGCAGTTAAACTTTGTTAATATATTTATTTAGTTAAGACTTTTATTTGTCTTTTTCAATAAAACCATTACAATGCCTTCTTTACTGAACTTATTTGAAGACTAAATGAAAAAACAAAATGATCAGAAAACATGTAATACTCATTAGTAATTGGTTTTTATTTGATGAAACCATCAACAAGAGGTAAAGAATCTAGATCTCTGAAAACCTTGTTTACCCAAAACTGAGAAAATGTAAATGAAATTGTCCTCACATACTGTCTAGTACTTATTAATCAGTCTTACTGAAAAGAGATTTCATTACTTAATGAAGTAATCTCTTTTTCCTGCGCCACACATTCAGTGCATCCTCATAACTTATCTTACTCCCAAGAATCTTAACTCTTACACTGTTCGCAGAACATTTTCGTTTGGGTGCTGTCGTACTGGAGCTAGGGCCATAGTTGAAACCATCGGGGTTGGAAACCTCGTGCGACCTGAGAGTGAGAGGTGCTAGCACTAGCAGTAACACTACTGTCAGTGTCACTACTACTCGTCGTAGTGCAAGGAGCGCTGCTCTCAGAAGTTGGTACATTTTCTTCCCCCATCTCCTTTGAGACTTCTTCCTGAACGTTGGACGGACCCTTAGATGAAGCGGTTGAAGTAAATAAACTAACTAATGTAGGCTGGTCTGGCGAGATTTTAAAAATCTTTTTCGGCAGCATTTTTCTTTTCACTTCATCAAAGTGCTGCTTGAAAAAATCCCATGTGCTTTCAGAACGAAAAGCAAAGTTACTTCTAATTGGATAAACATGACCTATAAACTGATTGGCCAATAAGATATCAGCTTTTATTTCATTAGCATATCTATTGGGACGATGAGCTCATTGCTCTCGGCACAGGCAAACTTCGGCGATTGCGTTCGATAGCTTCCGAATTCGTTCCTGAGACGTCTTCAGGTATGAGAGGAAAATTACGCTAATCAGTTGATGAATATTTTATTGACGAGTAGACTCTTTTTAAAAACGCCAGGTATAACAAAATCACGCACCCTTATGACGCTCAAACAGGGCTTTTTATGCGTCCAGTTGCGATTCTATGCGCGTATGGCGCAATGGCGCGTTCCTTCCCAATCACTGCAACTGGTTGGAAATGCTAATCAAACTTATCAATTTTATATTGACTAATAGTTGGTCTTTGCCACAATGAAAATATTCAAAACAGGAGTAGATCATCATCAGTTTTAATTAAATTTGTGTTTTAGGTCTCCCTACAGTTTTCCATATATTTGCTCACACCATCCATCAAGATGAAAGGTCACGGGCATTTGGTTATCTTGTAGCACTTGGTTCTATAGGACAAACAATAGCAGCAATAGTAAGTTACACTGGACTTTGCATTTAAGGTACAGTCTTAATGGAAAAATTGCAACAGACTTAAGAAGTAATTTTTGTTTTACTGTCCTTTGTTATGCAATGTGATCATGATAATGTTTAATCATCAGAAATTTGTAAGACTACAGAAGTGATATCAACTTTAGCTTCAAGTTGATAGAAAAATACAGCACAGGAAATGAACACTGCATATTTCAGGTTTATTAAATTTTCTTTATGTCTGTTTCTAGGTATGTCCACATTTGCCCTGGAGATACATGTTTTACTTGTTTGGCTCATTAGGCTTTGTATGGGTTGCACTATGGTTAGTTCTTTATAAGGAAATGAGGGGACCAGATGAAGAGGAATTTGTGGACCCACCTAAGGTAGTACATTTAGATTGTGCCATCTTTGAAATATTTTCCTTTTTATGTACAGACACAGNAGTTACACTGGACTTTGCATTTAAGGTACAGTCTTAATGGAAAAATTGCAACAGAATTAAGAAGTAATTTTTGTTTTACTGTCCTTTGTTATGCAATGTGATCATGATAATGTTTAATCATCAGAAATTTGTAAGACTACAGAAGTGATATCAACTTTAGCTTCAAGTTGATAGAAAAATACAGCACAGGAAATGAACACTGCATATTTCAGGTTTATTAAATTTTCTTTATGTCTGTTTCTAGGTATGTCCACATTTGCCCTGGAGATACATGTTTTACTTGTTTGGCTCATTAGGCTTTGTATGGGTTGCACTATGGTTAGTTCTTTATAAGGAAATGAGGGGACCAGATGAAGAGGAATTTGTGGACCCACCTAAGGTAGTACATTTAGATTGTGCCATCTTTGAAATATTTTCCTTGTTTAAATAAGATTTATTGGGTGTTATTTATGGTATGATAAAGTTGGAATGAAGGCACGAACCAGATTTTGAGTAGATGCAAATTATACATGTGCACTGAGTTAGCAGCTATGTTACTGTTATTTTGTCTAAAATTTGTGTTGCTTACAAGTGAAAATTTTGTCATTCAGAAATAATTACAACTTAAGTAATGGTGCGAAGAAGTCTGTTGTTTCCTTGCCTTTAGCTTGTTGAATCAACAACATAATTTTATATCTTTATTTTTCAACAGGTGACAAGTTCCAATGTTATGTGGACGGAATTTATTAGCCATTGGCCTCTTTGGTCACTGTATATAGCTCACTTTAGCATGAATTGGGCAAATTATATTATAATGCAGTGGTTGCCTACATATATGACACGGACGTTGGGAGCAGCTAGTAGTGACATAATGTATACTGCAGTGCCATATATAATGAATTCCATAGTTGGGGTTGGTAAGTGGCATTAAAAGTGCAAGTAAGGATAATTTTAAAAATTTCTCTTGGGAATTTTCAGAATTGTGAAATCTGTTATATAAATAATTTTAATACTTTTTTTAGTCCAATGTAGAAAAAAATTGATTCCTAAATAGTTAAAAATTTTGAACATAAATTGTGCTTTATAATAATACAACAGCACAGTATTTATTGTACCACCAGAATGGTGCTGGCGGTACACATGGTTTTGTCTGAAGGCTCCACTGCCATATCACCATTACTGCTTTTCCTCCTAGACTACAAGAGCCTGTGTACCCATCTCTTGTATGTAGATCACGTATAATATCAACTCTTTCCATGGAAATTTTGGGCTTTGTTGGTGCACTGGTCCAAAATTTGCAAAATTTAATGCTTAATATCTCCCAAACTGAAGGAATTATGGGAAAAGTTACTACAGATGGATGACCAAAACTCATGTGGATATTTCAAGTATGTCCTTGGGTTTGACCTTTCACCTTTATTTCAAGGTCAAACGGGCCAAAATTTTCTAAAAAATGTTGTTTTTTTTTGCAAAAAAAAAAAAAAAAAAAAAAAAAAAATATATATATATATATATATATATATATATATATATATATATATATATATTATATATATATATATTTTTTTTTTTTGTGCCAATTTTCAAAAACTACCCAGACCTAACCTATAATATTATGGGCAGGTGTTACACTTAGGGTCATCTTTCATTTTCTTGTTTTTGGGGTCAATCGGTGCATTATCACGGGAGAAGCAAATTTTCCGTCCCTAATAATCCCAAAACTGGCAGAGATATGTCCGTAGTTACTTGAAAAGGAACTCGTATACTGAAAATATTCCTGTGCCCTTGAATTTTACCTTTGGCCTACTTTTTACCATAAACTGAACTTTGCAAATTTTGCGACACTTAAATCTCCAAAACTGAATGGGAAGTCATATGTTAGCAATCCTCCTGTGACCTTGAATTTCACCTTTGACCTACTTTTCATCGTGAACTGCCTTTTGCAAATTTTCTGACCCATGTATCTCCAAAACTGGTAGAGGTATGCCCACTGTTGAACTTGAATAGTCAATGTTACTATGACCTTGGATTTGGCCTTTAACCTTCTTTTCGCCATGAACTGCTCTTTGCAAATTTAGAGATGTGCCCATAGTTATTACTGAACTTGATTAGGAATTGGTAATCTTACTGTGACCTTGAATTTGATCTTTGACCTAATTTTCACCATGAACCGAACTTTGCAAATGTCCAAGCTCTTATATTTATTATTGAACTAGGATGGGAAGTCCTATATTCACAATCTTACTTCAAGATTGGGTTTGACCACTTACTTTTTTCTACGATTTTGTTATAAATTGGTATTTTTCTAAAAAAAATTGAAAAATCTGGTTAACTGCATTTTGTAGAGCTTGTCAAGCACAACACTAGAGGCTGTGTCCTTTTTTTGGTTTTATTTTGTTGTTGCTTTCCACACAAATGCACTTATCCCCGCTAGTGGTACAATGCCCATAGGCAGTATCACCTTTCTGACTCTCTAGTTTTTTTAAATTTTACATTTTAAAAGTCTACAAATACAAATATCATGATAAAATCACCATACAATTATTATTGTGCCACCAGCTTAAAGCTGGAGGTTCTTCAGATTTCCCCTGCACAGTCTGCTCTACAAATGTGTTTCTTGTAATTCATTAATTTTGCATTTAGATGTGATTTAGGACAGAAAATTTTGCATCACTACCAGAAGTAGAAATGTAAAACATATTGACTCACCCAAGCTCAAGCTCTACACTGTACAGGCTTTCAGACGTTTATATCAAGTAGCAAAAACTATAGATAATGTTAAATTGGGCTCTTATAAATAAGTAATGATTAGCTAAATAGTATTTGGTGGTCATCATGCCCTAAATTCGGCATAAGGTTAGAACCACACAGACTATTAACCCTCCACTCAAATTTATTATGTATGCAAAAGCTTATTTAAGATAAAGGGGAACATTGATGTTATGAAGTACTTGGATAAAATGGAATTTGATATTCCTTTTTATTTTTATCTCTTGATCCACAGGAGTGAAGCTTCAATTGATTTGCAACACAAAACCCAGCTTTGTATTGCTCCATTGCTCATCATGAATTTTTAATCTTTATATGAATTATTGTTATTGAAGTCGGTCACATCTGGGATATCCCTGGGGTCATTTTGTGTTGCAGTTACAGCTATTCATATTAATATCTCTTTGGTGCCTAGTTCAGTGGCTTTTATTTCTGATTCAGTTAAACACCAATATCACTGTAATAGGCATGAGCTTTTCCACTGAATTCAGTGAATTTTAAAGAGTTCTGAAGGTGTTGGTTCCACAATTACTGTTCATATTAAAAAAAAAAAAAAATCAGGCTCATGTCTGCTGTAGCCATGGTTTGTAATACTGATTTAATATTTAAAAAAATTTATTGAACATTCTCTCGACTTTTGAAATGATGTTACATAACATAACATTGCATTACATTATACTATATTACATTACATTACATTACATTACGATGCATTATATTTTAGTGGAATAAAGGCTATGCTGTTGCCTATAAGGGCCAGCTCACATGACTCCATCTGGAATACTTCTAAACAAGTACAAATTATTATACTTTTTTCATGGGTTTTATTTAGAAAAACCAAGAAAATTATTTAAAGTTTAAGCTATTTTTTTATTTCTTTAGTTTTTCTTCTATTTGCTTTGCAGTTTATTTTATTTACTGTGAATACTGGTTCAATACATGCCTCAATGTGTTTGTAATTCTCTTTTAAAAATCTAAATGTAGCTGGTGATACATAACAAGGAGCAACCCATGCCCCTCTAATTTTTTTTTCGTTCCATGTTCTGTCATTTTTTAGCTGCAGGTCATTTTGCTGATTCTCTTATTGCCAAAAAATGGACCATATTATCAGTGCGGCGTCTGATGACTTGTTTAGGGCTATTGGGTCCAGGGTTATTCTTACTCCTCTTTAGTGCTGTATATAATGTGCCTTTGGCCATCATGTAAGTGTTTTATAAATACAGTTAGAAATGCATTTTTTTCTCAGTGACCTTCCAAGTCAGTAGATATCAAGATTAAGTGGTCTAGCAAAAGTAAAAAAAAAAATAAATAAAACTATAGTATCACTTAATAGCTCTTTTGTAAAAAAATCAATCATTACCATACTGTCCTCTGAGATAATAATTTGATCCATCACTATCTGATTAAAATTGTACCCATTGGCTATAATTTCTACAATTATTGTTGCATGTCATTTGGCTTGAGTATTTTTTGATGTTTTGTAGCTATTGTGCATATACTATGCACCAAAGTCTGATACAGAAAGTGATAGCTGTATTTATTTTTGCCTTTTCAGATTTATCTCCATTTCTATGTCATTAAGTGCATGTAATTCATCAGGCCACTTAAGCAATCACGCAGAGGTGGCACCCAACCACGCAGGGATCACATTTGCTATATCTAATACTCTTGTAAGTATTTTATAGAGCAGAATTACCAGCACTCTATTTCAAATTGATATCACTCTTTTATTTCATTTTGCCATTTAGGGAACTGGGGTTTTAGAACCAATCTACCTGCATGTGAAACTCTCTTTATTTTGGAAAGTTAATATAGTTAGCTACATGTATCTGGTATTAGTAGTCCTTGGACATAGAAATGAAGGGACTAGAAATGCGAAGCAAGATCAAAGGATAATCGGCTTAACGCCACCCTGAGCTTCAGAGATAACTTGACACTTACCTCTTCACAATAGCCTATCTTCATCGTGTCAAGTTATCTCTGACGAAAATAGTTTGACCTAGTTTATATAAGCCAATCGAATCCAAGTTTCAAAATTTTTCACCAAAGTTTGGTGAAAACGCTGATTGGTTGACCGTCAATCGGTAATCCTCAGCTGATTCCGCAAGCTCCATACTAACAACAAAGTTATTGTCGAGTGCGGAGACATCCGAGTAGTTCCGAGTGCATAACCGTACACAAAGAAAGCATGGCGTCTCCTACAAGTGACTACGTAAAATAATGTGTTAAGTTATCTCTTGATAGCCACAGGCTACGGCAAGCCCCTGATATTCAGCCTTATCTTTGATTGGTCCGGATTTGAACAAAGCGCGCTTTGACTCGTTCGCGTTCATTGGCTAGATCGTTCAATGAGTCATTGAGTGCGGGATTTAAATTTGATTGGCGGGCGGCGGGAGCAATCGAATGTGGTCAGAGGTAACTTGACACGATGAAGATAGGCTATTGTGAAGAGGTAAGTGTCAAGTTATCTCTGAAGCTCAGGGTGCTTAACGCGAGCTCTTTGTGAAACCATGTGGGTTCAGATCACGTGACCTCCCATACAGGTAGCGAGCACATCGTGGTTGTCTATGACTTTTTGTGGCATTTGGACAGGTAGATGGCGATAATGTGAGGCTGTCAGCAATGCTGTATCATAGCAACCACAAGGGACTGTGAGAAATTGCGTTATCAGTGCAAAAGAACAATAAAAATTCACTGAGGCACAGTGCGCGAGACCTTGATAACAAGCTGTTCAGGCTATCAAAACAGCTTATCTGAGACAATGGGCGAATGTTTACCCGAATGCACATCTTCAAAGGAAGATGCCGCATTTCAAGTCCCTTCATTATTATGTCCAAGAGTAGTCTAAGCTTAGCCCAAGGACTCAAGACATTTGATAAAGTAAGTTCCTAGATATTACTTCAACTCATGATCAAAGTTTTGGACTATCTGTTATTCTTTTTGTACAACTTTGTAAGGTTAACTCTTGCAGTTTTCAATTAATTCCAACCAAACTTCATGCATGAAGACCACAACATGAATGTGCACCTGGGTAATCTTTTACTGATAAAAAAACAATCTTTCAAAGAATTCTAATGAGCAAGTGGAACTCAACAATTGCATTTGCATTTTCGTTCAGTCATCTCTTTATATATTTTTGTGTTAATTTCTCTAAAATCATACATGAAAACCTGAACATGTAGTTGTGCATCTGGATTTGAAACTCATGCCATAATATATATTATATAGAAGTTGCAGAACAGTGGAATTACTCCAAACAATTCAAAGTGAAATTGCAAAGAGGTAAAGGCAGATGTATTAGGTAAACAAGTTTGGGTATAACATAAATTTGAAAAGAGGATAGTACCTATTTATAAGTATGAAAGTGGATAAACATAACTGCACCCTGGCCAGTTCTGATAAATATTCTCCATGTCTGTAGATCTGTGGAAAAGGTCTGTCAGTCCATGCCCCATCCATGTAACTCATGAAAAAGTTAACTTTGGAAAGGAGTGGTTTCATCTTGTAACACAAACTTCTTATATTATGGGCCTCTTGAATGAGATGGTAAACGAGGAAATTACTTCTATTTTGCAAGAAGTGTTTGAGCAAAAAATCATGCTCTAGATCATAAAGAAGTTAAAGTTTGCATGACATTTTGTGAGTGTCCATAAAATTATTGCTACTTTTTTGTGTTGAATGTTTATTTGTTGTGCAAGTTGTACAAGCTGTTGCTACATTACTGTTTATTTTCATGTTTGATAATTTTTGTTCCATCTCACTTAACATTGAAAAAGTTTAATTTATGACTTTTAGACCATGATTTATGGAGTGAACCTACAGGTGTTAATGTTAAACATTAAATTTTGTCATTATCTGAGCAATCACAACTCTCAGTCATCAGTTTTTCCTTTTGATTTATAAGGTTACTAATGAATTATTTCCAGGCAACAATCCCTGGCATTTTATGTGGACCTCTGACAGCAGAACTGGTAACACAGTCACATGGACGATGGTTCCCTGTCTTCATTTTGGCAGCACTCATCAACTTTGTAGGGGCAATCATTTACCAGAGTCAGAGTTCTTCAAGTCAAGTCATATGACCCTTTTTTAAACAATGGTTCACATTGTAAAGAAAAAAAAAAACAGTATTTTAGCTATCCTTCCAAGAAGCACTCATTAAATGTGTGGGGCAATCATTTACCAGTTCTCTAATCAAATGATACATGTATAATGTTCATTATGAAAAGAGTCAACATGTTCTTTGGGGGCATTGCAGAGCTGTAACTATGAATTTGCCACTTAATATACATGCTGTAAAAATATTAATATACTGGCTTAAAGTAGAGTTCAAAGCGTTATGGTTACCCTAGATATATTGCAAGTAAATGTTATCAAGTAATATAGCACAGGCCTCACAACATACTTTCAGAATGCCAAAGACAAACGGAACTGCCTGATGTATTGAAAATATTGGACCACATATATTGATATGTTACATATTTACTTGAATATGATATCGTTGATACTAAGAAATCTACAATACAGAATTGGAAAGCACTGTATTGTGCAGTAAAGTTTCTAAATCACTATAATTACATGCATGTACTGAGTATGTATATAGAACAGTAATCTCAGCAAAAGGGATGAAAATGGTCACTTTTGAATCTGTGATTTTATGTATATGGGAGGTTTTTCATATAATTGAGGTGGTCAAGGCATAAAAGTATCAGTAAATTGTGCAAATGGAAGTTTATAATATTAGTGCAGAAGAATTATTTCTGATATTTAACTTGCTCTGAACATTGTTGTGGCAAATGCTTTATCAGCACAGCACTTGTTTATTCTTTTTATTATTAAGTTTTGATGCACCATTGGTGTTATTGAAGTAAGGAATAATAATAAAATAGGTGGCTAATACATGGGGTTTATATTAGTACTTTTCTACTAATTAGATTGCTAAACCAAAATATATTTTGATGACATAGGCTGAATATTTTTATGAAAAGGTGCTTGGTTTTAGGTCTGTACATTTCAGCATATTAAGCTGCAGGAGACTTGAACCAAATTAGAAAAAATTGTCTGCTCATATCAGCAATATGTAGTGTGCTGATCGTGTACAATGCTATTTGACTTTAAAGACATGGATTATCAATGTATCAAAATGGGCACAGTATAAAGTGACTGTATCCTTTTGAATGTGCCAGAGTTTTTATGTTTAATTAGCATTTTTGATAACCCATTTGTCACTATGGAGGCAGAAGAACATCTCTTATTTCAATGATAATTAGATTTTTAAGTGAAAAAATAAATGTTTCTTTTATATTACTTTTTGATCATGCTTTTCCCTTGCAGAAATGCCTACACACTTACATGATTAACTATATTTATGAAAAGTAATATCACAAACATGAAAGAAATCTAAAACATTCAGATTTTATTGATAAACATTTATGTTCTATGTATTTTCAGGAAGGTATGATGGATTTGTTCACATTCAGTTTAGCGTGCCTTGAAGGTATCGGTGTGGGTCTGTTAAAAAATCTTTCTTGGTGATACTATATGCCACAGTAGAGTGACTAAAATGCTGTCCTAGTAACTACTTGTTTAGTAGACTTTCTTATTTTATTACAAACTGTATGTAGCTTGGACATGTAGTTTATTTGTGTTGTTCTCAGAGGCAAAGAAAATCAATGACTGCTATTTTTTTAAAGAAAGAAGGAGTAAATTTGTATTTCAGATGAATTTGTATGTAACTAGACTGTGATGGTGTGTATATGATATTGTAGGTACAATCAGTGACTGGGCGTTTGTGGCAGAAATACTGGTTATGCTGAATTTATACACTTTTTCATGAATAATGTGATCATGAGTTTTGAACAAAAAATGTACCTATGGAATGTACATATCGAACATCAAATAGCGCATGTATACTTGTTTTGAATACCTGCTATTTTAAGGAGGGTACTTGTGGTGCTAAACAGCATTGGTGTTAAACTGTTGTACAGATTTTTGTATAAAACAGACCTTAAATGAAGAACATTTATTGTTGTTGATTGACAAATCAGCTGATTCCCATCTCTCCCAAACGAGGAAGTAAGCTCTATGTGTGTGAAAAAGAAACTTAGTTCTACTATTCTTTCTATTAAAGCCTTAAATCCTGTTAACTTATGACTGGGAAGTTGACTGATTAAAAACAAGTGATTCATTTTTTTTTATTTTTCCTTTCTATATCGAAATGAAAAGTTGAATCATACCTGTTGAAATTTATAAATAAACCTCGCTCTTTACGTATCAATCCCATATTGTGCTTATTATTCAAGGCCTTATACTAGGTCTAGTTCAGCGAAAATCTGGTAATATTCCACTTTCATTTTTTTATAATCAAAAATACAATCACAAACCCAAAATGCGATGCTTGGCTTGTGATGCCTATTATTTGCAAAATGTTAACTTGAAAGACATCGAAAGAAAAATATTTGCAGAAGAACCTTAAACGTTCAAATTATTCACTCGCCAGTTCAATGGTGCTACAAAAACGTTTTAGACTGGCGGTGGTGGGCGAATATTCTGTTCTATTCTGGTATACAAGAGGTCAGCTTAGCGATAACATTAACCCATGCAAAAATTCTTGCTTTAGAAAAAAGTATAAAAAAAAGTTAGAGACAAATCTAGTGAAAAATCAATCTGTGGCTCTGGTAGAGGGTAGCGTATTTGGGATTGGGGAGGGGGGGTCTTAAAGCACCCACTTTACACTCAGACTCAGTGCATTTAAAAACATTTGGGCTCCAGATAATGTGTATCTGATAGTGCTATACTGATATACCAAATGTATACTCAGACATTGTCCCTTTTCACATCGAGCAGTACGCCTTTCTTCTTTCTTTTTTTTAAATACGTATCACAGTCTTATTTCTTTAATGGCCCGAGCTCATCCCCGTATGTACAGCTGTCACCGATCTGTTCGTAATAGTTCCACGTTATTCCTAAATGATGTATATTGTAGATGTGCTAATAGTAAAACAGCTAGCAATTTAAAAAGGAGGGGGGCTTCTTTTCCTAAAAACGAGGACCTTTTACCATGTAATCTTCGTTCTAGATACACCCTCGATACACTGCACTAGTCAGGCGTTCGCTCCAGATCAAATTTTACTCAGAGCGTTCGATTGAACCCGCAGAACCTCTACTGGCTACGGGCGTGTTCAAAATAACACATTTTGGTCATTTTGTATTTTCTTTTCGCTTGGCTGCCTCATATGTGGCATGTTTGCTTCCTCCATGGAAAATGTTTAATGACCGGAAGGGGTGCTCTTTTCTGCAGACCTTTTAAAAGATATAAAATAATAATAATAATAATAATAATAATAATAATAATAATAAAAGTGTGTATTCGTTCGGTAGATCAGATAAAGTGGTTTAAGTTGAAATGCTAAGCCATCGTAATTTTTCTCCCTTCGCCTATTTTGTAAAGGTAAGCAATGTGATGATAATCATATTTATTAAGTGGTGTTGTTGCATCAACAACCACATAAGTCCCATAAATGCGCGCAGAATAATAGAATCCAGCCAATTAACCAGAGAAAAACATTGTTTTTCCTGCAGCCGAAACTCTTGATACACAGCTCTTATTTCATTGTGCTTGTTCTTTTCAAAAGCTGTTCACTGATAACGAAAGGAAACGAAAAGTTCTAGAGGAAACTTGCACTTGCAACTTTTTAGCTAATTCATGTAACTGCTTGCACTTTCAACGGGGCAGACATCTGTCCCTATATGCATTAGCTGTATCACGCTCTTGGCTTTGGACATAAAGACTCCAGTCTCCTAGAGACCGTCTAGATACCGTCGTTCTACATAGATCGATCCCCCTTTGTGGGGATACGCCTCCTGGCGTGAAGTAGACTACAGAAAAGCTGGTGATTGTGCGAGTCCATTTGGAACAAAAGGAGGCGTGGCATTCAGTTAAGCTGACTGCACTAAGCGAGAGTCCCCGAAGAGTTGCATCGATCTACACAGACTAATGGTGTTTATGGGAATGGGGCCATAGACCCCATACAAACTTTAAAGTGCCCTTCAATACACTACACTAGTCGGGCGATGTTTACTTTCAAACAATTGACTATTGCTATAGAAGTAACACTTTTAGTTTTATTTTCATAATCGAAATTGAAATCTGCATAAAAGGCAAACAGCTCAGTGAGAAAACGCACACAAGCCTACTGGAAAGAGATGCGCGTAACAACGAACTGATACAAGCTATCAAATGGCAGCCTACAAATACATTTCTGTACACCACTGTTTTAGGATTGCGTTTGAAAAGATTGCGGCGATAACATTTCTCCTGTGTCTTTTGTGTTGTAAATCAGCATTTTCAGGATGCAAAATCAAGAACATCTCAGAAGGTTCGATTGTTCATTGTGCAAATCAACGGCTGTCAGTGTTTCCAAACTTACCAAGCAATACCATAACCGCTGATCTGCACGGCAATGTGTTACCTTTTTTGAGAAGAGAAAACTTCAAAAGACTAAGAAATGTTAAAAGCTTAACGCTTAGTAATTGCAATACTAAAGGAATAGAAGAAGGTGCGTTTGAAGGTCTCTCTCGCTTGGAAATTCTACGTCTTGGCTCTAATGGGTTGATTTTGGCTCCTACAGCACTGTTGCCATTGGTTAACGTTGTTCATCTGGACCTCTCATACAACAGTGGTATATTAGGCCCTCGGCCATGGAATGGGACGTTTAAAGGACTTCATAAACTGCAGTTTCTGTCCTTAAGGGCTACAGGTGTAATGTTAGTAAGTGACAGCATGCAGCGAATAAGAGCGGGGAGTGTTTTGTAGTGTTACTTTAGTTGATTGACACGACCTTATTGTACTTAAGCGAAGAATGTAATGTAGACGGAGAGAACGATGTAAGAGGTTGAACGATGAGGAATAAACTGTAGATAGCGTAATTAGAAAGCGATAATAAAGAATATGGGAAAACATGGAATTGTTTAGTTATTACCTCGCGCCACCAAGACAAAGTCAGTAACGTCGTCACATATGGTGGAGGATGCAAAAAGATAAAGAGACTTTCGATATGAATAATGTCAGATAGAGAAGGACCAGTCACCAGACAGACATACAGACGCGAACGTATTCTATCCGAAAAGAAGATGGCGACGGGACAAACAAAGGAAATGAAAGGTAAGGAAGAACCTTTTGATTTTTTAGATATTCGAGACCAGCTAGAAGATATTCATATGAAATTAGATGTTATGGGTAAGGGTGACCCTCTTTTACACGCAGTTCAGAGGCAACTTACAGTATTTAACGAAAAACCAACTTCCGTTTCTGCCGGTCCAAATATTGATACATTCTTTGGCTTTTCAACAGAAAACGCGCGGTTATGGCTTACGAGGTTCGAAAATTTCTGCAATTTGAATAAATATTCCCCAGATCGGAAATTGAATGCCTTTATGCTGTACATGAAAGGCCCTGCTGAAATATGGCTATCCGAATTGTCTGACGCAAGAAAATCGAGTTACGATGTTCTTAAAATTGAATTTCAAAACAATTTCGACAGACAAACGTCAAAATGGACTAGAGAACACGAACTCGGAGAAAGAAAACAAGCAGAAAACGAATCCATCGAGGTTTACATCGCGGATATGCGACACCGTTTTTCTCTGCTTAATAAAAGCGCGGATGACAGACTCGCANACTTAAGCGAAGAATGTAATGTAGACGGAGAGAACGATGTAAGAGGTTGAACGATGAGGAATAAACTGTAGATAGCGTAATTAGAAAGCGATAATAAAGAATATGGGAAAACATGGAATTGTTTAGTTATTACCTCGCGCCACCAAGACAAAGTCAGTAACGTCGTCACACAGGCATTGAAATTTTACCGGATGATATATTTCAAACCAATCAACTTTTGTCTACGCTTCTTATTTCCCTCAATCACTTAAGGTTCATTCCTGTGGGCCTTATCAGTTTGGTAAATTTAAAAGATCTGAACTTATCCGAAAATCTTATTCAATCAGTAAATGTGAATGCTACATTCCAAACAAAGGCACCTACATTTAAACTACATCTGTTAGACAACAAACTCCGCAAGCTCGACAGAAAGGACTTGACCCCATTGAGGAATGTGAAACACCTAACAATTAATCTGCGTCGAAATCGTATTGCAAATATTGCACAAGACACATTCGTTGATTTAAAAAATATCGTTAAATTAGATGTTTCAGAAAACCCTCTTTGTCAAAATAATGCCCAGGAAACAAATGAAAGTCTGGAGGACATCAACGTCCAAAGTTGGCCTTCATGTAATGCGGCTTATAATCTATCTTTGGCGCTCCGGTCAACCAAAGTTGCTAACCTCGTCCTGGAGCACATCGGCTGGAAAACGTATCAACTAAAAGAAGATGACTTCGTAAATTTGAAAAATTCTTCTCTCAGACTTCTCAAGCTTGGTGGAAACAACTTCGGAAGAATACCAGAAGACGCATTCCAGCATGTCTCCACCTTGCATTCTTTGTTTTTGGACAATTGTGCTATAGATACCATTCCTGCAAATGCGTTTGCGCCTTTAAAGTGGCTTCGGTCATTGCATTTGGAGCGCAACAACTTAGAAACAGTCTTAGTTCAAAACGTCTTGGACTTTTGTCCTCGTCTATCCTTTATTGATGTCAGCGGAAACAAATTTAAGAACAGTCTCCCCAATGGCACTATTGAAAGATACGTGATAGCAAACCATACCAAAATTTCAACCATAAAGCTTTCGCACAATAACCTGAACCTGGTGTTTGTTTTTGAGAGTCTGACTGCACTGAGAACATTAGAATTGAATTTTATAAACGAATCCCCAAAAAACTTTAAATTTCATCAACTACAGCTGCACAATTTACCATCGTTACTTACACTTGAATTCCGAGGTAACAAAGGCTACCTGCAACAGTATCTCGACCATCATCTGGAACTTACGTCTTCGACCATATTTGAAGAAGTCCCGTCTTTGGAAAAGCTCGATTTAAGCTATAATGATTTATATCGATCGCCTTCAGATTTAGTAATGACTATGTTCAAATCTTTGACAAGTTTAAAAGAACTGTTTATGTCTAAAACGATCGACAAACTATCCCCCGGTATGTTTGCTTCGATGCCGGATTTACAATACCTTTCACTATCAAACAACAAACTTAAATTTCTCCCGCGCAATATTTTCCGAAACCTCCGGAAATTAAAAGTTTTAAACCTTGGCAACAATTTCATCGGTAGATTTCAAGAAGGTTTATTTGAAGGGCTCGATTCACTTACTACAATTGACATTTCCACTAACAAATTGATTTGTGATTGTCAGATACGACCTCTACAAAAATGGTTGGACAACCACAAGCATATCACAGTTAAAGGGAGACATGATTACTGCTTTGTCCCGGCATCCACGACCAATAAAAGAATACAGGAGTACCGCCCTTCATGGCTTGATTGTGACAATAACTTAGTTATTTTGCTTGCTTCTTCAAGTGGAAGTCTTTTTTGTGTCGTTACTATCGCTCTTGTGATCTACGTCTTACGTTGGGATATAAAGTTTGCCATCGCTGTGCGTCGTGCGCGAAGATTTCCCCGCAAACATGTCAGGAGAGGAAAAGAGTTTGATGCCTTCGTATCTTACTGTCCTCACGACATAGCTTGGGTAAAGGATGCCCTTATTGCAAAAGTCGAAGAGGATCAGTATTTCAACTTTCATTTATGTGTACATGAGCGCGATTTTCTTGCTGGGAAATTCATTGTTGAAAATATAGAAGAGAACGTTGAAAAAAGCAAGAAAATCATTTTTGTTGTCACGGAAAGTTTTCTAGCAAGCGAATATTGCGACCTAGAAGTCAATCTTGCAAAAACTAAATTATTTGAGCGCTCTATTGATTCGGTCGTATTTATTTGCTTTGATATGATCAAGAAATCAAAGATGTCAGAACCGATGAACACCATGATGCGCCATTCATGCGTTTTGTATTGGCCACAAGAAGATCGTCTGCGAGAACGTGCCATCTTCTGGAAGAAACTTAAACTCGCCTTATGGTCAAAACAAGACTTTGTTATGGACGAAACTTTACTGTAAACTGACTTTTGTCAAATTATTCATGAAAATTCCAAACTGATGGGTAGCGAGGATCAATTGGCTATACACACTTCACTTTCTGGTATCCTGGATCTGCTAGTGAAGGACTTAAGTTTTCCGGTTTTAAGCAGTTACAACATTAGGTTACTTAAGCAGAAGAAGTAGATAGAACTAGACGAACTGAACATTTCATTTTAGATAAGAGCCATTTAACGCGAGAAAGTCGCGTACATAGTTTAAATAGAATATATGGTTGAATGTCAGATACGCTAAAATATTCTTAATATTTGCATGATTCGTAAGTCACATGTAGATATTGTAAACTTTAGGTCTTCAAACCAAAGATATATATCTCTTAATCGCGTTCATGACTTTAAGATTTTGATCCTTAAACTCGTTTGCGCCAAAATTCTGTATATTTGAAATGCTTATAGTATTCTTATACAGAGGGCTGACAAAAGCATTGCACCATTTTGAAGGTGAACAGCAACTGGGTTTGTTTTTTCATTTGGTATTTTATTGAAACGTAGTTGCATGTTTGTGAAGTTGGTATCTTTACTGCAGGTTTACAGACGAAAGCTTTGCCCTTACGAAACCTTTTTTGCAGGATAGCCACGTAATCTCAATATTTCAACCACCCATCTAGGCATAGACTGCTAAAAGTTCAGTTATCTTCCGGAGGCTATGTTGGCCCACATTCTAAAGATACTATCATTTAATTATATTATTATCTGGAAGTAACTTTTCTTGAACTATCTTGGCCTGCTGAAACAGGTCATTTGTGGAGTTTGCAGGACTACCAGTAGGCCTACTTTTTAAACCCATTTATTCATAATACAAACCGACATCAGGCCTTTTACAATTACCCTCTTCTGAAAGTTACTGTTACATTTACATTAGTGTATTGAAGAATTTAGGGTTTAAGTCATGCATAGCTGTTCCCGACAGTTTCTCCATTTCTCATTTGAGCTATCGCAACCGCACATAGCGCACCTGTCGCACTAAGCCACATTTAGTCACAGGCCGTGATTTCAACCGAGACCGCCACTCTCTTGTGTTTGGAGATTTGAAAGTACTGAGACTTGAATCCCCAGGGAAGCCAAAGTCGACAACTTTAAACAAATTTAAGAATAGTATTAATTAATTTTTAAGCCTAAAAGTATATTGCGAGGACTTTGTATTTTCTGCAATGATAAGAAAGGATTATACTGCAAAGGTAAACGTTTCAGACAAGGTTCGTATTACATCAACAGGTGAAAGTCGATGTTTGACCCCATTAAAAGTAAAACTAAGTTAATATCGATCGGTTGACCTACTTCCAACTTTATGACTTTGAAGGTGTTATTGCTGTCAAAGGCTTATGTTATGGTACACAGAGCACAGTTATTCCTGTAATGGACAATTATTTGAGGATTAATATCATCTTGCACACACTTTTCTTACTCTGTCACTGAGGCTGAGCTCTAAAATATTGTGTAAATAATGTTGTCTAGAGAGCCTGCAAATGTATTCATATAATTTAGTGCTCAATAAACTTATTATTATTATTATTAAAATATCCTGACACCAGATATGTTTCTTCTGGGATTTATGATTGAAATTGATAAATTAAAACCGACCTGCTCTTTTGCGTACTTGTAAAATTTTACTAGTGTTGTTATTTATTTTAAAGAAATTTCATTATTGGGGGTGGGGTTTAAGATGAAACACTTTGTTTTCCCTGAAATAACTGGATGTCTTAGTTGAGAAGGAATATGAGTGATACATAAGATTGAACCCATTCGGCATTAGCTCTAACTGTAAAATGCTCTCAGAAAGAATTTAAATGAAGACAGCTGAATAAGTTCAGGGGTCAAATACAGGCGAGGAAAAATATTAATTAGACAATCAGGATGAGAAAGAAAATTTTATATTTAATATTTTTGTCAGCCAGCATGTTTCAATAATGAGATTACCCTAAGAACAGGAGGGGAGTATTGGTTGGCTGTCTCCATTGATTGTTTGGCATACTAAACCAGACATATGTCTTTTGTGAGAGAGAGAAAGAGAGCTCCTGATCAGTGTTTGTTTCCAAATACTATCCATATGGTATGTGCACATAGACTAGAAAAGCATAGGATAATAATTTCCAAAGCTTGCATTATTTGAGATTATGACAAGAAAAAGAATATCCAGAAGCATCAGAAGTACACATAATCATCGGTAGGATTTCTGTTGAACTATTGATGGCTTCCCTTGTTTAACAAACAATGAAGCAAAACGAAACCATAAGCAGATGGTAGTCTGTAGAATGCTTTGATCTGTTAATGCAATCCACATACAGTAACACCTGATTCTTCCAAGTACTAATATATATATCAGTTTTATCTTTAATGTGTAGGTCCACTAAATTAATGAAATCTAGATTGCCCTAGTCTAGGCCTATCCAACTACCAGACTCAGCACCAAATGATCCCAAATTTACTGGTAAGTCAGATCACACTAGCCGTTTTCAAGGTATGCGTCAGTACGCATTTTGCAGTATCGTACCCCGGAACAAATTTTGAGATGAGATGCACTAGCTACTTTCCAACCCCGCAGAGAATCATCACGTACTAGGCAAGAGCGGTGTCACGTCTGATACTTCGAAGCGTGTACTGACACACACCTTGAAAAAGGGGAGTGAGGTCCGATCTACTGGTAAATTCTGGATCATCCGGTGATTTTAGGATCATTCTGTGCCAAGTCTGGTAGTTGGATAGGCCTGTAGCCTATAGAGAATAATCCTTGTATTTAACGTAGTCAACTGTTACACTCTGTACAGAGACATAAAAGGAAACAAGTAATGATCAAGGTACATCATATTTCATATATAAGAAATTAAATCATTATTCAGCTTTGCTGAGTGTATACCAGTATTGCTTTAAATTTTGTAAACACAGAAGTAGTGTAACAATGAAATTCATGTTGTAAAATTAAAAATACGAACAATTATATCTGTAAGGTGTTAAAAAATAAGTGCATGTACGTAGGTTATAGTAAGACATTTTTGTAAACAGAAAAAAAATTTGTAACTGAAAAGAAAACCTACCAAGACCCACATACAAGTAAACATGATTTTGGTCTTTGGTCAAATAGCCAAAATTGGGGCAGTGCTGAATGTTTTTGTGATCAGATATATATAACTGGGGGATAAAAAATTAATTGACTTACAATTTACATATGTTTGAAATGAGTTAAAATTGATTTGTGGATTAGTTAAATTGAACATTATAGTTCACAAGCTGATATGTATTTGATGTAAGCCTAATGCTTGTCTGGCAGCAACTTCATCCCTTCTCAGTTACTGTATAATGTGCTTTGTTGTGTGAAATAGTTACACAACACTGCAGTATTTACACAAGTGAGAAGTGAGGAAAACTACCACCAGAACTGTAAAATACAAAGAAGGATTGAATTTCTGAAACTAACTCCACCTTGGCGCAGTAACAATAGTAATTAGGGGAAAATCAATTTCAGTTCTGTAAGCTTTTGCCTTATCAGCTGCTTTGAGATACTTGCACGAAAAGTTAATTAGATTTTGTTTTCCCTCTAGTATTACTTTCCAAGTTTAATGGCCAATTACTTGTGCCCTGTCTCAGAAATTATCAAATTGAACAATGAATGACAGTGTCTTTGTTCAAAAGGCAGATGAAGCTTTTATTGTCTGAAGATGGGAAATAATTCATCTGCAAGAACTGAACAAGTTAGCATATGGCTCATGTCTTCAATTCACAGACCAGTGACTACTATTTTTTAATAAAATGCCACTCCTTGAAAGAATTGTGAAAATGATGCGTGTTGCTGTTTTGATATATAATGAAGTGTGCAAATCGAGTTAAGATTAACTTTCCACTTCTGAGATGAATAACATTGTGAACAGTTTGTCATATCTCATTCACTTTATCAAATAAAATCAGGTCCTGTTCATGTGGCATGATACCAACTATTTCCCATATCCCCCTCTGAAGCTTACTGAATAATTAGGAGTATTAGAAAAGCAACTCCATGCTGTCATGATGTTAACAGTTTCAGTTGAGGAATTTATAAACTTTTCATAGTGGAAGAAAAAATGTGGATACCATGCAAGTTAATAGTTTCAATTATCCCGTTCTAATATCAACTGAAAAATTCCACCGTGAGAAAGAAAGGGGAAAATACTTAAATGTACACTCACTTCACACAAAGAAACAGTATTTTTTCTCTCACCCCAGGTGGGAAATGGGAATTTAAAAAGGGCATTCATAAATAATCATCTCTCATATCAGGGTGTGATATGATTGCTTGGCAATTTAACCAGAATAAAAAAGTTCTGTAGGCTGAGATCTTGTGAAATAGGTTCGCCATTGAAGGAAAACTAATTTTGTGTGTTGGCAAGATTGAGAGAGCTAAAGCATAAGATTACAAATGTGGCAAGCTACATGTGAGGGTGGAAACTGAGAAGAAATCTATTTTATTTTTTGTTATATGTTGTATGGTTTCAATGTGGCTGTACAATTATTATGCTTCAGAAGTAGATTTCAATGAAGGACAAAAATTGCAAAGGGTCATTCTGATGGTTTGTTCTAAGTTTTAAGCTGACCTTTGAGTTTTTAGGGTAAGCAGGGTTCTGAGAAAGTGGCGCACCATTGTTTTGATTTGAGCGTTGTTGCTCTTTCACAGCAGCTTGGTGTGAGTGAATTGATTAAGGGATTGCAGGTCTTCATAGATCTGGCACACAGGTGTGGAGGATGCATCTTGGACAGCCACATAAGATGAAAAACTGTGGTTTAATCCTATTACAGACACTCTGTTGAGGCCTGAGTCAGTTCAAGGTGAGGAAAGTAAGTTGTACTCTTTCAATAGTTATAGAACAGAATGTTGTGCAGAAAACATTGAATATAAGTCTCTGTTAATCATATTTAGTTGTGCTGCTGAACCTATGTCAATTTAACTGATTTAAAGTTAGATTTGTTTTCAAATAGCAAGATGTGAAGGTGAAATGTGAGGAAAAAAATACATAGTCCATTTACTTTGATGGTCTGAGAATTGTGCAAATCTGTCCGCCTCTGCATATTTTAAAAAATCGTTAATAGCTTTCTGCAAGCCGAAACAAAACCTTGTTAGAAAACATTTATTTTTTAAATACTTTAGACAGATATGTGTTGAGAAATTAATGGGTTATTACAAATCTTACTATTGCATTTGAGTTTACTATATCCATTTCCAATAGATCAGTTTAGTTATTGATGAATAGGTATAGGATTGGGAGCTTTTTGTTTGCTGTGATATAAGGTTACCTGTGTGTAGACAGACTGCAGGTGTGCCAGTGGCAGAAGAAATAGAGAAGCAGGCAGATTTAGAGGACATAGATAAAATGCTATGTCCCATACTACTTTTTAAAGTGTTTTTGGTGTACAGCATTTGCATAATATGTTTGTAAACTTTTATTCCTCGTTTACATAATTGATAGATTAATATCATTATTAGAAACTGAAAGAATCAAGAACACATTAGACTCCAAATGAGGTGATACAACAATAGAATGATGAAGCGATAAAATTATAATAGTGTAAGGAGTCAAGTGCATAGAGATGGTTAAGATAAGTCTTACCAACTGTCCACAGAGTAACCAGCCATTTCATGGACAAAACTAAATTTTAAAACTGATCCCAGTCGCCATTTTTCTCCAAATTTTTCTACACATGCCTTTTATAAGGGACAACACTGAGGATTATTGAAGAGAGAGCAGTTCTACATAAATAGCTCAGATATCTAGATCAGATATGTAACATGGATATAAAAGGACCCAGCATTACTGCATACATCTCAGTACGATACCAGTCAATATATCAGCAAGGAACCTTCTATTCTGGGACGATCTGTTTAAAAAATACAACAGAACAGCTCACAGTTGTAAGCTGCAAACACTTGTGTTTCTCTGTATGATAAAATAGTATGCCACATGGTAAGTTGCACCTGTGCTTTACCTGGTCATGCAGTAAGGTAAGAAATTACCAAGAGAGCCCTACTGTGAAGTGTAGAGATTTGGTGCAAGCAGAATTTAGGTAAGACTTTATTCTTGAGCCTTGTTAACCTAATAGTTTGTTCATTTATCTCTTTGAACAGCATATATACCTGGTAACACATTTACAGAATCATGAATGCAATTTTTATGAAAAATTTGTATCATATTTTAAATTATCAAACCATGCAATACCACCAAATGAAAGATATGTGAATACATTCGCATGAATTGAAAGATGCATCTTTCATTTGACGGAATCCTGTTTTCATGAAAAGCACTAATTGAAGTTGCAAAATGTCCCGTTTCTTTTTTCCCATTTGTTAGTATTTGTTCTGAATGCAGTGATACAAGGGATTTGCACAGAGATTTGAGATAGTTTTGACCAAAAAGCTATATGATGAAAATGTTGAGTAAGAAAATGTCTCTGTGATGAAAAGCACTGGATGTCCAGGCAGTTTGAAAATGCACCTGAAACTGTGCCATAATTTCACATCATATTCTGTCTTTGGAAAAATTCCATCCCAAGTTTCACCCCACTGATAGGGAGGCCTTGTCTATCATCTACAGTTATGAGTCATTCTTTGTATCATCTTCCTATCCTCCAGAGGCTGTTCTGTTCAGTTGTTAATCAATTGAGGATTAGAAAAACTGTCTGCAGAATGTGTAGAAGGTAAAAAAATGCATATAGTAATTGCAGAACTTTTTCTTTATTCGTGAATTTTCATACAAAGAATTTTTGCAATGTCAAATAGATGAATGTGGTCTATGTTTTTATTGAAATTCTCAACATATTGAGTCAGATGTTTTCTGATGTTATTTGACCCTTTTTGGCTTAGTTGTCAAAATCAGGTGGGAATTGAAACTTTTCCTGCTCCTGTCTTTCAATAGTGTCTTGTTCCTCTACATGAGTGTGAGAAAATAGGGAATATTTTGCTTCTGTGGTTCAACCATTTGCTTAGCATTAAATCCAAGTGGGGTTTCTACCCAGTTCTCTTTTCTCAAGAGAGTCCAAGAAACTGGTGCAGACTTTGTACCTTTTTAAAAATGCCACTAGCTAATTGGAGCTTAGGCTTAATGAAGTTGCATGCATGCACTATATATATATATATATATATATATATATATATATATATATATATATATATATATATATAGTCTAAGAAATGGAATGAGTAAGACCAATGTGTTGACACAGTTACAAAAAAACTGACAATCTGCCAAGGATGGTAATCCCATGACCTTTACAGGAATTTCATTTATGGAACATGTAGGTCTGGAAGATCTGTAGATATCCTCTAGCTGATGTTCAGTTTCCATAGTGATACATATGTGAGTAAATTGGCAATTTGTCAGGTCTTGACAGGTAGCTTGTGACATTTAGTGGTGACACTTGGTGCTTTCATTTGTAATTTTGTCTTTTTTTGTATTTTTCATGAATGTAGGTTTGTTTTGACCATTGAACATATGAGGGCAGGCAGTAAGAACTGGATTATGAACTTACCAAACAACAACCTTTGGTATCTAACATTACTGCAGTAATGCATTTTGGTATTACCTTTTGTAAGTCTTCTTGAGGTAGTTTGTTTAAAAAAAAAGGCAAACAGTTATGACAGTTTACCCAACTGGCATTCATTACAAATCTAATTTCTTCCCTTTGAAGAACATTGTTCTGGGAGTGAAGACAGTTCATTATTTCTAGCTGTCTGCCAAAGAAAGCCAGATAATCTCTCTCTCCTTATGTACATGTGGTGATATTAAACAATTGTATACTATGATAAAGAAAAAAGGAAGAAATGCCAAGAGGATGGGATGAGAAAACTGCAGCATTAACCGGCTGTCTTCACTTAGAATTAATATGGATTTGAAGGGTATTTTTTTAATGTTTACAGTGCATGCATAAGCAAAGGAGAACTTGTTTTTCTGATCCAGGTTTGGATAATGTGATTTTTTTGTATCATAATTATTCTTTGTGAAATAACTGCGTGCCTGGTGATGAATGCTTGACTCTGTGGTAAAAGTGCAGGTACATGTAGTATGGCTTTAAGCTAGAATGGCTGTTGTTATTTTTTTTACAAGACATTTTCTAAAGGTTAAGCCTTGCACTGCCAAGTTCAACAATGGATAAATGTGTTGGTTGCAGTTGTTTGATTTTGAAAGTTTTTTTTGTCTGAATAAAAAGCAGCCAGTTAAATGATTTGCCAGGAAGTAGTTATAAGATGATCATGTGTTTACTTGTTGACAGAATATTTTCATGGACTATAGCCCAGTATTTTCAGCTTTTGTAACATATTTTTTTTCTTTATAAAACTGTTTAATCACTACATACTACTTGACAAAGTAGTGAAAATTGTAGATGTACCTCATCTGTCTTCTCTTGAACAGGATTGGTTGCAAAAAAGTGGCAAAGGTTTAATGCAAGGAAAAAATGTAAGAAGATTGACCCTTTTCTGATTTAATCAAATACTGGCAAATTTAGATGACTGTTCTCAACATGCAAGTTCCATGTTGATGTTGAAATGAAAATTTTGTAGAAGAATTCAAGATTTTGAATCACTCTTGAGTCTGTGAGTTGTTACTGATTGGTGATTTCTTTGCAAGGCAATCTTTCTCTGTGTAAGCCATTTTACTAAAACTGATCAGAAGCGGTGTACATAATGATTATGATAGATTCAAGATTGAATAGTCTCTAGCACTCATAACTTGAATGTGGCTTAGACCACCCTTATGTATAGAATTTTTTTGGAATATGAGAGCTGTTTTTACCTAAAAATATTTAACTTATTTTGTCCCAATTTGACATTTGAATTATGTTACAACATTTTGGCTTTTAGCAATATGCCCTAGCAAAAAATATGTTAAGCATTGCATAAAATATAAAAATAAAGTGAATAATCGTTCTAAAAAAAGGAATGAAAATGAATAGACAAAAAATAAGAAAAATAAAAGTAATAAAAAAGCAGCCAATAAAATTATTATAGCATTACCTTAATCTGCATTTTATTGGCTGCTTGGTTATTCTTTATTCTTTCCTCTTTAGCATAGACAACTTTTTTTCACAATTTGTGAAACCTTTTATGGAAAGGTTTATCTTCGTTATTCTGAAAGAAAGTAAGGGATATTTTGCAAGAGGGTCTGTTAAAGTACTTGTCAGAGAAAAATGCACAGGCATTGGCAAGAAGATGAGTGCTGAACCTGTGCCCTGTTGCAGATCAGCAGGGCCGACCCAAAAAAGTCTCAGGTGAAGTGGAAATCTATTGTTAGAATATGCTCCCATCCATCCACATCTTGGCATAGAAATCTCCCACATGTATGAAGTATGTACCAGTAATGTGTGTGCTTCTGCTCTTCCTTTAGGCCACATTTCCTTAATAAACTGATTAACAGACCTTTTGCTCTTCTAATGGAATTAAACCTTTTATAACCTTCAAAAGGTGCTGTGATTTGGATTAATACCTAGGATTTCTACTCAAGTAAAGTTGTGTATACAGATATGGTCCAGGTGGGATACATTGATTGTGAAAATGTTGCTATCTTGTCAGATTCAATAGAGAGTTATATGCTAAATTAAATCTAGCTGTCTCAACATGAGGATTATTTTCAGGGCCTCTTCATCACTCAATCCAAGCATGATAGACAGTCTTGGCATCAAATTGCATTAAGTGACACATGCATAAGGTCAGGTTTTCTATTGGTATTTATCTGGTAATGCCAGTCATTCTTTTGATTATGAGTGCATTCTGTGGATTTTATTTGAGAGACTATCACACAGATGCTTAAAGTGTAACATTAAAAGATATGTTAAGTAGTTTGATCTTCGTAAACTGTAGCAGGTGATTAATTAATACAGCATGAGAAAGAAGCCTGATTAAGGCATGAAGATTCCAAATAACCTGCTTTGAGATTTGATACTAGTTGTTTGTCCGTCTACCTGAGAACATATTTAGTTTGAAAAGTGAATGTAATATAAAGTGATATACAAGGAAATATGTTAAGGAATGCTTTACACTGAACTGGCATGTGCTAAAGAAAAAACATTTTAAAAGAGTGATTGGAGAGATCCTCACGCTAAACCATGTTGTGCCCTTTGAAATAATTTAATTTTAGAATTTTAGAATAACGCGGATGATCACAAGAGATTATTTCAGCAACATTATTACTCATAATTCTGCCCCCCCCCCTTCCTCTCCAAAAGGGATACCCTCTGATATCAGGGTCCTCTAAAATAGTATACAAAATTAAAGTGTAGACCACTGTGGGCACTCACCAATCAACTGGTCTGCACTTACATAACTACCCTTCCCCTACCTGCTCCTTAAACAGTAGATAATATTATGGTGTTAGGTGTAATCACATAGCTGAGCATCTGAAGTGGAGGGGGGGGGGGAGGGCTACTGCATTTAAATTTACTGTCCTGTTGTCTGAGTCTGCTGTCTGTGTTTAGTTGCATTTTCATAAGACTTAAATAAAGTTTTGTTGGGTTCTAAGCGTTTCTTAAAGGAGTGGGCTGTTTCACAGAACCTACTTCTAATACATTTATCATGCTTGCTGAGTTACCACCTGGCTTTGATACTACCTAGGGGATTTGATATGATGTTAGATGGGCATTATAATCCTTGAGTCTTGTCATAGTGAGATAACCTTAAATATTAAGTTTTTAAGTGTACGTGTACACAACAGGATAGTCTGTAGGGGACCTATCTGTAGGGGATAATATTGTAGAGCTGTTCAGTGTATGCAGTCATCATATAGAACAGATTTACTGGTAACTAAGTTTGTGAGATAATGTGTTTTACACTTAATTTTTGCATTCATATCAGATATGTTTTTAATGCTAGAAATACATTTATTTTTCTAGGTTTATTTGATTTGATTGTTGGTACAACTTAAAACATTGTTATAAGACTAATTATTATGAAGCAAAATCTCATGGAAAGATACTGTAATGTTCTTTTGATAATCAGTGCATATTCAAAACAAATAAAGAGAGGTTGAGTTAAACTTCATTGAAGGCTAGTTCAAACTTCACATGTAGAGATATTATGCCTTCCAGTATTTATAGTTGCTATATTGAAGGAGAGGAAGAAATTATTTTCTCAATTCAATAATTGGTTGGTGTTGGTGGCAAGAACGGGAGTCACCCTGTGTTGCTCGAGCAGGAACACCTTGACGACAGAGTGGCTCGATAAATTGATAAAATTCTGAGATAGATACTTGAACGTGGTTAGCAATTTTCCAGTATATACTTTAGATTTGATAATTGTTTAAGATTATCTTTCATGGTAAGTATGTTATCAATAAGATGCACAGTGATAACAAATCAGGTAAATGCACTGGCATGTCTGATTTGGCAAAACATTGCATAAATATGTATACTGATGTTATATCCGTGAGATAACATAATTTTGGAATTTTACACTTAGCTGCATGCAGTTTTTCAGAAAGGAACAAAGCCATTAATCTATACCCTATTGTCAGATTGTTTCTGCAGTCAGACTATAGCATATAAATAATCAGCAGTACAGAATTGTAAGATGAAACAATGAGCTAACTACTGCTTTTGTAATGTGTATCTCCTTCACTTGCCATACATCAGTTTAAAAGCTAAAGCTTTTTAACTAACAGACTAGAATGCAATTTTTGAAGTTGATAGTAGGATAGTAAGCTGTCATTATATGAACTTTCATGCCTGTTCATTTAATTGAACGAGTAGCTTTATTGGATCTTCTTTATAGGATACATGATGTCAACCACATAAGTCAAAAAGATATGGGGCTAATCTTGAGACATATAATGCTTTAATACATACACTTGCTTTTTATGTATGTTTTGATGGTATTGGAAACTTAGTGGAGAAAAGATGTGAATAGAATTTAGATTATGAACATGTATGTGGTGGAAGTGGGGAATGTCCTACTGGTGCTCTAAGATGTATGTCATAGTAAGCCAAGCATCATTTTATCAGTCTGGTCATGGTATTCTGAATAGTAGTGCATTATAAAGTATCCATTGAATGAAAGATGCACCAAGTACCACAGATGAAATATCATGCATATGTTTATAAAATATATACATGGATTGTGTGCTGAGTTGATGGTATGAGATTAAAGATATTTCATTTGGTATTTGCTTAGATTTAAACTAATATAGACTTATATAGTATCGTAACACGTACAAATACAGATAAGAAAAAAGGTTCTCTTTTGGCTCTGATTTATTTAGAAAAATGTAATAGGACCATACGATATAATTCCTTGATAGGACATACAGCTGATTTGGTATTAAGGCTAAATCAGGTTTTTAGGTCTTCACACAATTTCTTAAAGTGATGGAATTGCTTGGTACATTCTTGTTGTAAAACAACATGATAAATGGTTTTAACCATATGGACCTAGTTTAATCTTTGATTCTGTTATTGTAAGTTGTCTGCAGTGTCTAGTGGTGGTGTACTGTAAAAATCTGACTCTCCTAAAAGGTGACTCCCCAGTCAAAATTTCAATGCATTTATGAAATTTTGACTCCCCCACGAAACTTCATAAATCTAATTTTATTTGAGTATATGACTTTTATCTTGTAGTATGCATAATGGAGGATACATTGGCACTTTTTTGTTAGTTTGCAGGTTAGGGTTAGGGTTAGGGTCAGCCCCTTTGGGAGTCAAGATTTCATGGGGGAAGTCAGATTTTCATAATGAAATCTTGACTCTGGGAGTCAGATTTTTATGGGAGTCGTATTTTCGTGTTACAGTGGGGATGGGGAGACATGTTATTCACATAGAGTTTGCTTGGATAGACTGATACTAAGTTAAACTTTCACAGTTGGACTAAAAATGTGCCTTTAGTGCATGGAATAAATGTATTTAATATGCTCTAAAGAGTTGCATTCAATCTTCACCCAGCTGTGTTGACATTTCCCCATCTCAAAGTGACAATGATCAGTATTGATTGAGAAATCAGATGCAATAATCTCACTTTGCTGAAGTGTCATACTGGAATGATATTAATAGTGGGGAATTTAAATTGGCTACAAGTAAGGCATGGCATGTGCAGACTGGTGGTATTTCCCTCCAAGTCTGTTCACTGTGCTTGATGTCTTTTGAGGAGTACAGTAATTTCCTCTACAGGGAATTCATAGTGATAGAGCAGAGTACTACCAGAGACAGCTAATCTAAGTTACACACTCAGACTTCAGTGGGCATCCCTTTGATAGTACAAAAGTATGATAAGGACAGTTTGTTTTCACTGATCTAATATTTAATGCTGCTGTGAATTGTTTTTCTCCTTTCTGTATTTTGATTAGCCAAGCCCTTTGTTCTTACTTGTCTTTTCTCCAATCTTGTCATGTCAGTTATATGGTGTCATTAAATTTGAATTTAACTGGTCATGCTTAATGATTATCTTTTCTTTTAATTTCTAGGTTACCAGTCATTACAATGAGGACACTAACATAAAGCAGTCCCCAGGAACTTAGGGCGATGCCGAAGGCTAAGAGGTTAGAGGCCTTGGTATCCATACTGCGATATCCAGGGGAAGTTCTAACATGGCTGGGGCTTATACAGTTCTTCGTCTTTGCTCTGTTCCGTTTCCCAGCAGTAGGGATCACAAAGGAGATTCTGTATGATGGTGAGGAGGAGGGGTTCAAATGTAACCTTACTGGGTACTATGCTACACCAACGGCAGCCACACCTAAAGAGACCCTGGCATGTTATAAGATATACAAGGGGCCAGTGACAGTATCGATATTGTTGGCAGTACAAGCAATAGCCATTTTGGTTATGTGGGGAGGATACTTCATCTATGCCAGGTTTTGTAATGAGGTTCTAGAACACTCCAACTTGTCAGTTCTTTACGGAGGATGCCATGATAGACGGGCCCGCCTTGTCACTCTGTATAGGATACAGACATTTTGCAGGGTTCTTACCGAGATATTATTTGTATCAATAAAAGTCAGTAACATCAATGTGAATGTCCGGAGTTACCATGTCTGTTCAAGCACTTTTAACCAGTTTGTCCATGAAGAAGATGACCACACCAATCTTACAACACCAACTTTAATATGTTCAGTGACACGATTCCATGACAAGACAGTATTTCTCCATGCCCTGTTAGTTATTGATATTGTAAGCTTAATTCTGGCCCTGATTGACTTAACGGTGGTGTGTATCCATGACCCAGACTATTTGTTCCCAGGACATCGAAAGATGCAAGTTGATGATGATAGTGCTAACCAGAGTCTGACTTCCATGAGATATACCTCTACACCAGGTACAGTAAAATACAATAATTATTTGCAAATATTAAAAAGATATAAAAGCAGCATACATATGTACGTATGTACAGACATACATGCCTCATGCCTACATGCATACTAGTACTCCTTGCATACTTGTTCCCCCCTTTCCTTTTATATTCCTTTTTTTAGAAAGTTGGAAAATGTGAGTGATCATTACATAAGGATATATTTCAGTAAAGGAACCAATTTTATTTAAGAATGCTATTTTAAATTGGCCTTTCTTTATTTTTCATGTAACATATTCTTCATCATTTCTAGCTGTCATGAATAATAAACTCATCCACTTCTCAATTGAGTTAAGCAAAACAGTCAGTTGCATCAGTGTATAATTTATAGGTTTCAAGTTGTGAGTTGAATGTTAAATAAAGGTCTTTTTTAGTAGATATGATGGTTTTCTGAAGATAAGATTTAGAGAAGGTGATCGATCCTTTGCATTTCAGAGGATAAAAGATTTCAATCAAACATTAAAATAAAACTTGGTCTTTTCTGAAATGAATCTGATGCTTTGAAGCATTCAGTTTTACTAAGAAAATGGTAATGTAGGGATTTTTTTTTTTTTTTGCAATGCTTGTATCCTTCCTTCTCTGCCTTAACTTGAACATGATAAAAGTCTTTGATGTCTACATTAGCTTTATCCTCAAAGGTTAACTGATGCTCTTTATGGGAATTGTGTGTACAGCATATGTGCGGTTTGGTTGCAGAAAACAAGGGTAATACTAATGGATGTGAGGGACATGGGCTGGCACAGAGAATGTGAACAAAATGTTACATTTTGTGTTATGGTGTCATCTTTCTCTTTAATAACTTAAAATTGATATGGCAGAAATGTTATGAAAACGCCATAAAGATGTATGGCTTCATAATTCCTAGTATGGATATTTTGTTTCCCCATGTCTTACCTAACAACCAGAGAGGCTTCTTTGACCTTTTGTCTTTTAATGCAACATAGTCATTTGCAACTAAGATCTAATAAACAGTTTATTAGATCTTAGTTTGCAAGCACCTAGGTAATCAAAACAACCACCAATGGTTTAAAGTTTCTTAGAAAAATAACAAGTAACCAGGAGCCTTGCAAGATGGTGAGGAAATTGTGTCTGATTTGTATACATTAAAGCTAGAACAGTTTTTCAGCTATTTATGAAACTGATGTATGTTCGTATAGACAATAGCATTGCACAAGTAGAAAAAAATGCGCTAGCATTGGGTTATCTTGACATCTAATTTTACATAGCATAATTACACTGTATGATAATGAGCCATTGTGCAAATAACTTTCACAGTGCAATATAATGGGGAACAAAGAATTGTGCTTTTTTGCCCAGGGAGTTGTGTATTTTCTCATCTCTTAGGATGCTGCATATCATACTCATTTCTGTAACAGAGCTTATAGCAGAGAGTGGCTCTCTCTTTCATTATGAGATTCATTAAGTCATGATTTGATGCATTTCAAACTAAATTTCCTGGTTTTCTCTTCCATGGTACAATAGAATGAAAATAAATTTGACTCCTTACATACAGCCATATTGCCATATTATTTAGACCTTAAAATTTCTTATAATATAATATGTGAAGTGTGAAATAGCATCAGAATAGATTTATGCACAAGCTCATATAATCTAAATTCCATTAGTGGGCCTATAGGTTTAAAATAAGGCTGCAGCAATCCAAGGAGAACACCCTGCAAACCTGCTTACAGTTAACAGGGCTTGTGTTTGCTTTGTTCAGCATATACTGCAAAATAAGGTCTACTACCTGCATTTGGGTGCATAATACAAAGGTGTTTATCTTGTCTGGGTTTGATTTGAAAGAAGTGAGTGAGGAAAAGCTATAGAATAACACACCTGGAGAGAGACTGGGAATGGGCCCCTATGCTTTGAGAAAGATCTTTTGTAAAATCTGTTTGTCGTAGTGGGGAGTCTCATGCAGGTTTTTCTTGAAAGTTTAATCGGCCAAATTAGGGGCCACCAGAAATATTTGACCATGCCCTTGACAGAGGTCAGAAGGCAATTTACATAGAGTAATGAGGTGAAGTGACAAGAATGAACTCCCTTTTTACTGTAAAAACATTATGACAAAAGTAAATCATAACAAGAAGGTAAGGTTAGGTATAGTACAAAATGTACCAAGTAAATAAGGCTCTTTTCCTACTTTGTAAATGTACATGAAAAAAGGACTTCGTACAATTTGAAACTTCAGTTAAGAAGATGGTTATTATATATATGCAAGTAAAAATGTAAAAAATATATATATATATTTTAGTACAGCATCTACAGTTAATAAACTGTTTTGTCCATAATACACTTTTGCTTCAAAGATGGATATTCAGTGACATTCAGTCTTGATGGCTTATTTTATCTACAACAGACTGATTTGAATTTATAAGACAAACAGTACATTTATCAGTAACTATTGAAACTCTTCAGAATATAGAAAACACAAAGCTAAATTTGTTTAAAATATGATAATTAAAAAAGCAAAACAAAAAAGTTATTCACAAATAGATTCTTTCTCCTAAAAGCACATCACAAAGTACCCAACATTTGATATAGGCTTACTGTTTCTCAAGACCACAGCATAATCAGATCTGATTCAACCTAACGGAAGTCGGTGATTGCATTGTGGAGCAGAAAAGTCCATTAAAATGCTATTAAATGTCAATAAATGTATCAATACGGTAATGCAGCCTGACATTAACAACACTGTCTTCAGGAAGAAACTTAACAATTGAACTTTGTAAGTCTGATGTTAGTAGCATTCCCTGCAACAATTTCCATTTGCAAACTTTAGTTAAATAATTGTTATGCTGAATTATCATATCAGAACCATCTTTGTGTGTTTTCCAAACATTTGCATTATTATTTCTGTTAATTCAGTTTATAATTCACCCTCAAGCTATTAGGGACTCTTTACAAATGCCCTGTTATATCCAGATAATTGTGCACATGAACAACAGATCATATACATTTTTTTTTTTTTTTTTGCAATCTCCATTGAGAACATAAATTTATATTAGTTTTCAAGATTATGGCAATTTATTTGATTATATGAGTAAGTACATCACCTGGTCTTTAGCAGGATATATTGTTTTCCTAAATCTTTACCCATTCAATTATGCTCTGTTTAGAGCATATTATTTAGTAATTTCCATTATGGATCACAGTGGTTCTGATGAAACTGGACTGTTTGAATTTCTTGAAATCTATTTACTAAGTAACTATAATTTGCAATTTAGTGAACAGAGTTGGGGGTGGCACGTTGGTTTTTAGCTAACTTTCAGTTTCTGCTGGAATAGTTATATTAACAAATGGCAGTTTACCTAAAGCACTGCTACTTTGATCCTAACCCTCATGTCTCTCACATAACCTAAATAGAGTAGAAGAAGTGCCATTTTTAAATGTGAGTCATGCACCAGCATAGCGTTTTGTATGAAGCTGAATGTTTTTTTTTTCTGCTGCAAGATACGTACGTGCCTAATAAAGGTGTTTTGGGCCATAACACCTTTGAGAAATTGTCCAGGCCCTTCCTAAACCCCAGTTAATTAAGGTGTATGAAACTAAACCTGTGGCTTTAACAGAGGAACAGCAGGACAGGCATATGTGGAATTTTTTAACCAAAATTAAAACTGATGCCAAATGTTAAAAAGATTTAATGACATTTTACTGCTTGACAAAATCTATTTGTTGTTTTTATCCTGTTTCTGACCCAAACCACAGGAAATATGATTTTCTATAACAATTTCATGTTGGCTTGTTGAACAAAAGAATGACTAGTTTCTTAGATATGTTATAGGAAGCAATAATAGCAAAATATTTTTCTTCCTGTGCACCTGTCATATCTAAAACAAGGCACTGTATGGTTTTAAGATGGATAATGTATTCTTGATAATATATGTAATTATTTTTAAAGCACCTACAGTAACACAGGGCATTGTTAAGGTTTCCACATAAAGAAAAAAGGATTTACTGTATACATTTTAACCAGTGTCTAATCAGCTATGTTAACACTGGTCTCGTGGCAAATTGAAGAGAAAATAAAGTTGAGTACAAAAAAATTTTGTTCATCTTACAGGACAGTATTTCTGCTAAAACTGGTGTCCTAAAGAGAAACATGTTAAAAGTCAGAGAAAAATTTTATCAGCTGTGTTATATTATAAGAAAAAGTAAAATTTTCCTTCAATCAACAACTTAATATTGAAATAGTTTACCTCCAATATTTCGATGTCTAACAGTACATCTTCATCCCTGAAGACATGCTAAAAGTTTTTTCTCACAGACTAAGATAAATGCACAAGGAGTATACATATTCATTTATTGTTCACAGTGATTTTCAAAGCTTTGTGAGTTTTGATTGTACCTTGTTAAGATGCAAAAGTGCTTAGTGCTGCAAGGTGTCAGAAGTTCTGAGCTTTAAAAAACAAAACAAAACATCCAATTTAGAAGTGTGGTAATGGTAGAGACATGTTTTGACAGCCCAATGCTGAGGGATGGGTAGCATGGAGAGAGAGAGAGAGAGAGAGAGAGAGAGAGAGAGAGAGAGAGAGAAAATTCTAACTGTAACATAAAGCAATATATTATGCTTTGCCCAGTTCTAACCCTGTTGGTGTATTGTATGTAGTATCTGTACAATTATGTCTGTGTCTTATGTCCTGATACATGTTTTCTCCCAGGCACTCATCCATATAGTATTAGCTCTGTGTTTACTGTTATGAGATGGCAGAGGTTTACCACATCAATTACACTGGAAGAAGACATGTCACAGCATAGGATGATGTATGACAGGTTGAATTAGGTTCATATTTACTGTACCAGGTTGGACACTGTTATGTGTATACATGACTAAATTGATATAGAAAATAGTTTGCTTTCATTCTCATGGCTTATAACAAAGTACATGTCCAATATGTGTCTCACAAGCAACTTAGAATATTTTAATAAGGTACCCTGTCCTACAAATAGGGCTTTTATCTGTCTCTTCTAGCTGATACTGTCTTGCACATTTTGTGTGTACATCGATTTATATACCTATGTGACGTGAGTCAGTGGGTGGTTACATATTTCATGCCAAAGGACAGGTCTACTTTCACCATACATGAGGTTTATGTCATAATTTACTCCATGTCTGTGGGTTTAACTTTTCCCTGGTTGATGAATTACCATATGTTGAAGTATCACAGTGATGTCCGTGCCTCATACCAACTAATGGTTGAGTACATACATGAGTCCATCTGAGCCATAATTTTTTTTCTTAACATGGTTAGGCACACAATTTGACTTTGGAGATTTTTAAGTGACTGATTTGCATTTTGGAGTGGTCCTAAAATGGATAGGCTACCAAGTGTGCTGCCTGGGGAAAGGTTTTAGTACTTGCACCACATGCCTTTTTTCCCACATAAGATTTTAAAAGTGGGATTATGTTATCAATAGCTTTAGACACATCTAAGCCCCTTTTCAAATCAGTGTACAGAATAACTGAGAAGGCTGTAAAAAACACTTATAAGTGGATGTGATTGCTCAGGCTCATCATGTTTGTTATGCAACTGTTTTAGTGATTGAAAATGAAGAGATAAGGATGATTGATTTAGAATTGAAGCAGTCTGTGTATCTGTAAACAGAAATTTTGGCAAATTCAATTAATAAACAATGAATTTTCTTTTTAATAAACAGACCATTTGATTAAAGTTGTTTTTTAAATATAATTATAATTTACATTTTTTAAAATGATTTTAGTACATAGATTTAAGGGCATATTTTGTTCTTGTTTTCAGTAGCTCCCCCAGTGATCCATGTTCCCCAACCCGTGCCATATTTCTATCACAGCCATCACATGGGCAGCCTGACCAAGGCCCTTGAGAAACACAGCTTTGTGGCTGTCACAGGTAAATGTACAATAAAATTTAATGGTGAAAATTTTGAAAAGACACCATGAAGAATATTGGGGTGTTTCAAAAGCTCTCAACTAGACTGGTGTTAAACTATATAAACTGTTGAGAAAAACATTTCCTAACTCACAAACGAACCCATTTTTGATGACATTTATTGCCTTGTATGGACAAATAATTCAGCTTTCAATAAAAGTAATTTATTCAACACTTTCTACTGGTAAAAATGAAAAAGAGTAATATTTTAGTACAGCTTCTTCAGTGAGTAAACTATTTTGTCCATAAACATTTTCAAACATATAATATTATAAATTGTTTCACACAAAGATGTGCACTGCTTTAAAATAGGGAAAGATCTTAATCAGTTAAATGAATGGAGGATTATCAGGATCAATGTAACCTTTTATTGTTGTAAATAATTCATTTTCTATTTCCCTAGGTCCCCATGGATGTGGTAAGACCCAACTAGCCTTGAACTTTGCACAAAGTCAACAAAAAGAGTATGGCATAACACTGGCATGGTGGCTACCTGGAACATCTGCATCTGCCTTGGAGCACAGTCTGTATATACTGCACGAACGCATGCATCTGAATATGCCTTTTGCAGCCGAGGAAAATGCCAATGTACGTGTCGAGGGCCTATTGACTGGAACCATTGCACAGTTGTCCAAGCGATTTGGGAGAATCTTGCTGATATTTGAAGATGTCAATGAGTTGGGTGCCATGATAGAGAATGCTTTTAGCAGAAGGGATAAATTTATTGTGATTCTGACATCCAATAACCCTGCTGTTATTCAAGATGAAGATCTGGTGGTAAGGATAGAGGGGTTCTCTGATAACGAAACCATGGACTTCTTCAAAATGGAGGATTCATTTCAAAATGCTGCAGACAACGATATTGTAGATGTTGGACAGACTCTAGGGAATCTCCCATTTGGCCTGGCCGTGGCCCGCTCTTACATATCACACGCAGAATCTGATATCCAAGATTACGTACACAACATCAGTGACATGAGTAACACTGGCACCATGCAGACTATTCAAAAGAAATTCCTTGGTCAGCATCATAAGAAAACTCTGGTCCAGGCATTGTTATTGTCATTTGACCGCATGCGCCATGGTGGGTACAAAGAGGCCATGAAAGCTTTTGAAATTGTTGCTTATTTCTCCCCACAAGATATCCCTAGTTTCTTGCTCCACAATGGGCAAAACGACAAGATGGATGACTTCCTGACCAAGCTTAAAAAATATTCCCTGGTGGCTAGGGATGATATTGATGGGATTCAAATGCTGTCTGTTCACAAAGCAGTACAATTGGCCCTGATGATGGAAATACAAAAGCAGGACCCCAATCATGCTTTGAAAAGGGCAATCTTTGCCTTACTGGGGCACATGGAAAGAGACATGAGGTGTGCTCAACATTACAAAATCAGCACACTGTTGTTGCCACATTTAGAATCAGTATTAAAACACTGTTTAAGCATGGAGCTGGATTTTGAAGGCTCCATAGGGAGAATTTGTCTCCTGAATATGCTGGGGAATTTGTATGCCAAAAAGGGAATGGTCATAATGGCTGAAGCTGAGCTCAAGAGAGCCAAGCAGCTGGTATTTGATCTGCTCCGGACGTCAGAGGATCAGCTGTATGCAGAGGCAATAAGCCGTATAATGGTGCGCAGGCGCATGAGTTTCCGTGAGGTCACAAGTGACTTAATGACTAGCACCAAGGCAGACTTGCTGATGAACATGCTGTCTGAAACCAGTTACAACAGTATGGATGAAAATGATCTTCTGAAACTGTTGTGTACCCAGGTATTCAAACATCCTGATATTAAAGCACTTCAGGCCAAGCTGGGTCCAGTGGTGGTTGAACTTCACACACAACTAACCCCTGAGATGTACCTTGATCTTGTAGAAGAACAGGTGGGGACTCCTCTTGGGAAGATGAGGAGAATCTACCTAGCAGAGATATTCATCTCCATACTGTATTCTTATGGTTCCCTGTATTTCTGTCAGAATCCGAGCAGTGTTAGAAATGATCAGAAGCAGCTGTACATCAGTGATTTGAGGTTAGCCAAGAGATTATGCCAACTTCTCGACTCTGCCTTTCATTACAAAAGCATATATTTAATAGTGGCAGATCGCAATGCTTTACTGTGTCTTGATTTTGAATACAGTAAGCTTACCCAGAAAGAACTTATCAAAAACTTGGAGCATGCCAAGGCAAGGTATGGGGACTTGCTTCATGATCATGATGACTACTACTATGCTGGTGTTCTCAAACTGACAAGTCTTCACAGTGACCCATATCACAGAGTGTTCTGTCACCGACAAATAGTACGCTGCTATATCCTGTTCATCAATCTGGAGACCTATGCAGACATACCCCAACTTCTGCGTGAAGGGCAGAAGCATTGCGACAGGATGCTGCAGATAGTGGAGGAGGCTCAAGAGGCTGGGTACAAAATTCCGCAGACTAGTTTGTTTTACAATACAGCTGCTGAGTTTGTATTGCTTCACAATACTCCAGGTTACACTGAGATGAGTATTGAATACTATAACCAGTCGTATGAGGCAGAAGTCGTAAAGGCCAAGGTCACAGGAGCTCTATTAGAAGCAGTGTTGGGACTGACCAAGATATACAAGCAAGAGGGAAAGCATGAGGATGCTTTTGCCTATGCCCAAGAAGGTTTGAGGTTTGCTAAGCGACAGCCACTTTTTGCTAAATATCAAGACGAAGCCTTACGGCTTGTGAGGCAAATAAAGATAGAACATCCCTCTGTAAGCCGTGGTGTCTGTGCTGTTAGATAAAGATGCAAGATGGTTTAGACCATAAGACTATCCCTATGGAGTGACACTACCCTGGCTTTTGTTTGCATTAAATGAATTTATTCTTTGATTGAGATATTCAGCACATATCAGTTGCCTGGTTTATGGCAAACATATAATCTTTAAAAAGATTCTGTACAGATTCTTTTCTTTAAAGAGCATTTTTAGTATAATAAATACAGGGCAGCTGCTCTTTACATAAATATAGGGTGTAATGATAACAATGATGCTGTACTACTATAAGTATTGAGACAGGAAATAATGTACTAAAAAAGAAAAAGAACCCTTTCATAACCTTGCTATTGCTTACTGTTCACATGTGTTAAACCTTGTGTTTACTAAACAGCAAGTGCTAATGTGCATGAATGTGATCACCCCAAAGCTATGTATCACTGAAAACTCGATTACTAGGGCCTTGGAGGGCAAACTACCAGCCTTCATTTTCACTTTAATGGTATAATGTTATTAAATTGGAGGTTTAATGCTAGCTCAAGAAAATCAAAAAGCTAAAGAACNGGAGCTGGATTTTGAAGGCTCCATAGGGAGAATTTGTCTCCTGAATATGCTGGGGAATTTGTATGCCAAAAAGGGAATGGTCATAATGGCTGAAGCTGAGCTCAAGAGAGCCAAGCAGCTGGTATTTGATCTGCTCCGGACGTCAGAGGATCAGCTGTATGCAGAGGCAATAAGCCGTATAATGGTGCGCAGGCGCATGAGTTTCCGTGAGGTCACAAGTGACTTAATGACAAGCACCAAGGCAGACTTGCTGATGAACATGCTGTCTGAAACCAGTTACAACAGTATGGATGAAAATGATCTTCTGAAACTGTTGTGTACCCAGGTATTCAAACATCCTGATATTAAAGCACTTCAGGCCAAGCTGGGTCCAGTGGTGGTTGAACTTCACACACAACTAACCCCTGAGATGTACCTTGATCTTGTAGAAGAACAGGTGGGGACTCCTCTTGGGAAGATGAGGAGAATCTACCTAGCAGAGATATTCATCTCCATACTGTATTCTTATGGTTCCCTGTATTTCTGTCAGAATCCGAGCAGTGTTAGAAATGATCAGAAGCAGCTGTACATCAGTGATTTGAGGTTAGCCAAGAGATTATGCCAACTTCTCGACTCTGCCTTTCATTACAAAAGCATATATTTAATAGTGGCAGATCGCAATGCTTTACTGTGTCTTGATTTTGAATACAGTAAGCTTACCCAGAAAGAACTTATCAAGAACTTGGAGCATGCCAAGGCAAGGTATGGGGACTTGCTTCATGATCATGATGACTACTACTATGCTGGTGTTCTCAAACTGACAAGTCTTCACAGTGACCCATATCACAGAGTGTTCTGTCACCGACAAATAGTACGCTGCTATATCCTGTTCATCAATCTGGAGACCTATGCAGACATACCCCAACTTCTGTGTGAAGGGCAGAAGCATTGCGACAGGATGCTGCAGATAGTGGAGGAGGCTCAAGAGGCTGGGTACAAAATTCCGCAGACTAGTTTGTTTTACAATACAGCTGCTGAGTTTGTATTGCTTCACAATACTCCAGGTTACACTGAGATGAGTATTGAATACTATAACCAGTCGTATGAGGCAGAAGTCGTAAAGGCCAAGGTCACAGGAGCTCTATTAGAAGCAGTGTTGGGACTGACCAAGATATACAAGCAAGAGGGAAAGCATGAGGATGCTTTTGCCTATGCCCAAGAAGGTTTGAGGTTTGCTAAGCGACAGCCACTTTTTGCTAAATATCAAGACGAAGCCTTACGGCTTGTGAGGCAAATAAAGATAGAACATCCCTCTGTAAGCCGTGGTGTCTGTGCTGTTAGATAAAGATGCAAGATGGTTTAGACCATAAGACTATCCCTATGGAGTGACACTACCCTGGCTTTTGTTTGCATTAAATGAATTTATTCTTTGATTGAGATATTCAGCACATATCAGTTGCCTGGTTTATGGCAAACATATAATCTTTAAAAAGATTCTGTACAGATTCTTTTCTTTAAAGAGCATTTTTAGTATAATAAATACAGGGCAGCTGCTCTTTACATAAATATAGGGTGTACTGATAACAATGATGCTGTACTACTATAAGTATTGAGACAGGAAATAATGTACTAAAAAAGAAAAAGAACCCTTTCATAACCTTGCTATTGCTTACTGTTCACATGTGTTAAACCTTGTGTTTACTAAACAGCAAGTGCTAATGTGCATGAATGTGATCACCCCAAAGCTATGTATCACTGAAAACTCGATTACTAGGGCCTTGGAGGGCAAACTACCAGCCTTCATTTTCACTTTAATGGTATAATGTTATTAAATTGGAGGTTTAATGCTAGCTCAAGAAAATCAAAAAGCTAAAGAACATATGCACTGTTCAACAGTGCCTCTATTTTTTTTTGTTTGATGCTAGTTTCTTTTCATAAAGTTTTCTTGTACAAGGTATAACCATGGGTTTGAAGTCCAACATTTTTTTTGGCTGTTATATACTAACTGGTGACTTAGTCAAGATTAGAAATTAAAATATTAATAGATACATGTAAAAGTGTCTGATTAAGATAAATTTGCACATATATTTATGTCCATAATCTGTATGTTGCACTAACCATTTTTTTTTTAGAATTTTCAAATACATGTAACAGTGGCTGGTTAATGTAACTGAATGTCCATTATTATTAGATTAGGTTTTTCCCAGAATAACTATTTTATACTTACATTTTTAAATTTATTTCTATCATGTATTTGAACAAGATTCATAAAGTTACAGTGGTTAGTCTTATGACTGAAGATCTCACAAACAGGATCACAGCTGTTTTTTTTTTCTTTCTTTTTTTTTTAATATTGCATTTATTGTTTTTTATTATTTTTAAGCATTTAAAGGTATGTTGGACATGTCTGCTCTGTAGAAAAAAAGTAAATTTTAAAGGTCAGATTACTTAAATAATATATTGTGCTTAAATATACAGTTTTAAGCATTGTTAACTATTATGTTAAATGCTATCAGGCAGATATAACATGAACATTCCCATGATTTTCTTACCTCATGTTTATTCCACCCAGTAACCATATATCCATGGAAACCAGAACAGCAAATATATATTTTGCATTTTACTACAGTCTCAGCAACACCTCTTGTTTGGATATAGAAAGTTCAAGGCTGAGAAATGTATTTTGTGGTTCTCTGTGTCAAAGGCAGCTTTCAGTGATTGCATAGAGAAATCCAGAGTAGAGTTGTACTGTACATATTAGTTTGTCATGTTTTATGTATGTATATTTTAACCTGCATGATTGTATGAGCTGGCAAAATGGAATAATTAAGCAAAGTGACTGTGTGTAAAATGCACAATGTTTTAAATGTGCACCCAAGATATTTAAGTTTTATTGTACAGTGGAAATGTTTGAAATGGTAAGAATTTAGACAGGTTTTCTCTTTAAGAGGAATTTTGTAAAAAGTGTACATTTTTTACATATTGTTTTAGTGACTTTCTGCTGTCAAAAATGACACTGAAGCTGTTAATGTATTAATTAGATGTTTGGCATGTATACTGCCTCATTAAATGAGAAAAAGTATTTCGCTCTTCACTGATCGTATGTGGTATCTTGCCAAGGCTTCCCATGCATAACTGCATATGTTGTAGTTGTCAGTTTGTTTATATTGATTTTTAAGTATATTAGTGATATTGTTGTCTAGATGCATATAATCTTTTTAAATGTCAATTAAGTTTCAAATCTCCCCAACTTTCTGGGGGAAAAAAAGTGAAAAAGCTGTCACATTTAGCATAGAGTTTGACTCTACATATCTGATTCCCAAAAGTCAAATGAGAGTTGTTTCTTAATAATGGAACATTTCATGGTGCACATAATCTTATGCCTTCCAGTATTTGTCTCTTATTTACTAGGAGTATATTTGTTTTGGTTATAGTCGAGTAGCCAGAACGCTAACCCTGCAATGTTTTTTCCTGTAAACTTTTTTCGCTGAAATGCATTCTTTAGGTCGAGAGAAGCAAAATTAGCTTGGTTGCTATTTCCGAGACCTTGAGCATTTTTCAATATGGCCGTCAATTTATGAGAAAAAATAGAAAAACGAGCAGAAGTCGCCGGGTAAACTTTATTGACAGCTATTTTGAACGTGTATCCTATCAGGAGAGCACAACAGTACTAGTGAATACACTTAAGCCCGTTACATATGGCAAAAAAGCCAAAATGGCCGTCAAAACATATGGCAGAAAGTAAAAACAGCTGCAAAATAAGTTCGTTTAATAAGTTGCATATTTAGTTGCATATTTAGTCTTATTAAAACATTTCCGTCTTTTCTATTTATGTCCATTATGATAATTTGTTAGTCATGATCCTAAACTCTCAGAAACTGCTTATTTGACATTAATCAGATGGTGGCAGACGGTGCCATCTCCTGAGAGTCAATTTGCCACTCCGACGAGCCCCATAGTCAAAGCTTGCTATGTTATATCTTGCAAGCTTATTTAAAAGAAATTGTTTCATCTGGGTTACAAAACTTAGAGAAGCTTATATAACGAGATATTTACAATTTTTCAAAATTCAAGATGGCCGTCAATTTCTTATGTGAAAAGCGAGAGCCATACATTCAAATAAAAAATCGATGCTTCACTCCATTGTTCATCATTGCATATTTATATTTATATCCATGCAAAGCGCGATCATTTATTTCATTTTGCAAGTTATTTTAATAAAAATGGCATCCAAAACATAATGGAGGGGGAAAGAAATAACTGTAAAACTACAAAGCTTTTAACTGAAATAGACTTTAACTGGAACAAATATAAATACATATATAAAGTGAAAAACGATATACCTGCGTTCAAGACACAACACACAATAAAACATATTTTTAGGTTAAATGATACGAAAAACGAAAACCAATATGTCCATCAATGCTGCTCTATGACCAAACCAAACATTGATTGCGGATATCTCAGTCCTGACAACTAATTTTTCATTCTAAATCAAAAATTAATGAAAGGTATTATCATTCTAGTATGTGTAAACTAAATCATTTTAAAATAAAAAAGGCGTCAAATCGTTTTATTCTTATCCTTTTTTTGTAAACGTTTTAAATATTTTAACAGCTATGGGTAAAGGCATTTTTGTTGTTTAATNCGACTCGACTATTAAGGATAAGGGAAATCAAAATGTAATCAGAATTCCACAGCCTGCTTTCATTTTCAACACATAGCTCTAAAATCTGAGAGAAAACCCATATATTTTATGAATATTATTCATTAAGGAGAATCAGCTTCTTTGCTTGTAGAAATACAATAACAGGCACATTGCTGCAATTTCAGAAAGATGAAAAACTATTTTTACTTTAAAATGGTCATTTTCTAAAGAAAATAGATGAAAGGTTACTTTAGAATGATACATCTTTATCTTTCACAGTGAAAGTAACTTTATCTTTCGCTACCATTTCTCTTATAAATAACACCCAAGAACTAGAGTTAGACCAGAAATTATATCAGTACTTGTTATATTGGTCATGCAGCGCAGATCTACTTACTGTGAGTAATCCAAGGTTGCAATAGATATATGGTGTATTTGTCATTGGCAATGAAATAACAGCTGAGAGAAATAGAAATTATATTGACATATTCTTAAAATATGTGTAAATGCATGAAATTGGAACCCCCACAAAGAACCTATTCATAATGTGCATGGTGTTTCCTTGTTCTGAAAATGTACTGCTTGGCAACCCTTTCTGTACAATAAACAGTCTGTTTATACCTTGCTCACAGTGATTTTTGTCAAATTAATCAGTTGGGTGCTTTAATAAATGATTACACAGAGCAGGAAACGTAGCATAAAGGTGGCAGTATGTTTGATTAAATGCTATCTTAGTTGCATAGTGAAATGTTAAACTTCAGTTTTGTCCACAATGGAACACCGTTCCGGATTGGCAGATGTCAGAATTCCCAGAGCACTCAGGAGCAGAAAGTGTTCAGCAGAACAAGATCAAGTACTCTGGAGCAGAAGTATAATTATAAAAATTCAATCCAGCAAAACCCCATTTTCAATTTTTTTAGTATGTAATGGGACATTTCAATGATGCTTTTGTACAAAGCGATTGTAAAATTTTCTTTTTTAAAATGTGAAGAAGATAAACATGATTGGTTCAAGTTTTCTTGATATAGTATGAAATCTTTTGGGTTGCTGCTTGTGTCTACAACATCAGATATCACGAATATAAGACCTTGCTGGTTGTACTGTAGTTAAATTTACAAAATAATTTCAACTGTAATTTTTCTTTGACTGAAACTATACTGTGTATGTGTGCTCTGTTTGAAACACCTTAGTGGATTTAATTTTATTGCATTAAACAAATTCATGGTAATGTTTAGTGGCAAATCTCAACTTACATGAAATACTGTGTCACTGTTTATCTGCTTCTTATGAACAATAAATCACTTGTACAAGCGATGTGTAAGTAGTTTATTTTATTTTCTGATTCTCTTAGAAAATATGAATTAACACAATCTGACATATCACTCAAAATTGTTTAAAAAATATAAATGTGTAACAAACTATCCTTTTCTGAACTGATTGCACAACTGCTTTTTCAAAAGCTGATTTATGCTTTCTTTAACATGATCCTTATGCTTAAAACAGCTATACTCTAAAGGCCTGTTCAGAACCAGTTGATCTGCAAACTAACTAGTCTGACCCACTTGAAAACATGCCAAGATTTAACTGCTCTGCCCTCCAGGGACTGCACATGGGAGGTGGGAACCCATTGTCAAGTGGGAGCCATATCTGATCTATTTACTACTTGGGCTGTATTCCCAGAGCTTTTAGATCGATCTATCCCCACGGGGAGTCTCAATAGATTACTGTCAGAGAATCCGGCTTAAATGTCCGTCCCGCCTACTACAAGCTGTAAGGGGGTAATTAACTTTCGTGTCCGCTCGGCTGACAGCTATTTAGCATGAATCCCCAGGGAGTTAGGTCGATCTAAAGTAGATTGATCAAATCTCTGGAAATGGGGTCTTTGTCTGCAGATCAAACTGGTTCTGAACAGGTCCTAAAAATGCAGTAGCTGCAGAAATTATTGATGATACAGAACTAAATAAAATTACAACAAGTCCTCATTTCTGTCATTTCAACACCACTAAAACAGCTGATAGAATCTCATAAAACATTGCCATGATAATAAGTTTTGAATCATACAAATTGATTGTAAAATGGTGCAGGTATGCAGTTTTATCTTATTAATTAAAATGTGCAACATAAGTATCAAACCTCTATTAAATGGTTTGTACCATAGCCTCATTTAAAAATCCTTTCATATCAAAAACTTCATGAACACTACTTTTATCACAATTATTTTTTTTCTTGGCAGCACAATTTTAATATGAACAATGCAATTAGAACATAGACTGTGTTGACATGCTGCAACTGAATGTTCATATCTCTGTCCAGCAATGCTATGCTGATACCATTGGTGCAACTCCCAGCTCTTTGGCCAAATCTTCCTATAATACAATAAAATAAATATGTCTCAAATCATAATAATCATGAACGATTTATAAATAATTAAATAATTTCCTCTCCTTAACTCAAAATATCTAAAACACTTGAATATGAAGACATACTGATAACTATCAATAATACATAAACTGGAAATAATACACTGTAAGTTTAAATATTAACCTGTGGTCTATCATCATTTCACAAAGGATGCATATATTATTATTAGCAGGTGACGCAAAGACCTTGTATTCTAAATATTGTGAATACAAACTAAAGCAATTGCTAATGGAATTCCTTTAACAAAGGTTTTAAGAATTTAAAAAGAAAATTACTACATATTAAAGGTAAAATCATATTGTGATACAAATTGTTAAAAACCAGCCTGTATGCCTACCAGATAAGCAATTTGGTTTGGATGGTATCTTATCCCACCTTCCCTATCACATTGTGACATGTGTTTTCTCTCAGGGTCCCCAGCAACAAGGACTTCACTCTCACCTTCTGCCTGGAGAGCAATAATAAAAATATGTGAGAGACTGCAAAGAAATGTTGGCAGCCAATAAAACCTTGTTAATTTTTAAAAATAAGATGGTTTCCACAGCAAATAATGAATAACTTCATAGTTACACATGAAAAATTGCATTTAAACATAAGCTTACTGTTGTTTCTCATCAATGAAACAATGTCTAACAATGTCCTGGCTTGGAATTTTCATTACTCGGCAAGGGGGGGATACTAAATTGGAAAACTGAGAAGGCTTGGATTGAACTATTGATTGTTTATCTTCCTTACAAACATCTTCCTAGTTAGACATGCAAATATACTTCTTTGCAGGTATAATTTTTTCTTACTGGTTCTAGATTTCTACAAGTATCCATCAATTCCTGCATCCTGTCAGTAAAGCCACTTGCAAAGTTCTCTGGGTTTATTGCTATAAAACACTGCCCCTAAAAAAGGAAAGAAACTACACAAAGTAAGCAAACAAATACAATGACACCACCTTTCTTTTTTCCTAAAACACCCTTTAACACAAAATATAAAGAAGCTCAAAACTTCTGATTATGATGTCTTTCATTGCTACAGTGAATCTAGTTATCCGACAATTTTCTATTAATGCCTCCTTGAATGCAGTCCCCATTTCTGTATGGACTGGTGTAACTATAAAATGCTAATCTAAACGCAACCCATAATGAACTTACCAGATTGGCAACTCTGTCAGTTTTCATCCATTTGCGAATATTTGGACCCCACTCTGCACCACTGAGAATTCCACAGAATATTTCCACCAACATGGCCAGCCCATACCCCTTATAGCCACCTAAAATATAGGAGTATCTTAATTTACCCATTTTTGTCGTGTGTGTGTGGGGGGTACAGGTAACAATGCAACAAACAAATGAAAGCTATGTGGTTCAAGTAAACGCATTACAATAGCTCATACTGATACTTCTTACCACACTCTTCTGATCCTCCCAATGGCATCAGTCCACCTCCTTCCAAAACCTCATCTGGATTGGTGGTTTCCTACCAAAATGCGTAATATACCCCATGTTTTCATTTGAATCTACACTTGCATTCTTAAATGCATCCTGACAATTTAATTTCTCAGAATTCCAATTGATCTATTATTATACAAATGCACATCATCCAAAGTTTAATACTATAATGTTAAAATACAGAACTTGATTATACTTTATATCATCTTGTTCAGAAAATGTATAAAATGAGGAAGTATGTTGCAAAACAAAAAAATCAAAAACAAAAATCTGTCTATAATTTGTATATTTGCTTTTACCTTTCCTGCCTGGTCTACACCCCAACCTTTTGGCATGTTTGTTCCTTTTCTTTGACAGATTTCGACCTGTAGTCAACAAACACAGTATAAGAATTTTTTCTATACATTGTGATTTGAATATTCTTATACAATTATAGTAATAAACAAATGTTAAATTATAAGATGATTATGAAAAATCATCTTGCAAAATATCAGAGTATTTCAAATATTATTTTCGCATCTTACAAACTATTACTTTAGATCACAAAAATTGACATTTCACTAACCATTACTTTAGATCACAAAATTTAATTGATTGTTATTCCTGGAAGGATATTCACCCCAAAGTAAAAACTTTTTTTTTATATTGTGTTGTTCACACTTGCATGCTACAGTTTCACTTTCATGCTAGGACATATGAATCAATCACATTTATTGCTGTTTCCACATGATTTTAGTTTTACTTATGTTTTTACACTTCAATTAAATATTGGACCAACCAACTGATATTCCACATGTATAACCTTTAATAAAAATATATATTGGATTTGTTGTACAGAATTTATCTGTAAATTATAACAATTAGTCATCAATGTGGAACATTGGTAATGGCATGCAGTAGTTACTGGGTAGGCAGGCCCGAATTTACCTTTCCATAGGCCACAGTGGTGGTAGCCATGTCTAATACAAAACTATCCCCTTCTTTTCCTGGGGCAGCCAAAGTCAGAGCATTTGTGCCCAAATGGGCCTATTTAAAATATAATCATTTGATTCATAAAGAGATTATTCAAATCATGCCCATTTCTAATTTTGCTTATATAAGCAATCCGGCATTCTGATGAAAGAAATCTTTCTATTCTTGATATTATACATGTATATCAGTGTACATGCATATATTTTTTCTGATGGTAGGGTGCCAGAAACTGAAATAAAAGGGTGGGGGTGGAGGGGGGGGCAAAGCAACAGAGCATGCATGTAACTCTACCACATTTTTCTGAAACACGAAAAAAAAATCAAGCAAATGAATCAAAACACATAAACTAAACAAATCATATCACAGCACACCAACCAAAGTCCTCTATAAAGGCTCCTCTGTCACAGCAATCAATTTCTCTCACCTTCCCAACTGCAGCAGTGGAAGTTGCCATATCAAGCAGAAAACTGTCTCCATTCTTGCCCGGAGCAGCAAGAGTTATGGGGTTAGTTCCTAAAGTTGGCTATTGTAAATTAAAGGAGAAAGTAAAAAGAAGGTCATTATCAAATTTATGATTCTAACATATTTATTACATACTCTTTAAAACTGTATAAACAAAAAGATTTCCATTTAATTTTTGGAAAATAAAATCACAACCAGACATACCATGTATGTTGTAAAGGAAATATGGTATTGTGGTAATGGCTGGATCTTTTCCATGGGCAAAAATTATCAAATTTTCAGATACATCATTTTAAAATCATAAAAATTCTATTTTGTAACATTTATGGTGCTTTTGCTTTTAATGCATAGAATAGAACTATAAGGTAGTCTGCTTTTCAATTTTGTTGTTACCACTCAATAGAATTGCTCTTATTTTAAGAAATTAAGACTTAAAAAATACAGCATCTGTAAATTTCACAATTTTCCCCATTGAAAAGATCGAGTCATTACCTTATTCCAAGGAAATGAGAATTTCTTCATCTCACTATCATCAAAACATGAAAATAATGCATCACAATAAATTCGTTAATATATTAAAATAGGAAATGATTATGACAATCATGTTTAATACTCACTTACTATATAATTACTGCCAATTTATGACACCTTGTTCATCATCTACATAAATATTCTGCTGTAAAAGCCACTGACTACAATTTACATTGGAAAACGTGTCTTCTTTTGTTTTATAAAATTATGTTGAAATCTTGACAGATCTGTTAGTTACCATAATGATGACATGTTATATTATTAAGTTAAACGGCTGAATAACATAGATGAAGGTTAAACAGTTAAACAAAAATTACTGCAATGATTTTAAAACAAGGCACCGAAGCTGTCAAATGTACAGACAAAAAGAAAATAATTAAATAAAAAATAGGATAATTTGTCAACTTTGTTGCAATATTATTTTAATACATATTTTTTTAAAAATTAGTGTTGATTTTTCTGTTAAGCATTACAATGCTTATTCAAGTTTAATAGTAAATATGGGTGTATCTTTGCCAGTTTTTCAGATATGAATATAGTAGTATCTGTTTCAGTTGTAGAGATATAGGGGCTAGTAAATGTGTGAAGTGCATTTCATGTAGAAAAGTAGGTCAAAGGTAAAATTCCAGGTGAGATTAATATGCCCAATATATGATTTCCTATTCAAGTTGAATAGTAACTACGGGTCTATCTCTGTTATTTTTGGAGCTATACAGGCTGGAAAATTCAAAAACTGCATTTCATGGTGAAAAGTAGGTCAAAGGTCAAATACAAGATCACATGCCTATATATGGGTTGCTGTATTCAAGTTTAATCTAAATAGTAACTATGGGTGTATCTTTGCCAGTTTTTCAGATATATGGCTGGAAAATTAGCAACGATCAGTTCAGGGTGAAAAATAGGTTAAAGGTCAAATTCAAGGTCGCATTAAGATTGCCAATGTGTTTTTAAAGGAGACCACAAGTGTCATTTCTCACCATAATATTGCAGCAAATCAGCACAAACAAATATTTTTCCACAGAAAATTAAAATTTTTACAACATTTTGGCCACTTTGACCTTGAAATATAGGTCAAATGTCAACTCCAAGCTCATATTTGAAATCTTCATATATAACTTTCTGACAGACTTCTATAGTAACTTTTCCAATAATTCCAATGGTTTGGGAGATATTTAGCATTTAATTTTCAAAATATGCTTTAAAAGTAAAAAAAAAATAACAGCATAACCTTTTAAAAAATGGTCCAATCAAGCTGATTTTCAAACTCGACCTGTATTTTATGAATATTCAGTTCTGTAGCTCTGGTTTTACACTTAGTGTTATCTCTGATGGCGACAGACCCAGGTGACGGCTGTATGTACAAACATAATGTGTCTGTACATAAAAATACCACATACCTTTTTGGCTCTAGTTGGTACTTGTAATGGTGAAGTGTTAGTGAAAGACATGCCCTAAAAAAGAATAAAAAAGCTCACATCAATATGCAGACAAGATGTTTTGAAAAAAATAAAATGATGAATATAATGACTTTAAATAGTTGCACAATAAAGTTTATTTGGGTAAATATAGAAAACAGAAACACTGAAGATTTTCACTCGCTATCTTTTTAATAAACAATTGAAGTTTCATTTTTCCATAGCTATAGAAAAATTAACTGAGATTTACTACCAATATTTTGTCTGCTGACAGTCAGACTTTATCAGGAAAATGGGGGCTTTAATAGGTCATTTTGTCCATACAAAATGTTCACATTTGTTATGAGAAACAATTTCAATTCAGAAACAAAAAAGTGAATTTGGCTGTGCCTGTCTCCTACTCTGTAAGCTTGTTCCACTAATATTTACTCACAAGGGAATCTTCAATTTTTCTTTGACTATGCATGAAAAAAAGTACTAAGCCAAATAAAAACTACATGTAGCACTTTAGAAAACTCAGAAAACACTGTCCCATCCTTATGATGACAGACAAATGTACACGTAGATATGGTTCATACAGTATATAGCCAAAGAGCAAATAATATGCATAATGAGGATGCCATAAGTACTTTTTTCTTCATGCCCATTGTCAACTTCAATGTGGAATTTTGTTTAATCTAAACAAATTTCTTTATTTGGATATTTTAAAGCTTCTCAAATATAAATGTTTCATCAAAAAGTGTCAACAAAATGTGCAACTTATAGGTTGATCTGTTTTTGCAACAATGTCTCTAGATTTTACAATGCATCTTACTAATTGTCTATTTTGACCTTAATAAAAAAGGTCAATGGTCAAGTCTACAGTCACATTGGAAACACACTGCACTGATGTTGAATCTTGGTCAGTGCACACAATGACTGGCAAAAAGTATATATTCTAATATAAAAGGTGTTGGGTAAACTGTTATCTTAATTTCTTTTAGTCTAAGTAAATGCAGATGTGGCAAGATTTTTTTAGCAAATTAAAATCCACATTGCTTTCAGCTCTGTAAGCTTGTGGTACTAGGACAAAATATGCTACTGGTATTACCATCATTCCCTCTTCCAATGCTTGCAAACTGTAAAACCCAGCAATTCCATAGTGGTTAGAACCTACAAGAACAATGAGATCATAGCTTGGCTGATGAAATACAGATTGAGGAAGCAAACGGAAAATTTAAAGACATATAAAAAATTATTTTTCAAATAAAATAGTGATAATTTGTTGATTGTTTTTTCAAAATCAATTCAGAATTGGATATATTGTGCATATCTTTTCCAAATGAGGACATTCAGTCTTGATTAAAGTTAAATGTTGGCTGGGATGAAGCCAAAGAGGTGGGTTTATATGGATTATCAATGTGTTTACCTTTAAAAGAAATTACTGATAGAACCACAGTTGGCTGTTAAAAGCAGTCAAAATTGCTAGGTACCATGAATAGGTTTAATGACTCCATAGAACAGAGGGCCAAAGAGAAAAAGAACCTACCTCTGGCAACTACCCATCCAACTCCAGTTTCCTTAGCTTTCTGTATTGCTATCTTCATACAGTAGTTTCCAACAACTGGGCCCAATACATTCTGCCCATCCACCAGAGCTGTGGCCGCCGATTCTTTTACTGTTACCGGTTCCATATCATGAACTGTGATGCCAGACTTTATGTCCTTTACATACATATCTGAAATATTATTAAGGACTGAAAGGTTTTTTCTGATAACAATAAATTTCATTAAAATAACATATAATAATAGCAAATAAACAAAGTAATCTTAATTATTTTTTTTTTTTTTAAATTAAAAATACAGTTGTTTCATGTGGTTTTAAGATTCAACAACCGAGTGGGTACACGCCCCCCGGGTACAGTACTGGTACGTACTAGAAGTACCACCTCTAAACACCCGTCTTTCTATTCTAAGTTAGTCTTTCTGTATAATAACATACAGTGCAATATTGCATATACACTTCATTTAACCACTTATAAATGAAACAGGGATATTCATGTCCCTACGTAGTCGGTTAATTCCATGGCTATAATGTCCTCGGTAGTCGGCTTTAATTAGGGCATCTGCCAGCTGACTCGCGTGCTCCTTTTTTGTACCAACTGTTGCCATGCAACGTTCTACAAAAGGCTTGATCTCCGTGAATTGGATCAACTTCCATCCCTCCTCTGATGCACTAGAAGAAAACCTTGTTTTGGGGTTATATGTTCTTAAACGATGTAAAAAATTCATACAAAATAAAAAATTTCTGCCCCTTCCAACCATGTTGGAATTCCCTTTTCAAGGACCAATCAGAATATGTTACTAAAAAAATTATGAACTTTTTTCATGAGTTTTATTTTTGTCACCAATAAACATAGGTCATGGACATTGACACTGTGAAAGAACTTAGACTATAGTTCTTTTGATTTCGATATTAAAGAAAACCTCTAAACGAGAAAAATTGACTGAAATACTAACTCGCCTCGATCTAAAATGACCTAGACAAGTGCGTGATGCAGCATACACTCCGTGAAATAGCCTCTTGATCGAAAGCATATTATGTATCAACGCTGCTTAAAAGCGAGGTTACCTTCTATTTGGATTTTACACGAGAAAAGTCGATGGCATAATATTTTACAGGAAAATCGTGTTCAAGGTAAAACGAATAATGTTGTGCCATTCCATTTGGACGCACATGGTGCATGTAAACTTTCATCATGGCTCTTTTCACTGGGTTACAGATTATAAAGTCTTACATGATAAGTTATAACGTTTTAAAGGACCATATAATTACATGAATACTGTACATGCCTGGCAAAGCAGAAACCGACCGGGTGCACAACAATCGAGGCTATAATGGACACCGCCTACTGAACGGCTCTAAGCAGATACATTAATTCTTTCTTTGTAAAACTGTGGCAGTAATATCTTAATTTAAACTTGGGTGAAAACGACAACCAATCTTGTCTATCGTTATCTACGTGAATATTTAAGATAAAAGTCCACCTACCCCTTAGTTGCCATTTTATGTCGCCGCTCCTGTTCAACTTGGTGTACACAGTGTGGACAAAGTATCTGACATACTGACCTAAATCTTACCTTGCGACTTTATCTGTAAGGTGCTTTTGTTATTGTATTGCTTAAAGTGTATAGTTTTGAGGCAATCTGTCTTTTCCTGTCATCAAATATCTTCAAAGCTTCTGTTGAAATTTAAGTTGTACCCAACTTGAAATAAAATTTAGTGTATTGATGATTTGTATTGAAATGCATGTATATTGTACAAGAACCTGGTAGGTTCTCCATCCTTATGTGGTGACTGTCCTATATGCTATTGACTGCTTTCCATCCATTGAGAAGAGAAATATGTCCTTGATTGATGAAAAAACATACATATTGATCCAAAAACTGTTCACTCAGGAACTTATGCCTGGACTTTATTTTTTTTACGTACATAAAGCTTATGCAGGATCAATTATTCCAAAGGTGTCATGATGTGAAAAAATATATAAATAACTAATAGTATTTAAATTATATAGAATTTTATGTGTTCACAAATCCATGCACTCGTTATTCCATAAAAACATCTCAGTGTGCTGCTTCTCCATTAATTACCCAAATGGCCTAATACTTTGCTGTAATACCATTTTGACTGGCAGACTTTCAGAGTAATGGCATTTTGGAGTTATGGATCTTAGAAATTATAGTAATTCATAGTAATAGGACTGCTCCACCCTCACCCCCAATTTGAAGTACTGGGTCACAGCAATACTAATGGAATGTGTGTGGATGTTTTCAAGTAAAAAATTTGAAACTACTATAAATATTTTTAAATAATTGAAATTCCATGTTGTGTCAGTAACGTACTTACATACAACTTATTTTAATCTATTTTCAGACACTAAGAGGTTCCTGACAAAATGTCAACAAAGGACCACCTTAATTTTAAGTCACCGAACCATGCGGAAGACCTACTGAAAAAACTCCAGGAGTTGTGGCGCAATGGAAGGTTCTGTGATGTACAGCTGGCTGTCCAGGAGAAGCAGTTTAGTGCACACAGGAATGTGTTGTCTGCCTGCAGTCCATATTTCCAGGCCATGTTTGCTGGGGGGCTGGCTGAGGAAGGGATGGCCAAAGTAGAGCTGCATGAAGTGGATTTGGAGATTTTCTCTATTTTGTTAGATTTTATGTATACTGGTAAGTTTTTTGATGGTGCATTTTCATGTACAACTGTTCTAAATTGTACAGATTCACAGTCACTTGTTAAAGGAATATTGTTAATAAATTAAACTTATTAGCTAGATATCTAATAGTGCTCTTTATATGTATCATTCCAGGTGTCCATCATCAACTAGATTAGTTCAATAAAGTTGAAGATATACATATTTATCTATGACGGACACCAGATTTCCCTTGCCACTGTGTCAATAACCGAGTTAGATTTTCAGCCAAAATTTGTAGAGTCTTCAAAACAAACAGGATGCCCCAACTGCAATGTCCTGTGGTGGGTTGTGACTGGCAGTCACAGGACCCATGTTCACAAACTTTAAAAGCTCCCCAGGGGAGGAGACAGAGGACTTTAAAAAAGAGGAATGAGGACTGGCATATAAGTGACGTTTTATACATGCCCGTATAAAACTTCCCCTGGGGAAGGATATAGCTAGATATCTAATAGTGCTCTTTATATGTATCATTCCAGGTGTCCATCATCAACTAGATTAGTTCAATAAAGTTGAAGATATACATATTATAGTATATTACTATTTATTAATTAGTGAAATATATATAAGATGGTCTTGCTGATTATTGCAGTATTATTAGTCATAATGGTTTTAAGGGGTAATGTTATTTATGCAGGATATCGACAGAAGTTTTCATCCTTTAAAAGAAGGTGTGAAAGTTTGATGTATAAAAATTAAGAAGATGGAGACAATTTAGTGGAGGAGATGGATGTTGAGATCATCCCCTCTTTGTGCAATCTCTGTTGCCATATGAATACTTGGAAGTGATACAAATAGAACCATTATAGGCCAGTAAACGAGCATATTTTCCCCATTGAGGTTGGAAAAAATTGGTGACAAAGGTTTCTCAACTGATTCTGGTCCGTTGGAGGTCCAATATAGCCCAAAAAATTTTCCCCATGAATCCCCCCATGGCAAAGTCTGATTTTCCACAAAAATCCAAAATGGCCGCTATTGAATGGGGTGGGTGGACTTGAAATCCATAACTTGGGAACCCAATGTCACAGAAACATGTTTTAAGTATCAACTTCTACTAAGTGAGGGATCCCCAATCTTTTGCAACTAGTCTCAAGGTCGCTGGAGGTCAAGGTCATGACCTTATTACAAGGTCAAGGCATTTTAAAGGAAAAAACCCCATAATGTCTAAATGACAGTTTCCCAATGTCACAGAAACATGTTTTAAGGATCAACTCCTACTAAGTGAGGGATCCCCAATCTTTTGCAACCACTTTCAAGGTCACTGGAGGTCAAGGTCATGACCTCATCATAAGATCTATACATTTTGTGAGCAAAAAAATGATGTGCTGTCCATATATTGGTAACCTAATGTCACAAAACATTTTTTAGTATCCACTATTATTGAATGATGCACCGCCAATCTTTTGCAAATTTATTCAGAGTCATTTGGGGTCAAGGTCATGACCCTAATTTCAAGGACACTGCATTTTTCAAGCAGAAAATTCCCATATTATCTAAACCTTTGTAATTGGATGTCACAGAAGCATGTTTAAATATCATTTCCTACTAAGTGAGGTTCTGATAATATGATGCAATTGCTTTCAAGGCACCAGAGGTCAATGTTATGACCTTATTTTCAAGGTCATGGCATTTTTAGCTCGGACAAAATGCCATCATGTCTACATTTGGATAACCCGGCCAATGTCACAGAAACATGTTTAAAGTATTGATTCATACTAAGTGACATATTGCCGATCATTTGAAACTATTTCTAAGATCACCACAGGTCAGGGTCATATCCTTATAACAAGGTTCAGGTTGTCATAATATTTAAGAAAAATTGATTTTTCACTTATCAAATACAACACAGGTGATTGTTTAAAGAATATTTCATTACAGAAAAGGCATCGCTGCCACTGCATATTACTCATTTAAATAAATGACATTCAGTTTACAAGGCTTAAAGGTATACTGTACCCATTTCAAAATCACTAGGGCCTATGTGTTATATCTATGTTTAAATAAAGCTGTGTGTTTTACATTATACAGGAACTAAAAGTGAACTAAAAGCTTAATAACAAAATATAAACTTGTTTCATACTGGGCAAAGACAGCCTGTTATACAATTACCATTCTAGCCTCACATAAGACATGTAAAAAATTGGAATATTCAGAATCTTATTACAGCATTCTATACTACTGCAATGGGGGAATTATGTCATGTTGGGTATATATATATATATATTTAGATAAAATATTATGGAATTAGAAATGGTGACGTTTTATATTGGACACAGGCTGGGGGTACAAACTGCCAGTAAAAAAACAATCATACAACCGGTGGTGAGTTTACAAGAAATGAAACAACCACATCAGAAGTAGGTAAGCAGTTTCCCTGGGGAAATATAACCAGGTGGGATGGCACCTTTTTATGGTATTTACCTTCTTGCCCAGAAGTCAGATTGCTACACCATTTGAACATCCGTAACAAATAAGTTGGGTTTCTCTCCAGCTTTAAAAGAAATATCAAATGTTGATTTCTCAGATATTCACTTCCAATGCTTCTCTCGAATCTTCAAACTTACTAGCCACAAGTTTATCACAATTGCTAGCTGTGGGTTTTTAACAATAGGTCTACATGTAGATGTGGCATAGCAGAGTTAGGTATGGGTCAATAAGAGTCCTTTTCAGAGAATAAATGCATTTTCCTGGACAAATTTAAGGAGCAATTCGACTGCATGATGGACAGTGATTAAAAGGCAAATGTGTCCTCTGCAGATAAGTTGGACTATTTGCTTCAATACAACTTGTGGATAAGGTAGTCTGCATTAATGCACAACATTCGATAAGCATTTATTACCACCTGATTACTTAATATTTGTCAGAAGGTTATTTCTACGTGGCCAGCTTCAAACTGAAGGATACAAAGTCCTTTACATACGTGTTAGAACCTAGCCCACAGCTAGAACCGTTTGTACGTCCCTTGTCCTTGGTGCTTTGACCATCAAATACAGGCCTGTAGCCAGTGGTGTTCTGGATAAAATTTCATCTAATTACACAAATATTTCATGGTAGAAGGTCCACTTTTTTCAGAAAAAGCCCCCCTCCCCCTATTTAAGACCGCAAGCTCGACACAATGACTGTCAACTGAGCTGCAGCAAAGTAAACGAAGGATGATGACGAGAGCCTGTAGCCAGTTTCCTATCCTAACAGACCTGATAAAAACTTCCAGGTTGCAATCATGTCTCAGTACTAGTTCTCCAATCTGACAGGAGCTGGCATATGAAAACATGTAACTACTTTTGACACAGATGAGCACACCACGAAATAGCAGCTTTAAAGTTTATCGACCAAAACATACTACACCTTCTACACGGTGAACAAGTTCTTCCCAGCAAATGACCTGCTTATTTCAGAATCCCACTGCAGGACCAAGAATTGGGATATTTAGGAAAAAGATGCTGAAATGACACTCAAAGTGCACCATCTACAAGTTTGTCTTCACACAAAAAAACTTATTAATTTCCCACTCAGCACATTAAAATTACCCAATTAACCCAAGTACAGACTTGTGTCAGCATGCTCAGTAGGCTTGGGAGAGGGTATAGCTTTTAGACCTCACCCATCCATGATGGAGCTAAAGGTATTGAATCGACCATTAAGAATCAACACACTTTACCATTGGCAATTCAGTAATGGCTGGCCTTTGGTTGTCATAAAAGCAACCAAATACAGATACTGATTAAATGGACAAATAAATATGCTTTATTCACTATCTCCTCTCTACAATGGCACACAGATACTCCAAAGTAGTCCATACATAAAAAGGTAGGACAAGAAGGCTTTAGGTCAATCATTGGGCAGACAAGAAGAGAGCTTATGCCTGTAGCACCTGTATTAAAAGTTAAAAGTATTTACATCAAACCACAATGGGCTCAGGTCGCTCTATAAAATGTAACATTTGTCATAAAGAATGGAGATGCATATTTTGCTCTTAAACAATCTTATGTGTTGTATTTAGCACACCCTAGAATCAAATTTTCATTAAATTTCATGATGACCTTTCAATAAGGTCAAGCCTGTACCTCCTAGATTTTGGAAATAGTTGCAAATGATAAAGAGGGCCCCATTTAAAAGGCATTAATTGGCACGCTAAACGCGTTTCTGACACATTTGGTAATTGAGAAAGTATGGAATTTTGCTTGAAAACCTCATGACCTTGTAATAAGAGGTCAAAAACTTAAATTCTGGTGACCTTTAAATTAGTTGCAATTGATTGTTTACTTCTCATTTAGAAGGAATTGATACATTAAACATGCATGATTTAGTGACATACGGTTACCAAGATATAGATAATATGATATCATTCACTTGGAAAATACCATGACCTTGACATTTTTTAATAATATTGGCCTCTGCTGACCTTGAAAATAGTTGCAAGTGTTTGGCAGTGTCCCACTTGGTTGGTATTGTTTCTTATAACATGTTTCTATGACACTGGGAAACTGTCATATAGACATTAAGGGTTTTTTTGCTCCAAAAATGCCTTGACCTTGTAATAAGGTCATGACCTTGACCTTTGGTGACCTTGATACTAGTTGCAAAAGATTGGGGATCCCTCACTTCGTAGGCGTTGATACTTAAAACATGTTTCTGTGACATTGGGAAACTGTCATATAGACATTATGGGTTTTTTTCTCCAAATATGCCTTGACTTTGTAATAAGGTCATGACCTTGACCTCTGGTGACCTTGATACTAGTTGCAAAAGATTGGGGATCCCTCACTTAGTAGGAATTGATACTTAAAGCATGTTTCTGTGACATTGGGTTCCCAAGTTATGGATTTCAAGTCCACCCACCCCATTCAATAGCGGCCATTTTGGATTTTTGTGGAAAATCAGACTTTGCCATGGGGGGATTCATGGGGAAAATTTTTTGGGCTATACTGGGCCTTCAACGGACCGGAATCAATTGAGAAACCTTTGTCACCAATTTTTTCCAACCTAAGTTGTTTATTGACTGGCCTATTATTGTAGTTGCTATATCTGGTACCATGTTTTAAGTTACATTGTATCATTTTTTAAATTTCTTCACTAAAAAACTTTTATTGATTTTCATAATTTTTCAGGTGAGGTAGATGTGAGGAATGATAACTGTCAAGATTTGCTGGCAGCAGCAGATATGTTTGGCTTGCCTGAGGTCATGACTGCATGCTGTGAATTTATGAAACAGCAAATTCATCCATCAAACTGTTTAGGTTTGTTTGCCTTACTCAACATACTAAGAATTTGGAAAAATCCAGTTACGAATATTTATTTAATAGCAACTGCAGATTGGCAAAACAAGATTTATTAATTGCAAATTTTATACACCTGTGGCAGATTGTATGATATTTTGGAATACTTGAATTGCAGGTATTTATGACTTTGCTGATGCACATGCTTGCCAGGATTTGAAGAAATACACTGAAAAATATATTCACAAACATTTTCTGGATGTAGTGAAAGAAGAAGAATTTTTCTTGCTTCCAAAAGAAACAGTAATCAAAATCTTCCAGAGTGAGGAACTCCGCATAGAAAATGAGTTTCAGGTCTTCTCTGCTGCAATGGACTGGATCAATCATGATATCAAGGCAAGGAGACCAAGTGTGTTTGATGTGCTAAACCCAGTGCGTTTGTCCATTATTTCACCAGCACAACTAGAGAAACACATCATCATGTGTGAAGATCTGAGTCTAAAAGTTGCTCTGAGAAAAATCATCCAAGACATAAAAACTGATAGAGATATAACCTCTTTTGGTTTAAAACCCCATAAGTTGAATTATTACCAAAAACATCATGTGCAGCCTCGGAGGTGTGCTAGAAAGATGATATATGTGATTGGTGGCTTCAGTCGCCTTCCGGGGGGAAGATGGAGTGACAGTCAAACCCTTAACACTGTAGAATGTTTTGATTCATTCAGACAACAGTGGAAAACAGTACCTTCCATAAAATTTTGCAGAAGCGGCCATGGGGTCACTGTCTTGGATGGCAATATTTATGTGATAGGTGGAGAAAGTGACTCCTTGATTTTTGACACAGCTGAACACCTTGATCCAGTGAGCAATCATTGGTCCATGCTGCCCAGTATGACGGTACCAAGGTGTGGGCTGGGGGTGTGTACAGTGGATGACTTTATATATGCCCTTGGTGGTTGGGTTGGCTCTGAAATAGGAGACACCATAGAGTGCTACAATCCCACACTCAATGTGTGGAGCAAAGTTGGAAAACTGGTGACTCTTAGATTTGCCATGGGAGTTGTGGAGCATGAAGGTAAGCATATATATGTGTCTTTAACATTTAACATGATGATAGTAAGGGTTTTTTGTGTGAATATGAATTCCCCTTTGAGCTTGCTCTATTTTTTTTTTTTCTTGCACTGCTAGGCTGCTGGACTTCCTGTGTCTCACAGAGTTCACAGTGGTCTTTGAGATCCTTCAGCCCTCGCGCCAACACGTGGAAGACCTGTCTTACTTAAAAAGGTAAACATGCTTTGTTTATTCATATATATGATCTTTTTTTCTGTTACAGTATTAAGAATTATTACATGAAATATGTTGTCAAGTGGATTGTATAATACAAGTTAAATATATGTGTAATACAAGTTAAATGCTGGTTTAAAATGTCTGAAAAGAATTCTGACTTTGTGTCAGGTAATAATCTGCTGTGGGAGTCTGGAATAGACAAATCTTGAATTTTTTTTTTGATATGAGAGGTTTTGAATTATTTAAGTAATTGCCATTATATAATTATCATTGCACATCTGCTTGAGATGAAATATACAAAGTAATTGTTATGATTAATTTAGCTTTCAGGATCATGCCTGATTTCAGGATTTTCAGTCTCTATTTATTTATTTTTTGTATGGTCTAAATGTGATGAGAAATTGCAAGCTACATTTTCAAGACTTTCAGTCTTTACAACTCTCACCTTGCATTGTGCATGTACCCAATATGTTTTTTTTTTTTTGTTTTTTGTTTTTTTTTTTTTTTTTTTTTTGTCAGGTCCAAGCTTCAGTTTATTGCCTGGACAAGCTGCAATCTGGAGGCCACAGAAGACAAACAGCTTTGTAGCATGCCCCCAGATATAGCAATACAGGTACTTTGGAATAAATCATTGGCTATACTTTTCATGTTTTGCTTAAAAAAATGATATCACAGAATAAAATAAGGTTGCTTACTTCTTGTATATTTGAAATTTTGAATACTGAAATAACAGGTATACCACATGTATATGTTGCATTTCAGATTGCAGAGGCACTGGGACTTCCTTCTGTTGACTACACTGTCATTCCTGCTTCTGACGTAGATAATAGAATGTTACAAGTAAGAGACAATTCCAAGAGATATCGTACTAACTTTGGACCAATCTATCTCCAAGGGGATTCTCACTATATTGCTGTCAACTTAATGTTAGGGGGTAATTAACTACTAGAGACCGAGCGTGCATGAAAGTTAATTATTAATCATTATTTTAATAAAAACAAAAATAAAGAATATTATTATTATTATTATTATTATTATTATTATTATTCTACATATTTCAGGTGCGTCAGGGTTATGGCTATGAAGGAGAGGTATTTTATTTTCTGGACTCCACCAGATCTGTGATGGGATTGCTGAAGAAGAAAACTATATGGTGATTATACACAATACCTGGCATTGTCTTCAACTTTCATCCTTTATTTTCATTTTTTTTTAAATTGAGACATAGTAAGCAGAAAAAATCAGTTTATTGTTAATTGTTAAGCAGTCAGGTGGCATTTTGTTACAGCAGTGGTTTATTTCATGAAACTATTTTTAAAGTTTAGTTGAAACTGAATGAAAGGTTACTTTTAAAAAGTGAAATGAACATCTGGTAAGAGCAGTTTGACGTCCTTACTTTCAAGGATCACTGGAAAGTAACTTTTCTATTTTATTGTGGGCGGGGTTTCATGTTGCTCCTTCTTTTCCATGTCATTCAGCTGTTCATGTAACTCATGCTATTATATTGTCACAGGTACATTGTGTGTAGAGCCATTAGGGAGAAGAGTCGGAGTACCTGCCAACAGAATAACAAATCTCCCAGTACTTTCTCTTTATCCAAGGCTCTGAATAAGGTTAGTGAAGGTCGGAAGAGAGAAGCAGATATACTCTCTGATACAGATTGGAAATTTTAGTTATTTTTTACTTCCTTGGAAGAGAAACAAAAACAGGCTGGCTGTTTGTAGTATAATAAAAGTCTTAATGTGTTATTTGTTGAAACTAATAAAATGAAATTTGCAGTTATGTGAATTGCACCAAAGTGACCAAAAGCAAAATAAATCCTGTAATTATATTTTTTTCCACTGAATGATTTTTAAAAAATCGTATATAGTGTATTTAATAATGATGACATAAAGTTATTTACAGGATTTAAATTGCAAATTTTCCATTTGCCAAACATGGGTATATGGATCCGTTATTAAATGATTTATTGAATTAAAAAAACAGTGAGCATGTTACGATCTCTTCTCTGTGTTTTCAGACAGAAAGGAGGATAGATGAAATTCAAAAATGGTTGAACTTAGATAACGGAAGTGTGAAGTTATGGAAGGTATGTTACTGTAATTCTATCTGATATATCACAGTCTCTTTATGTGATATTCAGATTTGATATTCAGTCAGGATAAGATAAAATAAGATATTAACTCAGTCCAGTAGATTTGGTTTCAAACCATTATACAAGTATTTAAATTTTAAGACATATTTTCAACAGTCGATCTTCAGAGTAACATTAGCCCTTTCTTCCAGGAATGTACCTTTGGACAATTGTATTTAATTCATTAATTAATTTATGTATGTATTTATGTATTTATTTATTTATTTTTGCATAGGACCTAGGAACCAAATTTGTGAGATGGTGTGTAGGAGGTGTTGACAGAGGAAATATAACAGTGGCAGACGTTGCAGATTTATTTCCTGTACTATGGTAAGGTTTCTTTTCATCACATTCAAGGACTGCTTTCTCAAAATAACTTTAAACCAAAAGTTGACCCCATCTCTTAGAAATTTGGTCCATTCAGTTCAACATAAGTCTGTAGGTATTATGGTCCACACCAATAAAGTGCATTATCTAAACCATGAACCACATCATTCTTCTCATGAAGCAGGAGTAATATTTCCTGTAAGTGATTAACTACTGAATTGTATTTGGTCAAAGTAGACTAAGATTTTGGTCTAAAAGGTTAGACAAGTTTAAAATCCGTATTTGATTGTTTTGTAAATCCCCAAGTTTTGTGGTCATTTTGTTTCAAATGCAGAAAGTTTTTTTTTTATTTAAGCAGTTATAAGTTATAAAAAATTGTTAATTTTCTAAATTTTATTTCATTTTAAGGAAAAGATATTTAGAAGAATCCCATTTAACAGATAAAGTGCATTCTTCATGGACAGAACTATCAGCATCAGACACTTGACACACGTAGACCCATTTAGTGGAAAGAGACCCCCCTCCCACATACCTCAACACCCCCACCCCTGCCATCTACCTCCCCAAACCCCAGGGATGGCAAGTGCCTAGAGCCCCCAGAGGATGCAGAGACCCCAGGAAGGAGGATGACATGTCCACGGGGGACAACCTTTACTGTGATACTGAAACACTGATCTAACCGCCAAGTCCAACACTGGACGGTTGAAACTTTCATGTACAACAACCTGTGAAGAACTTCTGTCTGACCTGTTTACTTGTAATATTTTACCTGTAATTTTTTATTTGTAATATGTTACATGTCATAACAGCAGCAACAGGGAACCCTACACAGGTCAACATATTACATATTTATTATAGAATGTTATTGCAGATAAAAGACATAATTCTTTTTTTTACTTTTTCTGAAAGACATGGTTTTATTGTATAATGTATTTTTCAATAAAAAGATTAAACTTCCTATGTATATGCAGACGACCTGCACTTGTCGTAAAAAAAAATCTTTAGATTTTGAATTCACACATAAATTCAAAATTGCCAAGTCATCTTTAATTGTCGACTTTTCCCCTAGTTCCATTACAAAAGAAAAAAAAAAAACTATCCGGTACTAAAGCAAATTGTGATTGTCAGCATTCACGGCACGTGGTATATGACGTCTATATGTCACATGACCATGGGTCCGCCCACCTGTCAGTTCATATCGCATCAAAAATATTGGTCCTGTCCTATTTACTATCCTCAGCTGGTATAATTAAAATAATTGGGCTTCTTGAAAATATAATGAATATTGTATTCAGTCACAAAACAAGTGAACTGGATCGACCAAGTTATCTCACACTCGCATTTTAAGTCAGGTTGTAATGTAACGACAATAGGATTTGCCATAACCGATATTTCTATAACTCTCCCTCGTCCTTTTTTTTTTCAAATAGAAATGTTGCTATAGTTTCTAGTATATACATGAGACAACAGATAGGGGTGGATCTTGTCCAGTTCCCGCCTTAGAATTGCATCATCAACTAAATTGAACAGAGAACTCCGGTCTATACAGCATGCAGGTTGAGACAGAAAGCTCTGGGATATACCTTTCAGCAGTGTGAGTTGTGAGCATCAACTTGAATGCTATGGATACATACTGTACACGTGTACGAGAAAATAAAAGAAAACTTTTTTTACCTAAGACGGACTCCATTCCGCCTTCTCTGTTCTAAACGTAATAGTCTAAAGCTATTGAAAAATAATTCATAACAGGCAAGATGTAATGTACCAGAAGATGCATATGCCGATACCATATCTGTTAAAACAGCTTTGTCAAAAAAATTAGTCAAAAATTCAGCCACCCTCGAAAAATAATTTGCATTTTAAGTGTGTTTTATTACTTGCCGCCAGTATTGTTCTTTGACTTGTGCCAGTGAACCAAAACGGATTGTTTTTTATTTGCAAAATACTAATTTAAACTTCAAGCTATCTACAAGAAATCTGATGGATTTCCGCCGTGTTTTCAGGCCTCCAATTTTGCTTTTTTGACTTGCTTCAGCGAGAAGTCATCCTTGGGTCCGTGGAAGAAATCTTTCCCGTCAGTTGTCGTCTTGATGTCACACGACTTGATGGCACTGTTCGGGACCTGGAGAAACGTTTACGATGGGAAATTATATGCCAGTATTGAAATGCAACTTTATAAACATCACGATGTCCAAAACAGAAAGAAAGAAAAATGCTCCTTTCATCTACGATAGTCTACTTTTGGCCATTCTCTACACTACAGTATATTATAAAATTTAACAAAGTCAGATCATTTTTTAAAGAAAGAAAACTAATTTCAACGTTCAAATGTATATCTACCTGTTTCACAGATAGGCAGGTCTATGGGTCGTAGTAATATTAAACTTAATCTTTTAACATTGTGCAAGCCGGGGACATTTCAAGCACATGTTCGTTCTGCAGGCCTTTTAGACCCATAGACTGGTTTGTAGTGATTTAAATAATGCAATGTAGATAACCTCTCCTAAGTTCCCTCCCTCCTCCACACACACACACACACACGCACACGTGTTGTAAGACTTACCTTCTTCAGCGGTGTGTATTTTGGATGATGATGATCATACACAGGGTTGTTAGAGGCGCGGTTGAAAGACACAAGAAACGCCCAGCGTCTGTTTGGGCTGTTGTTTTGGTCACTTCTATGCAAAATGTTGGAGTGAAAGAAAAGGGCGTCTCCGGGGTCAAGCTGGACATAGGTCAGCGGCAAGACTTTGGACAGCTCTTCCACTCTTTTTAAATCTGCCCCGACTTGGTCTCCTATTGGCACGTGATTTATCCTACCTGCCAGGTGCGAGCGCGGCAAGATCTGAAGTATGACAATGGCATTGATGACAATTAAAATCTATAAATACACAAAGAAAAGAATAATCATGCTAGTGAATAACTGAAGTTAACATATTAGGTATACAGGAAACAATCTAATGTAATTGGTTCCTGCCGACAAATTATTTAAATCTAAGATCTAATAAACGGTAATAAACTGTAATCTGTAAACGGTATATTAGATCTTAGTTTAAATTCATGTTAAAATGAAGGGGTTGGTCGACAGCATGTTTTTCGATTTTAAGTAAGGAAGGGGGGGGGCAGGGGCTGGTGGTGGGGGGGGGGGGGGTGAAAATGCCAAACCCACAGTGTGCGCGATTCACCAAATATGCACCTGAATTTTCCCATTAAATTAATAAATGCGAAAAAAACTGATTTTCTCGAAACTTTTGTCTGACCTAATCTCAGAACCATGTTTTCTATAGCTTGCTCCGCCCTGACGATTCCAGTAACACCCTACATTATTATTTAGTTAATTAGTAACTGACGCCATCTAACAGTTGGGAGCAGTTTCTAGTAGTCTCTGAGACTAAGGGTGCTCCAACTGGATACAGGCCCGTAGCCAGGGGGGGGGGGGGTCGAGGGGTTCGAAAGAACCGCCCCTTTCGCTGAGAAAAGGTCCATTCTGGGTAAAATTTGATCTAGGTACATGAAGTTTTTATGGGAAAAGGTCCACTTTTTCAGAAAAAGAACCCCCCTTTTGAAATTGCTGGCTACGGGCCTGGGATATATATTAGTCATATTGTACCTTCAGACAGCCGTTAGACATGTCAGCTCTGTCTATAGCCACCCACACAGTGCCCATGTCCGGAAACAGACAGCCGTTCTCATACCAATATCTACAAATTAATTTCTGCATTATATTTCTTTGTTAAATACATGTAAAAGGATCACACAAAAACACAAAGACACACACACAATGCTCAGAGCGGTGTCGCCATCTATTGACAATAGAACAAACTATACCCACCCGTAGTCTTGGTGCCAGATGTGTGCCCCTCCAGTGAAAGGTTCCTTCATGATTACCTTGGCGTGGTAGTGGTACACCTCCCCTCCCAGCAGCTGAGATAAAGACACAATTTTATCATTATTTTGACATATATAGGTCGCTGTTTTACAGCTTGAGTTTTTATCACGTTGTATAACACAGAGTGCCATTTTACTACTGGATTGTGGCTGCTTTTGACACAGCTGTATTTAGGTTGATGTTTAAAGGCTGCATTAAAAGATTTGGCGGTGTTCGACTGGCGTAGCCAAGCACCTCCAATTTCAAACATAGTTTCCGGATCACATTTTTTATTAAGCTAATATAAGGCCGAAAAAACCCGTTTGTCTCAACAATTGCACACAGTGGATACATCTTGACATTAAAAAGTACTTAGAAGAAATGATAGAAGCAATCGGTCCAACAAACCGGTTTAAGGATAATTTTATTTCTTGATTCGAGGTTACACGAGAAAAGGAAGAAATTAACATTCTAACTCACCTCTTCCATAGTTCCCGCCACTTTTTCACTCCTAGAAATAATTCCAGTGACGTCATTTCCGGGATGATTCCACAGTGTGACCTTTGTCCTCCGCCCCTCGCCGTCATCTCTGGCATAATTATTCTCCTTCAGACCTTGGTCGTTTTCCAGCGCGTTCCTCAGCTTAGTGACTTCTTCAGAATCCAACAGTTTCCTGAAGAAAAAGAAAGCATACATGTAGAACTTATCTCTTGTAAAAAGTGCAAAATGTGTATTGTTTACCTTATTTTCAAAAACACCATATCGCCTTCACATATTTGGTATAGGCAGTAGGGCAATGCTTAGAATATGTGTCCTTGCATATGCATATCGGATACGTGCAAAAAGCCAGATTTAAGTTTGGGGTAGGGAGGAGGGGGGAGGTATCCATTCAAATAGAAAAAGCGCCGCAGATAGGAGAGTTACCCCTACCCCTACCGCTTCCGTAGTTTTACGTGCTTGTGACTGACGGCCGTGTTGGGATAAAGGATGGGGAGAATGGAGTGTCTTGGTAGTCTTTCCTGCATTAGCAGTCTTTCCTTGTCTTGATATTTCATGAACATTTTTGTTCCATCATTTAAAGCTTTATTGTTAGAATTTAACTGTTTTAGACATTTTGCAAGGAGCATGGAGTTTTTAATAAAATGCATCACAGCATAATTTGTCATTATAAATATTAAAATATTGATCAATCAATCGTTTGTCAAGAAGCCATAATTACCTTATGATTATAAATCCCTCCTTGGAGAAGTCTTCTTTAATTTCTTTTGTCACCTTGAAGTTATCTTCGAATTGATAACCTTAAGAAGAAAAAACACTGATGCTAATGTAAATTTCATGAAGGTTAGTACCTACATGTATATCAAACAGTCACAGGAAGTGAATGATGAATCACTAAGTAAATTTACGTTTGTGATATGGAAAATAATTTATAACGTTGTAGTAGTAAAATAAAAGAGAGAGATCAACTGTGGATAATTGAACATTGGTACATAATTGTTTTTCTGCTGAAGGTTTAAATGTGCGAGGCATGTAACGTAACGCGTGAATGGGTAAGCACCCTTAAGACGGCCTGCAACATGTATCTATATATAAGAATTTTGCACGTCTCTCACAAGTTTGTCTCGCTCGATAGTCGGCTAAATCAATAAGTCGTCTAAGGTAATGACCTTGTCAAGTAACCCCAGATACTAAGACTGTTAGACTGCCCTGATAGGAATATAGCCCGACACATTTAGATGCACATTTCGTGGTTGCGTGCGATCGAGTAGATGGCAATAGACCTGATTATTATTGTGGTACTCTTGAACTACACCGTAGGATTGATGCTGGAACCATCTCTCTCAGACACACACGCACGCGCGCGCGCGCACACACAGAGAGAGAGAGAGAGAGAGAGAGAGAGAGAGAGAGAGAGACGTTGTCACGCACATACACAGGAAGAGAGGGATAGAGAGAAAGAGGTTGGCTAAGGCCAAACCAAAGGCAAATCTCACCTACACCGTCAGTAGTTCTACTTCCACCGTCCTCCATATTGGCAGTGCATCCGACAGATATGTGGCCAGAATACAAACAGCGTTATCAACCGTAATACAACCAACACGATATTTATACCAACACGCCGAGCATCAGGTCAAGACGCTATGTTGTATATCCGAGTGTAAATCTAGGACACGACCTTAAGTAAAGTAAATAAGTGTCACTGCATGCGCTTCAAGAAAACATCCCAGGTGTTACGCAGTTAATGTTGTTAATACCAGACCTGACCTGAATACGTTGTATTGATCACAATGTTCGCATATTTTAAATACAGCCACGAAATGCAACGTAACACCAGATCTAGGGCTTTTAATAAAATAATCAATTATCATATTATTATTATCTATTAAAATAATCAAGACTGAATATTGAGTCCTGGACCTGATGTAAGTGGTGGCGATTGGACGACTGGTGAATCCTTGGCGAGGCGGCGAACTACACAGTTGTGTAATGAATATATCATTAAATAGTCAAGAGCGCTGTATTAAATAATTAATGTACGACCTAATTTCTAACTTTATTTCATTTCTGTATGCGTGCATGTTTCCTGTTATGTTCCAAGTGAAGTAGACTGGGTACTTGAAACTTTTTAACTGTCAACGAGGCTGACATATTACGAGTTGCATTAGGTGGTCACTTTCATAAGTGTGGGTACCACAGTGCAGCAATTATTCACATATTTCATCTTTCTAGCACTTCAAGTGACATTCTTTTTTAGATTAATTATTTCAAATCAACCACAGAGCATAGCCTATTCCCTGATAAACGCCCAAGGTACAGTTTTAAAGTTTTCTAAACAAAGACCACTTTCACCGGGAATTTTCAAATATATTTGATTGGATAATATGCCCTATTGCTTCAAATTTAATTTCACGAACAAATACCGTACTTGTATTCACATGCAGAAAAACAATACAATAATTTATGCTTACTCAGTGCAGACGGAATTATTTAATTTAATGATCTCATTTCAACTTTCTTTCCTCCCTTTTCTTTTAGATAAAAATACAAGGAAAAGGAGAAAAAACAAGTTTTCATCTGTGTGCCTTAATATCAAAATGAAATTTGCAGAGTGAAGCCAAAGTGAAGCAAATTTGTCCCCCCTCCCCAGCAATACCTATATCCGTCAGTTCTTAGCTGTCATCCCACAACAGGTGTGCAGTACAGTCATCACTTTTATCAAAACTCATTCAAAATTCCACATAAACAACAAAGAGTTTGACGTTTTCATTAGTATGATAAAAGAATTTTAAGATTAATTGTGTTATGGCGAATGACGAACGCCCCTTCCTTTTGTGAGAGATGGAATATGAAATAAGTTTTATGAAAAAAGATTAAGTCGAATAATATCAGTTCACTCCAGTGAGCGCCGTGACAAAAGGTAAGGCATACGTTTTTATACTTCATCAAAAATTATCGTTGTTTTAACAAGTTTTTAAAAAAATTTACTGTCGCTATCTGCAATTTACTTTTGATCCATTATTATCAAGAATATCTCTCCGTCATATGGTAAGTTTGTTGCTCGTTTAACGAAATATTACTACCTATGTGTCAGTGGACATTAGCTAACCACTTTTAGATGTACTTTAAAATGCGACTTTTAAAACAGGTGTTGGTTTTTAATGTAAGTTTGATAAAACACCCTCAATATAATAATCGCTAATTCTGTTTTTTCTTTTCTTTTTTCGACTCTTCTTATGCTATGTTTGATTTTATTTCATATGTTTTGAATCATGACTTGTTTCACCGCTAGTCTTTACACCATCACGATCTCGCACTAGATTGGTGAGAAACATTAATTTTGCGTCTCAGGATTTGTATCATCGCAAGCAGGACATCCGCAGTGACAGGGTCTCTCCCTCGGGTGGTACACGGAAACTTTTTCTAAAAATAATTAATTTTTGAGAACTTTCGAAAGAACCGCCCGTCCTTCCTCTCAATCCGCCCCTGACTGCCGGCAGGTGTCAACTGTATTATTTTAACATTAAACTTTGTCTGCACCGGTGTGATTGCCATTTAAGCTGTTTATGAATCTAGAACCGTAGTTTAAAGTACCCTATTTCAATGCTACGGATGCCATACATATACATGTTCAACTGTTACTTCCCGGTGGTAAACCCAGGGATTATGAGATTATCAGGAAAGGGAAAAGTACGGATATCATACATATACATGTATTGCTGTAGCTTCCCCGTGTTAAACCCCGGGGCTGAATCATTCAGGAAAAGGAAAAATAGATTTTTGCCTGTAGTGCTTTTTTTTTTTTTTTTTTTTTTTNNGCACAATAAACAAGGGAGAGGATAGAAGGGATATATTTTTCTAAAATATATTTCTGATGCCAAATGGGATCATACAACATGCCAAAACAATTATACATGTACATTTAAAACTCGGAATTGAGATATCCCTTGTGATTGCCCTTTAGTGCCTATTCACCGCCTTGATTTCCAACTTTTACGGCAAAATAACCTCTAACATGTAGGTGCATTAAACCAGCAGATTACAGAGGTATAGTTTGAAGAAAAATCTGAATCCTGGGTTGTTTTTTTTTCCGCATCTGATCTTGTCACGTGTCCAAATGAGTCATAAAACGGGCATGACTCCAAGGTTTAAGGTGGGTTTATAGCCAAGTTGAGTCGATCTTTCTTGCTATGAACCCTCAACGGTGAGGACAGCTGGTTAGATACAGGAAGGGCCAACCCAAGTCATTTGTAACGCACCTTTCGTTTAATTTCCACCACAATAGCGCACACCCTGTCCTGCTAGTGGTTATGAAATACCTGATGGTCGCCAGGACAGCGCGTCCGTCAAATGTAGGAACGCACAAGTGCTTTGTTTCCTCGTGTGTATGACATTATACTCTGGTTGACGGCTTTGAATATATGAATAATTTTGAATTGATATTTTTGGTAAAGAAAGCACCTAACACAAGAGCCTGACACAGCACTTGTATAGCAAGGAAACAGAATCAAAATAGATCAAAATGAAAATGAATTTGAGTTTGTCTCAACATATAAATATAAATTTCCAACTTTTAAGTTTCAGTTTACAACTTCTTCAGTTGCCATGGGACATTTTCTGGTGCTGGCAGTGTTGACAGGTAAGTGTTTGGTGTCTCCGTATTAGATATTTTACTCCATATAAATACACATAATAACATAACATATAACATAAGATATTATATACACATACATACACTCTTTATCTCTCTCCCACCCTCCCTCCCTCTCTCTCTCTTTCCCTCTCTCTCTCTCTCTCCCTCTCTCTCTTTAAAGAGATGTAATAAATATTTAAGCACCTCACGTCAGACCGTATATTAACTGCTGAGACTGACACAGACAGGTGTCAGACTTAACGACTGAAAGATAACATATTTAACACTATTAACAGTACCATGTGACGCCTAAAAGCCGCAAGAGAATCAATTAAACAATAATTTTTGAAGGCATATTATGATAACAACCCAGAACAGCTTTTCCGTGATGATCAGGATATAGGGAGGCGGGGAAGAGTCAAGCCCACTGTTTTTTCTAAACATTTTAAATCGCAAACGCAGTCCTAGCCACATTGAGTTGTTGTCAGGGATTACAAAGAGATTATAAATTAGAAGATGACGTCATATTTTGACATTATTTTTTATTTATTTCAGTGCAATATGAGACATCACAACCACCCATATACAAAATTCGCAGGTCCTCTAATATAGATTGCATTTACAAATTTAGCTATCTGTTTTGGATTTTCGACAATGCTTTATATTAAATTCTGATCTTTGGTTGTAAGATGTACTTCTGTCATGGGTTTTGAAGTGTACTTTAAATGATGAAAAATAACAAAAATAAGAGATTCAATACTATTCAATGTGATATGTGCAAAAGGTTTACTGGCTGAAAACCCAAACTAAATCTGTTCTGATTATTTTATTGTGCCAGCTGGGATTGAAGTCATGGTTACAGGAATGCATGCCTCACTGCCGTGCACAAATAACACAATATTTTGCACTGTAATTTTCTTAGTTTCTGCAGCGGACATATCTTATCGAATTCCCAAGAATTTTGCGCTATTAAACGAATACTATGAATATTAAAAGTAGGCAGACAAACATTATTATTTAAACTTTTTGTTTTTATCATATCCCCTTTTCATTCTTTGCTCTCTTGCAAATACTCCCAGTAGCCAAAGCCTTCATTCAGATTTTTATTTTCAATCCTCGTTCTCCCCTAGCCTTCATCCTGCCGACTTCCCAAGCCGTGTTCGACTGTTCCGGGAAGAGGGACTACTTCTACAAAGACGACGTCAGCTGTATCAAATACTACGAGTGTCGCTACGGGCAGCTATCGGGGACGTACTCCTGCTCACTAGGGTACTTCTTCTCTCAGGATAATGTGGGTTGTGTCTCGGCTACCAGGCTCATAGAGGACGGGTCGTGTACCATTCATGGTGGGTTTGTATACCACACGGCACTGTGTCGTCAATGTCAATAGAATTAGACTGCGTTCTCAGATCATTTCACGTCATACATATTTCTTGTATTTCTTATCAGTTAGAATGAGTGATTTAAAAATATTCTGAACAAAGCCAACTTTGTTCAGTTTAATATATAGCTTTAAAAAGTTTGGCGACATACAAGATCATGTGAAATTAGCGATACATTTATTCCCTCCGGGCACTGGTTTACCAATACCAGACCTGCGTGTCATTCCCTATACCATGCCAACAAACAATAGCTTAAGAAGTAGTGTAGACGGCCAAAATGTTAAAATGTAACACAAGCTGAAATAAATTATAATTAAAATTATTATTTTACCACTGCACCTATTTTGCAGGATACCGTGCTGGCATGGCGCCCGAAGGACCTTTCATCTGTCCGAGAGCTGGCATGTTTGCTGTAAGCAAGAACTGCTCCCTGTACAACTTCTGTAGCCGCGCGGACGTGGAGGGGAACACTCTGCAGTGCCCGGAACAGTTCTTCTTCAACGAGACCATGGGATCTTGTCGCTGGCGAGGCCACTTCAAAGACTGCCTTGAAGATGGTACCCGATTCACTCCAACACAACCTCCAAGTTAGTGAACAGAACTAGTTTAATTTCCATACATTTTCTTATTAGAACAGGTCCAATTTAGATACATTGCACTTAAATGTAACTATTCCGCTATCTGAATGTCCGTTTTATTTCAGGAGTTTTGTGCCACTCCGATGGTTTGGTTTTACGTTATGAACAATAGCATTGTATTATCTGTAAAGACGTAGACATATCTTTTTTAAATCCCAGTTGGTGTTCTATAAGTCTGCTTAAAAAACTGATATCAGCTGGAAACTTATCCAAATTGACGGCAATATATTCTAAATTCTAGAGGTTACTAGTAATTGAACACAGTGCAGCCGCAGTGATATATATCCAGTCCCAAGACCTGCAGACACAGACGTGCCCAGGGCCCCGTATCTCGAAAGCATCGCGCATTGCGACCGTGCGCAAGCGTCTCGATTCCATAACTCTCCCATACTCGCCCCATATAATACATTGTAGCCTCTATGTGATATCGATATTCGCAATACGCGATGCTTTCGAGATACGGGCCCAGTTGCAGTGTCACAATTCTGTGCGAACTGGGTGTCTGCGGAAATTTATTAGCACTATGTGAAAATAAATTATATTGGTTTTGAAATTAGATTATTGGATAACCCAATCTTTTAAATGCCACACATTGTTATTTTTACGCTAATAGTAGCACCTTCCATTCTTTGTACAGCAACCACGCCGAAGCCTACAGAGTGGAATCCCTGGCGAAGAACAACAAAAAGAATCACTACCACGCGTGCTCCGACCACCACGGGAAAACCTTGCTTTAAAGAAGGCTTAAAGACTGTGGACACTGAAGACTGCAGCGGCTTCTATGTTTGCAACAATTTGGCTTGGGTTCGATACCAATGCCCGCCATTGTTGATGTATAACAATAAGACCGGCGTCTGCCAGTGGGATGTGAAGGTGGACACGTGCGACAAAGGGACGTTTATATGGCCAACTACAACAACAACGACAACAACGACAACGACGACGACAACAACACCAACGACGACAACAACAACAACAACACCAACGACGACAACAACACCAACGACAACAACAACTCAAGGTAATAGGAAAAAGAGTGGGGCGGGTCTCCGCACTGAAGCTTCTATGGAAACAATTTTTGCCACGATGGTTGGCCTATTTTTAGTCATAGGAGCGCTAGTGTGGAGTTAAATTCACGCACAGTATTTTATGATAATATAATATAATATAATATAATATAATATAATATAATATAATATAATATAATAATGCCTCTTTGACATATGAGATTAAACGGTTATGGTTGGAAGTATCTGCAAAGCATGCCTTTTTAATCTATTTAACACGGCTTTCGGAAACATCTTTAGAATGATTTTGTTGCTGGAATTAGCTCGGATGGAATTATCCGGCGTATAAATTTTAAAGACATCCGTTTCATTAAAATTTAAGAAAATAATTTGATAACATTATACCAAATTGTCAGTGAGATGCTGTTAATTGAGATTTTCAAAACGTAAGAATGCAATGGATAGCCAATGTGACATTCGCTGCAGAAGGCAGCACTTCTGTCAATTTTTTAAACTAAACGTACCCGCTGTACTCACAGGCCTATTTCCTGCGTTTCTGTATGTGAATCGGTCCAAAAACGTCGATGTATTGCGGTGTTATAAAACAAAGACATTAAAAGAATACAATAGCTTATAAAATGCAACCATTTTAAGCGTAAGACATAAGCACGTAGGCTACGTGCAGTTACAAGTACTTGTGCTAGCACAATATAGTGGAACAAAGAAACAAAATTAAACAATGCATGTTGTTGAATAAATGAAGATTTTGAGATTAAAAAAAGAAACTAATTCACAGAACAATACATTTTACCTGTCTGGAAATTAAAGCGAGCGTTTCTAATTTTACGATAAACTGACGCCCTAATAATACCCATTAATAAGCTGGCGTCAATGAAGCAGCGCTTTCGGACTGTGACACATGGGGCGTTAAGGCGTCTCTGAGAGACAGAACTAAATATCATACCGCACAATCACGTCAGCATGAAGGTTTTCAAGAGCTGTTAGATTGTGTCTAGTTTTATTGACTTGGAATTAAGTTTTTCGTATACTTAGTATACACTTACGTATATCGTGTGTGTGTGTGTGTGTGTGTGTGTGTGTGGCAATATTGCACTTCTTTTTGTAATTCTCTCGTAATTTAGGCAGTTTACACCATAACTGGAGATATCACAGTTATTTTCTGTGCGGTATATATAAAAATGGTTTAACTTTCGACCTTGTTTACTTGGTAATGCACTAGATCTCTCTGTAGGATGATGATATGCAATGTAGACAATGTACACGTAAACATATGGATTTAACCGTTCGTTTAAATAACGCTGTGTTCATATTTTAATACCTCTGATGTTAAGCAATATAGACATTATTATACAAAGTCTCTGAATATCTCTTATTTTAATTTCATCCACAACAGAACCAACCACGGTCGCCACTACGACAGAACCAACAACAGCAGAACCAACGACCTTGACCTTAGAGGTGACCTCTTCCGCCACATCAGATAGTGACACAGAAACCTCAAACATCACCACCCCTGTCAGCACTGAGTCGCCGGGGAATACTTCCACAGTGATACCGGACCAAGACAAAGAAATCACACTTGTGATAACTGGGGAGAATTCTACAGGCGCCGAGGTGAAGCTGACGACAAAGTTTCAGGTCAACATCTTAAATGCTAGAGGCACGGCCACAGCGGGGCGCTATCTCAGCCTTAATATCTTCATCTTTTCACTGGTTTTCAGCCTGTTCCTATGGCATTCCTAGAGGGGGGTTTAGTACCTTTACCAGGAGTTGAACCCGGATATCGAGACAAGTGGGAACTAAAAAAAAACTGATCCACTATTTCTATAAATCACTTGTATTCTCGCTTTGAAGTTTGCATCACCAGTTGTAAAGTAGAAGACGATGGCTGTGGTGATGTTTACTTGTATGCAGTCTTAACAAGGTAGCTGTCTACGTGACAGCCACTACTCGAACCTACATTATGTTATCAAAATATTGAGAAATACCTTTTGAAATACATTTACCTTATTCAAGATCTAAGAGATTGTGTTATGACGAAGCTTCTAAGAGATATTAATAGACAAAAAAAGTTTATAATCCACATGTGAAAAAAGACTATGCAACAATATGATGTGGTTCTTCGGAGAAATACTTCTTATGTTGCGTTCTGTATATTTATTTATTCCATTCGTATTCATTGTACTTCCTTCGTTTTAGGTTTCTGTATATTTTCCCCAGTAACCGTTGTGTTTGAAACGTTTTGTCCCAAACACTCCTAACGCATTAGCACCAGTGCACGGTCGCAACTAAAATATTCTACGAATTAAAGGGGAAATGATTGTTTTCCCCTGGCTCATCTACTACAGCTGTGAGTTTCTGATTTGTTGTTCCTGATTAACGATGTTCAGCTGTAAATAAATTTGAAAAGCTTGAATACACATTGAGTTTATTTAGTGTACTGGTCACGCCTATCTACAAGTCAAAGAATGGCAAAAAATCTTCAAGTATATAATGATGTCTACACGTTAATAACGGTCTTTTTGTATTTAAGTCACATTTCATAGCTTTTTGAGTACTGTTTGCCATTTTATATATATATATATATATATATATATATATATATATATATATATATGGTGATGTCAGATAAGTGTGGCCCACTTTGGTCACGCCAACTCTAACATGTATGACTCTATAGGAGGAGGTTGGATTCTGTGACACGGACCCCCAGTTTCTTCAGATTACATAGGACAAGTATGGAAATGTGTGTCCTCTCAAGTAAAACCTGGACCGGTACAACATTCTGTTAAATGGGTCTGCATCAAAAGAACACAAAAAAAGCAAACATTTAAGTGGATTGTTTCTGATTTATCTTTAGTATGAGTTACTCCAAGACTGGTCTTTAACTTATGATTAACTTTCACTCTAAAGCCCCTTCCCAGCAAACGCCAAACGTTATTATAACGTTACCTTAACATTAAAAAAAAACATTGTGGTAACGTTATGATAACGTTATAAAACATTCTGTGTTTGCTGGGTTTATGTAACTGTCCCGAGATATCTGTTCCTGTGTACTAGTAGCACGCGGAGCACGTGGAGCTCGGCAGTCGTAAGAGAGGAATGTTCAAGTCACGGTGTCACGGGCCGTGTAGCAGTCTACTTAATGTCTCTTCTTCCTCTCTTGTCTATTGTCTCTATCTGGGCAACCATCACCGCCTCGCATGCTCCCGTGAATTAAGCCCAAGTTGAGCGTTCCATAACTTGTCTGCAAACCTCTCGAAGCTCAGTCAGCGCCCGTTCCTCCGTGGCTAATCTTGTGGCACACAGGTGAGCGTGATTTTACTCTTTTTAACAACACAGATTTACTAAAGATGACATAATGGTACTGGAAGTATACTGCAAAAAGTAGTGGGTTAAGTTTCTTGAAGATCAGATTAAGAAAATTTTTGCGGTTTCACCGCGAGACTTTAGAGCGACGGGTAAACGCCCAGTCGAACGCTGTAAGGTACAACTTTACACTTATATGTCGTAGAAATAACAGCAGGTATTGGAATAATAAGCATTTTCTTTATCGTCTTGTTTTGATTTTTCTAACAGGAAATGCAAAAACACAAGTAGCTTTAGTAATATGATTTAAGGAATATGATATGATGTGAGGAAAATATTTAAAAATGCCGAATATTTCAAAGCAGCCTGAGAGGTACAACTTTTTAATCGCATCATCAACGTGTGTCATATTATACACATATGTCACCAATGTGGATACAAATTCTACCGTCAACATACACCATATAAAATGTGGAGCACGTATTTAATCTAACCGCATCTTTTACATGCACAATATAGACAGTGGTTGTTTTGTCAGTCTGCACCAAAAAAAGCTGTTTTTTTTTTTTTTTTTGTCTTCCTGGCGCTTCTCGATCCTGGTGGTGTAGAATGTTCTGACGACAAGTAGAACTAGTGGCCAGTGACAGAACAAAATGCACAGAATGTTACCGACCTGGTAAAAACTTTCACTGGCCTTCATCGTGAGACCGGTGTTAACGTCGCTACATGAAAGTGTAAAAAGTGCACAATCATCTCAGTAGTTGAGGAGCACTGTGAAGTACCTTGTACCGGGCGACTTTAATGACCAACGCATTTATCAGACATTTTGTCTTTATTTATTTTTTTATTATTATTATTTTTTTTTTGCATTTATAAATCCTTACACGTTTTATTAGAATGCAAAGGCCCGTGTGGTTGATGATAAACAACAATTTTTACGCATTACTCATCTGCGTAGAACAAGTTTAAGTATAACCGTGAAACAGATACCCTTTGTTCAAAACAACAAACGTATAAGCATAAGAAGCGAACGTTTTCTGTCGAGTCAAGTCGTCGAGTCAACTAGTCATGAGGAGATTAAATCAGACGCGTGCAAATGGCGTAGCCATTAATATTCAGGTGTTATATCTGATCGCGTAGGTGCTACTGGCTCGGGATAATATGTAGCTCCTCCGCCGTATCTGCATATCTAACTTTGAACGTACAGGCTTCTTATGCGCTTTAGATATGGGAGACTCCCCTGTGATTTTTATCCACATCCTGTAACCTTGACCCTGTGACCTCGACCCCATGGCCTTGACCCCGTGACCTCGATACTCCCTGAAAAGGACTCTCGCAGGTGGCCGCGGTGTTAAGAAATTCCGCCCCTCCATTAGATACATACAGGTAAGGGTTAAGCTAGGTCGGGATTTACAGCTGAGAAGCCAACTGTGTTCCGGTCATGTTTCTGTATAGTTCCCACCCCAAAAAAGCACAGTAAAACATATCCAATAATTCCATGCACACCGAGGTGTGTGGTGTCGCAGAGGTTTTCTCTGGAGAAGCCACTGACAACATGATATCTGCACCAGGTCTTCACTGCTACGAACTTGTGTGATACCCTTGAGTGAATTCAGGTCCACTTCTTGTCTGCTGGAAAACAAATGCAGATATCCCCAGCGTACGATTAATTAACTGACACATTGCACTGGCGAGAAGAATTAATGAACGCTCCGATCCAGCAGGTCCACTACTGAAGACAAGTCTAAAACAACGGGTCACTTTCATATACCAATTTAAAACATAAAATTGGACATAATTTTAAGACCAAACATTCGGTCTAATTCAGTTCATCATAAAGTCTTTGTAGTCTGTTTTAATAAAGTAAGACTAACAGATGTATTTTGATTCGTGTGGCATGTGTTTTATTATTAATATTATTATAAAACAGGCACAATGCCATCTTTAATTGGATGCAGTATTATTTACCTAGTGTCAAAGTTTACAGAAATTTTGGTCTATTAGGAATTTTTTCCAATTAATATATAGACTTATTTTATGAATTGGCTCTCTGGTACTGTTTTTGAATGAATTTTAATGTATAATGATAAGCGAGAATTACTGAGGAAGTACGGACAATGAACTTTTGTTAAAGCGTATTATATTATAGAAGATAATTAATCCATCTGAAATGACAGGACATTTATCAAGTCGGACACGGAGACTGGAGAAATGATGGACACTCAGCATTCGGTGTCTCTGTCGCCAAATTCTCTACAAATCAGTCGGAATCACGGTTCACACTTGATCGAAAGAGGACTGACTGCTTTATCTCATTCTTTATATTTATGCATTCTTTATATTTAACTAAAATTAATTTTTCAAAACACTTGCCCTTTCTCAAAGTGAACAGACAAAACAGTCAACAGGTAAATCAAATTTGTGGATCTTTAATGAAAAAATTTCGACAATCAAAACTGAAATCCAATGAAATTATTTTCAAATTTGTCCTTTTTCTTTGGGCGTATGATTACTGATTAATTTTATGTCAAAACCGACCTCAAGTTATTAAAGAGTATCTTTTGAACAAAAAAATTGTTTATTGAACCGGCCATTGTTCTACAAGAAAGTTTCTTTTTCTATCAAATTTTAAATCCACATGGTGACTATTAGCAGGAGTTACAACAACACAATCTGTAGCAGGGATGCGGGTACAAGGGGAGACTGAAGGAGAAACCATTGTATTCCAGGAGTTGGCGCATGTCCCCCAACTGGAGTGTGCAATGTCTTCCCTCTGTGGGGACTGACTTATCATTAAGATAAACCTTGTGGAATCCCTGTAGAGACCAGGGTCTTGTCTGCATCCACTGAGATAAGTGACATGAGGTGAGATAAGACAACAATGCAGACACGTGTGAATGAAATGAAGCGATCCCGTCATCTTCGTGCCATTTACCCATAGTCTCCTATATATTCATTTGTATGATATCTTGTAAAAAGTATACAGCGAGCGTTTTATATATATATATATATATATATATATATATATATATATATATATATATATATATATATTTTTTTTTTTTTTACCTGGAAATGTCAGTAATTCCCGTTATTACCAAAGTATACCCTGCCCGAAAGCACCGAAAAATAGGGGTTTTTTTCGAATTATAATTATCGTAATTCTATATACATAGGTCAGGGCATTTACCTAAAGCCCGAGAGTTGCAAGAAATTAGTTTGCCTTAGTAGAAATATCTTTGATCTACCGATCATTGTAACCCCATGTTAATACATGTATATATTTGTAGCCTCCGCGCCGTCCAATATCCTCATATACACTAGAGTATTTTTTTTACTTGTACACCATACCTGTGTCCTGTCGTGATGTCACAGAGGACAAAACGCTGGCACGGCGTTCCAAATATGTGACGTTTAACCCTGAAACTTCACTGGTAAAATATGGTGACAATTCCAGTGAACAGCAGGACAAGGAACAACATAGCAACTTCAAACGGACGGCCTGCTCGGCCCCGACTTCAAGATGCTCGGACATTTTATTTCTGAGCTACGTGCTACCCGGCAGTCTCGAAATAGAGATCTGATTTATGGTCATTGCTAAATACATTTCTTATTTTATTCCCAAATGTAACATTCAATAAAATGTCGAAATAGTCATATTTTAAAACACGTCGGAAGATTTCATTGATTGTTAGGAGAGTGAACTAATCTAAAAACATAAGACCAAGTCGCATTCACAAATGAATTTTAAAGATGATAGTTCTCATTATAAAGTTTAAAAATTTGACCCTGCGAACTTACACGAGCACCCGGCTTAAAATGTAAACCCTATGATCATAGTAAATTTTAACTAGCTTTAACGGACAGCGTTCACCCCGGAGACCCGTCTTTGCCTCTTGTCGAACGCTAAGTTTCATAAAAGAACAATTCGTCTTGTTATCTACCTTGATAACATAAATACTCCAACTCCGAGGTTGATAATACAGAGAATTGTCAAATGTTCATTTATGCGTACTCACTGTATGCCAAATAATAGACAACTATCAGAGTTCTACCTGAGATTACCTTCACTGGCATATTGACGGTGTACTGTGGCGTACTTAACTTGATCAACATCATGATAACATTAAGAATCCACGTGCCACTTCATATAGTCCTTGTGAGGGGAGAGACTTTCCCATTGTCTTGCACAGATCCACATCTCGTGCCGCTGCCCATAAAGACGCTGTTAACGACTCGGCGCACTTGAAATACGACAGTTAAAAAAGTGCCCACTTTGTTTAACCCCCGACTCCTAATAGATAGGGTCGCATCTGGTTTAACAAAAAGTTAATTGTCGACTTGATCAGGTATTAACAATCTACTGCTGTGTTGGAATCCCCCGGCTAGGTATAATTAATGAAATACCTATATGTATATGTATATATTTAAATACGTGTCTATCATTCAGGACCAGTACGGGGATTTCTTCCAGAGTAAGATCAGTAGGGATTGTGGATTACACAGGGGAAGGACGTGCCCTCCACAGTAAACTTGAGTAGTAGTAGTACACCATTATAAGTTTATTGGTTTCCATTATTTTCAGACAAGAAGGATGGGTTGTCTTAAGTTTGCTCTCGCCGCCTTCGTGGTCACTGTGATCATTGCTGAAACCGGTAAGTTGGATATGTTTACACGACTTTTATTCTTGTGTTGAAAATCAGATCCCTTGTGTGCATGAAATACTAAAGCTGTGCAAAGAAAACTGCTCCAGTCATTCAACTTGTTAGTGTTTTCTTGGGATATAAAAAATCTAACACAATCCCGGGAAATCCATGATTAACAAGGATAGGTGGCATGTCTGTCTGGAAATGCCCGGATGAGACCACTCCCATCTGTCTACGTGAAGTTCACGTCTTGTAAAAGAGGCCGGTGTATCTCTCAATGTCTTCATATCTTACTCATCACATTTATATTTGGCATGGGGTTTAACAATAAAAACTCGAGTAGAAAGCGCGGGCGGGACCTTTGAATCAGGGCACGTATCATAACCGTTCATATCCCTATATGGAAAACGCACTTCAGTAGACGAAGTTTACAGCAGGAAATTTTTATCATGTTTACTTTTTCTGAATATAAACAATGCTATTAATTTTCGTAGATCCAAAAATGTTCCCTACCGTATATCATGTAGAATGAGAAGAGATGGGATGGGCGTGGTTATTATATCGAGACGCTATCCCTATGATCAGATCTATCCAAGAGGGCATTAGTTAAACTTGAAATTATATGATTTGTTTTAAGTAACGTCAGCGTGATGTTTGTGATTTATGTCAGTTATATTTCGTACTAGCATCTTGGTTTAAGTTGTAGAAGAATAGGAGGAGCCTGGGGGAGAGCATCCTGTATCAAAATAACATTTTAGTCTACTGGTTCTCCAGGCCGCCTGGGGCTAGGTATCTACAGCCCCAAAGTATAAAGGAAGTGGTTAATAAATGAACAAATTTACAAAAATAAAAAAAGAAAGCACTGATATCTGCCGCAGTTTTACCCACATTTGATGCGCAGCATGGCCGACTGCAGATGTAATGGACCTGTCTATAAACTACACGTGAAATAAAGATACACGTTCTCTTTTAATTTCAGTGGCTCAATTCACATGCAGGGGTTTCCCAGACGGCTTGTACGCCGATCCCAAAAACTGCACCAAATTCTACCAGTGTGACAGCGAAAAGCTGAAGTACTCCCTGACGTGTGCCCACAAGTCCCCCGAGGATTTCTTCGCCCGTGATGATGAGAAGTGCGTCCTTCCAGCCAACCACCTGTCGGAATGCACAATGAAGGGAAAGAGACTTCCGTATGGAGGTGAGATCACAAGTATACTTATATTTAGTTGAATTAATAAAAAAAAAAATCCTTACATGGGCAGTATATATATATATATATATATATATATATATAGAGAGAGAGAGAGAGAGAGAGAGAGAGAGAGAGAGAGAGAGAGAAGAAGAAACACCAAAAAATTGTTCCTAGATCTTTCAGCCCTACTTTGCATCTTCAGAGTTTATTGGGTTATGTTTAACCAAATAATAATCACACATAACCAAATAAATCATGAAGTGTTTTTTTTTACTACATACATATATTCATACCAGCACATGTACATGTATACTGTAGAACAGGCTGCCTTATAAACTTAATATGCACAAAATCGACCTGAGTTCATTTTTCAAAATTCAAAAGTTTTACAAAATTGATGACTTGCTGGTGTCATCAGGATAAGGAACACCTTGCATAAATAAATACAGTAGACCATCTTTTTATTTTACACAACAACAAAATTACGTTTATATAAAAGCTATTGGTACCACGTAACGCAAACCACTGTCTTGTGGAAGTGACACAGAATGGGCCAATTTCCATGTTTACTTTGCCCCATATAAATGAGCATTTGTTTCAAAACGGGCACATTAGATATTTAATGTGATCTCGCCTGCACGCTAGCTGTCTCCGTACCCAGTATCAATAGACTGCTGGTCTAACTGCAGTACTCTCTGACCACAGATGTCGCTAGTAGTATCTTACATACTGATGACCTATGCTAGAGACCCGCGTTATCAGAGGGTGGGACTCCGCGCTACAGAATGCCGCCTCAGTTACTCATACATATCTCGTCATATTTGTGACTAAAGACATAAGTAAATTGGATGACCTTTGTTACCGGTATATTACTATTATTATTATTATTATTATTTGGTTGTGGTCGGTAATGTCTTAAAATGTCAGCGTGGAATGGAAAATCTGCCGGGTATTACTCGTAAAAGAATTATTTTGATGCAAAACTAATCACGCCAAACGTTTTCAACTGAAGTATTTTGCGTCAGACATATATATATATATATATATATATATATATATATATAAATGCATCAGAGCTCTATTTATGTACATTGTATCTAGTTGTCCGCTGAGATAAAGTACAATTCATCCTGTTATCTTCTCTAGTCATCTCGCCACGCGTGCCACCTTCAATATATGTCTGTGTGCGTTATTTGCCGTACAGCCGGTGTCATGTACAAGAGATGCCTCTGTGAAAACAGCTAGGGGGCAGCTCCATCGCGTATTACACATCGTTATACATGTACTAAACATGATCAGGGTGGTTCTTTCGTATCCTCGGGTGATTTAGTATTGAGTCAATATTGTGTTGAGAAAAGAGATTATGTTTCTAAATCAGGAGCCTCTGAGTAGCCCACGTTTTGTTAGATATACAAGGCAAATAGAAGGGACTCTCATTCGTATTTGCTTATCATTTTTTTCAGATTATATGATTATTCTGATAAATATATTTTTATATCAACTTATCAATTTTGTGGTTATTTACTCTTGTCTTCAAAATATGCCATCGAATACATGTTAAATATAATGGAGAATAAAACGTCTTCTGCTGTCACAGTGAAATGCACATATGCTTTATTCATTGTAACGTATGCATCTACATGGATAGATGAAAATGTACAAAAGGAATGCTAATATAAATAAATATGAATTAAGTTAAATAGTGATATTGTACGACTCCTTGTATGAAAAATACAAAACGTATTTGGCAGAGCCCAAATGGCTCTACTTACTCAACTGGTAATGGTTGCAGCACAGTCCCTTTTTTGGAAGGCTAACCATAAATATTTGGCAAGAGCAATAATATGTTCATTCTCCTTACCAGTCATTAGTGTTTTAAATTTGTCCATTCTGGTAAGATGCTCAAAGTTACTATGTTGTTTTTTGTATACTGAATAAAGATCATATCGGAGGTCTGTATAAAGGGGGCATGACACTAGGAAATGGATTTCATCTTCTATTTCGCCAGAATGGCACTTTTTGCAAATTCTGTCTGCTTGGGGAATTTCGTATACTACATGTAGTTACCATACACATTGAATTATACATAATACTTTATGATATTCCAGGTGAGGGCTCTTATGTCTGCCCTGGCCCCGACTACAAGCTGTTCGAGCACCCCGCCGACTGTGTGTTCTACTGGGAGTGTAATAAGGGGGGCGCCAGCGTCAGGAGTTGTAACGGAGGCATGTTCTTCCAGGTAGATACCACCAATCCTTTTGGCGGCAAGTGCGTGGCCTATACAGAGGTCAAGGAGAGCTGCTCAGTACGCGGAAAACGCTACACAGGTAAAGTGACGTTATGTTCTTCGTTTTCTTCGGTGATAGAGTGCTTCCTTTCCTTTTTTGAAAAAAAAAAGAAGATAATATCACTATAAAATTGAAAATAGAAAAAAGACATTAACCAATGACAGAATGAATAGACAAACACACGTGAATAGGTAAACGTATCAACGGCATTTTATCAGTTGCCGCTATCTCAAAACTGTTGAAAAATGGTCAACATGCATTCCATCTTTAGTCTTTGGATATGTCTAACAAATTTTATGTCCACTACAAATCTGATGTCTATTCTTGGTTATTCTGTGCATGGATTCATAACCATGAATATATTTCTGTACCATTTACTAAATTCAGATTAAGGAAAACGAGAAGGGTGGAGGTGTTGTTGAGAGTTGTTGTGTTAGAGAAGATTGCATTATTTAGCAGTTATTGTATCTGACACAACTCCCTTCATTTCAAGTGTAGGTTTAAAAAATACATCTGGTCCTTTAAAGACACGTGCAATAACGGATAGGTAATGTTTCAGCCTATATTGTATTAAAACGATGTATTTAAGACCTACCGCTACGCACAAATAACATGTTTATGTTTTTGTTAACAGAAGACGAGAAAGAAGCCCTGAAAAATTCCACACCAGAACCTTCTGCTGCTCCTACCTCCGGTGCCACTAATGCTCCATCCGGGGACCAGGCGACAGGTGGAGATGCTGGCGGAAAATCCAGCGGAACCGGAAGTAACAGCGATTCCAAAAATGGCAGTTCACGTTTGTTCCTAGATGTCGCATCTGTCACAGTTCTTATTGCTTCTGTAATGCTGTGGTATTAGATTTATATAATTTTTCTTTTTCAAATATATAAACTTTAATTTTGCAATGCGCTTCCTTAAGATCCAGGTGGAAGAGCAATATGTGTGACAGTCCATGTTATTTATTTGGATTTTGCATATGAAAACGCCGCAACCGATGCCAATTGTTAACAAATATATTGTCTGTATCTAATGTACATTGCTTATCAATCGAATTACTAAATATAATTTTATTTATTTATTTATTTATTTATTGTTCCCGAATGTCTAAAATACATTTTTTTATATAACTATACCTACAAAATGTAGAATAAGCCGGTAGACCTCTATCCCGTCACGATATTGAGCACATTTGTAATATATTTAACCATGGAATATTTTCTAATTTTTGGATTATATATTGTAATTATTCAGTGAAAAGTGCATGTTAAAATAGAATGTTTTCATGCAAACTGCATCCCTTCTTGTAGAAAGATGTTTGTAAGTCTTTGCATTTACTAGTAAGAGGTAAATAAAAAAGTGTACAATTATCGTTTTTGATCGTAAATCATATTAAAAAATATAAAATGTGCATTAAGATTTTATTGTTATTTTTATTATTATTTATTGTTGTTATTATTTATTTTCATTTTTTATTATTATTCTACACTCAGTTTATTCAGATATGACCTCTAATTTCCTTTCCTTCTTATATCTCTTGCGCCTTACTCCCCCCTATCTCTCTCTCTCTCTCTCTCTCTCTCTCTCTCTCTTCTGCCACACCCCTCTCTTATTCCCTCTCTCTCTTGCACTCAAGCTATTCTAATTAAGGTAGCTCACCAAAGAAAATTTACGTTACGAAAAACAACCAAGGAATCACAACAGCCCCTTATGCATAAGTCGTCATCATTAATTACCTTTATCCTCGGTAACCGTTCACGTGCCCGCTCACCTTCATTTCTCACTTCTACACATACCCACACGATGGAAGGTGTACAGAACTACAGGAAAAGGCGAAAGCGCCTCAAATTTACGGAAAGAGACGGTAAGATAGCAATCGATTTAGTGCGTATAAATATCGCGCTTTGCCTCAGCATGAATTCGTCTCATGTTTGTCTGTGCAATTTGTTTTAACCCAAACAACTTTGGTAGCTGGACTCCAGGCACCGCGGGATGGCGGCCTTCAGTGGTGTACTGCCTAGGGTTTAGAAGAGGTACAACAGGGGTATTTCAGCGTTTCATCTTCGCGAGGATAAACTTTTTATTGGAATATTTCTATCATTCCATATACTAATAAAATAATAAGGAGGTCTACAATAATGATAACATAACTATCTGCATGTAAATTACAGAATGACTTCGTACATGTACATTAATTAGCAACCATCTGATTAACATAAAAAAACATATGGTAAGTTATAATCATGTACCAATATCCTCAGGATGTTAACAGTGTAATATACCGGTACTGATGTGGTAAAAGTTCATCACACAGATTTATTTTTATCACTCATACGGGATACCTCCGTACTAAAAATCCACTGAGGTATCATATCTAGTAAATACATCTCAAGCAAAAACTTTTTAAAGCATATTATGAAATGCTATTTTCAATGTCAACCCACTTACAGACCTGGTATTTTATATGGAATATTTTATTTTCAAAGGTGTGTGTAGGTAAAAATGTGCTATTTATTTCCAAAACATGTATCTCATGTGAATTATGAGAATAGATAAATGTATAGTCAAGTGTGTCAGTAACAATTAACTGGCTGCCTTGTCTGAAGCGTTGCTGCATTACGTAATGTGTGGTGATTTCCTGGGGTAGTGCTCTTTTGGCTGGTCTTTGTATGATTGCGGCAGGGCATGGTTCAGTCAAAAAAAGTTTCAATATTTGGCAAAGAATGCACAGATGATTTTGAAATTTTGAGTATAAGTAGCGGACGTTACTCTGAGTAATACGGGCGCGGCAGAGTATTACAATGTACATCATTGTTGATATGCACCAGAAAGACATTGCCAAACAGATTATTGTGTCGCAAGGAACGCTCCACACAGTTTTACAGAGGTATGCCCAGCCTGGTGTATCTTCACACAGGCCACGCCCCAGTCACTCAGACCTTTCCACGGGAAAACAGGATCCATTGTTTTTAAGGTTTTTCTGCTACAAATAGATAAAGACAAGTGCTTCCCTCCAGAATGAAGGGCAAATTGTCACCAAAAAGTCTTTTCCAAGCCAGACTGGTTTAAGCAGGTTACTATACCAGGGGACCGCTGAAGGACCCTCCGTGAACACTGCAATATCATCGACCAGCTACTGCGGCCATCAAAATCGCTGGATTCGAAGACTATAGACAATCTTTGGGTAGCCAGTATTGCCTAATCTACGGCCTAACGGACCTACGTGTACAACAAATATGAACCAAAGTGGACAAGGTCCGATCGTTGCCTGGAATATTATCCCTGTTTAAACTCCAGAGAACCTGTCATAAATAATGCCTTGCCGCCAGTAGCCCCAGTAGCAGAAAGATGAGACCAGACGCACCAATGGTCGTTGCTGTGACTGGAATCTGATATAAAACCTTGTTTTCATTCATAACTTGAAAAAAGTAGAAAAAATCAAAGTAAACTGATTTGCAAAAAATATTCAAATTAAATGTCAAGTGTGTATTAACGTGAAGTAAAGATAAAGGAAAGTTATATCTACAGTTATGTATACATTATAATATAATATAATGATTTAATAAAGTGAATCACACAGGCTTATGCTGTTTTCATTGCAATGAACATATATAAGATATAAGGCCTACTGTGATACTACTGATTTTCCAATGAGGCAACATACTAGTATCTAGGAATGTATGAGTCAAGTACCTGCGGTGTTTTAAAACGTATTGAGTTTACTTCAAACAACGATACGATCCAAACAATGCATTTCACAATTGTAACGATTTTAAGCTTTATGAAGTTTTGTTCTTTTGTGATCATTCATCAAAATACCAATGACTTCATTTGCGCAATTTTACAAGACGTATAAAGCTAAAGACGGTAGCGCTGAAATCAATGCCGACTCACAAAAAGCACTTAAAGAGCCGTGCCGCCAATCCAGCACTTGTCCCGCCACAGACACACTCGACGTGCGGTGCTATAAAACCTCTGGTATAACAGATATTTCCATCAATCGCACCAAAGTGGATATCAGCTAGAACTATTCACTATACTGTAGACTGCGGAGGAGGAGGAGGAGGAGGGGGCACAAATATTCCTTTCTTTCTGTCTATTAGAAGTATATTACCGTTCTTTCAGAGTCTACAGCAGTCAAGTATCCTATACAAACTACTGGCATGCTGCAACCCAGGCATTTTCTCTCAGGTTATTGCCCTGTGTACCGTGTATGTGTGCGTGTGCATGATGGCTAACGTGATAACATCAGATATACACAAAAGCACAATAATTATGTACATATGTGTGTAAAAATATCCAAGAACAAATGAAAAACGTCCTTCATTTACAAGTATATTGTATATAAATAAAGCTGTATGGGTTATTATTGGAGTTGAAAAATGGCCTTAGTGATCTCACAAACTGGGCAGATTTCCCGGAAGACGTGTTCCCACCCTGCACGTGCAGCCATGTCCCCACACGACCCGGTCTCAGAACATACATAATGCACGAGCTGAAGTGGAAGTTCACCCCTCAGTGCCACGAGTTTCCAGGTCCGCGGTGGGTTCAGTAACAAGGTATTGATTGCAGTGTGAGATGCTTTCTCTATTGAATTAAGACTTTTGATGAGTTCCCTCGCCTGCTGCCCCTCTGCTACTGGCGGCACGTGGGAGGTTTGCCAAAATGTTGAGAGGCAGGAATCGACCTGACGCTGCCTCAGAATTTACCACCTGAGAGAGGGAGAGAGAGAGAGGAAGAGATGTTCTTTGTAGAAAAATTCAAATATAGGCATACAATGCACGTTGGGCTTTAGTATTGCAAACAATCTCTCTTTATCAGCAAGTACATCCTCTAAACAACCGTTATAGAAATTATGAAGTCGAGGTCCCAGGTACCCCGCCTCTGCGGGTCACGTGTTCCCACTGAGGGTGTGGTTCTCTATAGGTAACCCCACCTCTGGAGGTCACGTGTTAGTATTGAGGGCGTGGTTCCCCAGGTAACCCCACCACTGATGGTCACGTGTTGGTATTGTGGGCGTGGTTCTCTAGGTAACCCCACCTCTGGAGGTCACGTGTTAGTATTTGGAGCGTGGCAAACCCTTTCTTGGCAGCAATATTTGTCTGTGCTTCATTTTCTCTGTCTGTCTACTCTTCCTTCACAATTAAATAGAAAGAAAGAAAGAATGAAAAAGTACCAGGAGAGTTATACTTCCCGTATCAAATTTCACCTTGAACTCCTAAAAATGGCATCTTAATTTTCTATCGTGACGGGCAATATCAGACATCGTTTCAATCATTCCAGCAACATTTCCAGAAAAAGTGATTGTGAATACCTCTGTGTGCATCTTTCCGAGCGTCTGTAAGGTCTTGCAATCCGCACACAGAGGTGTTCCTTTATCACATTTAGCCGCCTCAAGATACAGCTAAGTGCTCGCTAGTGTATGCATGCGGTGTATAGCAGAACAAGAACCTGGCTTTGATCAATAGATACACTAAACGAAATCCACGGCTGCTGATTTATTATCTGTTTCTTTTTTGTTTTCTATTTTATCTTTGTGAGGAAAGATTATAACCAAAAACATATATATCACAAACTATCTATTTGATTTATTCTAAATCGGTATACTCCGAAATTTTATTGCATCATTGATTGATGGCGCAATCATTTATAAGGGAGCTATTTATATGGTGTAGAGCGTTGACCTGTTCAAACAGATACACAAAATACCTGTTGTTTTATTTAAAACTCTTCCACCAAAATGTCAGGACACGAAGGTCGCTTTTAACAGCCGTAATTGCCGGTCTGAGAGGCTCGGGTTCCGAACACAACGCAAAGGAACAGTTGCCGGTGTCTGTTATACCTTGTAAGCTACAGTAACGATAGTATAGGCAGCATACACATAAACCGCGATTAGACAGGAGAGAACCGCGGTAAATCCAAGCGGCTGCGTGGTGATGGGTTTTGCAATTATGATCGATACTGTAGAGTTTGGTGAAAAGAGGACTCCTGCTATTTGTTACGGCACATTGAAAGATACGTCCGTATGTTGAGTGGATGCAGATGTGCGAGGTAAATGAAACCCTCGGGGTATTTCAGTTGCAAATATCGCAAAGAAGATGTTACGACAACTGACCAACAACAAGAACGGCGTGATGTAACGTGCATCAGATGTTTTGGCAAACGGTGCAATATTCATTGTTTGACCAATTAGGATAGTTCAGTGTATTTTACCTCCTAAGGACGGAAAACGTTTACTATAAAAGTGCAAGCATATTGAAAGTCGGTAAAAAATGTCAGCGAAGTTACCACTGATGAAGATCGTGTGGGAGTACTCTAGACTATTTGCTGTTTGAGCACATGGATAATTAATTTGAATTTTTCTATGCGTAAACAAAATTGATTGCACAACAATATTTGTGCAGTTAATCACATTTTTTCATTGAGGAGGAAGAGCGATAAATTTTCACTGGGATGTACGAGTATATCTGAGAAAGAGAAACACGATCAGCATAGAAGGACAATATTTTATTTATTAACAAGTGAACACTTTTTGTGCCTAAAAAACTCTTGCTACCAGAGATGACAAGACGCCACGCAAGGTAAGACATTTTCATCATCATTCAATGTACAATGCACTTTTTAAAATGATAATGCATTTAGTGACAATTCTCATATCATAAATTTAATTGACATTGCCAGATTTTATTGATTGACCATTGTCTTGGGCAATCAGCCGTATCAGTTAACCTTACGGACAGCGGTCATCTTTCAATGCCAACATTGGAAGTGAGAGTTCAGCCAACGGCCAGTGAGAAATGGACGAGACAGGGAGTGTGAGATGAAAGATAAAGAATAATAGAGAATGTGTGGGATAAAGGGTGTGTTACAGTGAGTGACTATGGAATAATAATAATAATAATAATAATAATAATAATAATAACAAGGCATTATGTGTGGCAACAGCACAGGGGATATTTTTCATCATCTAAATCTAAATATATCACATCTAAAGTTAAATGTTACATACAGGCAGATGAAAATTATTGTCAAGGGGTGGCGTTGGGGTAGAGGAGTAACCTAGAATAAAGGGGGTTGGGGTGGCGGGGTGACCAAGGATAAAGGAAATTACTTGTCGCTCAGAAAATACAAAACAGCAACCGAAGACAATTTTAGAAAAAAATATGCAAGGTACAAGGATGAAAATTTGCTTGATTTTGTTTCCGTTTACTAGTTATTTTGTTAGGTAAACTGTTTTGGGAAGGAGAAGGGGGACCTTTAACATAGGGGGGGGGGGGGTGCTCGTTGTGTCCCTTTGACCCGCCATTGTTATATGAACACTACAGGATGATTGAATAATGCAAAACTATCACTTCGTTGGTTTTCAGTGTACTCGTCACCTACTGCTTACAGCTAAACTGTTCGTGCTCTGTACCGTCGGGACAGCAAATTTATCTACAAGTTCTATCTAATTGACCGTGATGACGTCCTTGCGTGGAATTAAAATGGCTGTAAGCGCTTGAAATTTCTGTTTCCGCTGTCCATACCGTGCTGCATACAAACGGGGGTTTAATCTCAATTTACACTTGCAGTAAATATATAACTCATTCGTCTAACTTGTCAACAATACCAAACCAACACTGCAGGGACAAGTTAAGGCAACACTGGAAAGCCACACCCTGCAACGACCAGACAAATACATATCAGTTACTAAAGAGCACCACATCAGCTATTACAAAACAACAACACTCATACGACTTCTACTACTGCCATTACTTATAAAAATAAAATAATAAAATAACAATAAATTAGCAGCCACATTTCGGTATAGAAAACAACCCTCCGAAGTTTCTACTTCATAAATTCTTCACCAAATCGTGTAATCAAGCCGTCCTAAAACAAAGCCACTTAAACATCAAAACATCAACATTATTGACTGATTAGAAAAGTGAAATGAATGCACTTCCAATTACTTCATCAATGTTCAGTGCTACCCGTACTGTTCACACGGAGATGACTTACAATACTCCACACTATAGCCGGATAGACGGCATGGAAAGCAACCAGTTTTAAAGGAAATTACCAACATAGTCTAACAGCTCTAGTGAATCTTTTAATTGATGCTTAATACATTTCATATTTTGACATCACAGAAGAGCATCCAATACCCGAAAAGAAGCTTCTTTTTTGACTCTGCAAATTCACCTGAAGCATCCTGAGGTATCCCTTTCAATCTGATACTATTATCAGGTTACTGATATGAACGACCCCCCCCCCCCCCACAACCCTCACCCCTTGGGGCCTGTCTGAATCTGCTGCTGCTTGATCAGGTCAAGTAAGGACAAATATAAGAAACTGAATTACAAGACAAAAACGAGAGTGCAAAAAAGAAAGACAGTTGAAGAGATAAGTTTAGAAAGGATAAATTATTCACATTTGACAGATCCGCCATTTTATCATCCCCCATGACGGCATTAGGTAATATTGTACCTGTATTAATAACAGCGTGTTGCGCAAACTGTCTATTAGATGAACATAAAACACAGCTATTCTGCCATTTGGCTGGGTAATTATCATTAACTTTACAAATAACCAACAGAAAGTGCTTCGTTATTGCTCATATAGTGTGGAGAGATGTGTTGGTTTAATGTATATTGATGAGAAGAGTTCATTAGCCGAGAAATCCCCAAAGTTTTATTTTTTACTGGTAGTTACACGTACACTTGCCAAGAACGATGTAAACAAATGTTTCTGGGTTTTGAAGAAAATGGGCTTCCATGATCGTTTAATAATCTTTGTTCATGCATATTATATTATATTATATTATATTATATTATATTATATTATATTATATTATATTATATTATATTCCTTTGGTCGATCCATGAGTTTAAACATAAGTTTATCTCCTTAAATTTTTATTCCTTCTTGGAAAGACTATGTGCAGGTCTGAACCTGATAGTTTGATCAAGGGAAGCTAGGGCGCTTTGGTAGATCTAAAGTTTGTCAAGCAGGAAATATGTTCGAACCCCTAAACAGATCTGTTTAAGAAAGAACATCTTCAATAAAAGTCAAATTTAGACAGGTAAGATGAATATGGAAGGAAATGTCCAGCCACGAATAAAGTAAAAAAGGAAAGAAATACATGGATAATTAAGTGCGCGTGATTATTTTTCCAGTGTAATTTGTGCGTTTGACTCTGAAATTGTTAAAATAGTGGTAATATGTGCAGTATTCTAACAGATAATATATTTTGGTGAATATATCATACTCAATGAACTTGAGTGTCTCAATTGTTTCCTTTAATCATATACTCTAATCGATTAATTGGTCAATTACTCCCACGACACAAAGAAAGGAAATATAATAGGTTGTTTTGTGTAATTCACTCGATGAATCAAGTATAAGTTTGATTTATTAAATGCTGGGCACTCATTGACATAAAAAATGAAAGCCCTCTCTTCACATAAGTTAGGATACGTCCCTGTGGAGACAAATGGACAATGTGCCTCAGTTCGATGAACACCTCAAATTCATCACTACTGTATTTATCATAAATATTTAATTTTTACCGGATATTTTCATTTACACAGCATCTTATTTATGCCATTTTTCATTTGTTTGTCCCTGTAGCCTACAACAGTCCACACGTGGTGGCTTCAGGGCCGTAGCCTCCCGGGGGGGGGGGGGGGCAGCTGCCCTGGGGTTTGAGGTGCAAATATGGCAAACTGGCAATATGAACCCACAATTTTTGGCTTCTGATTGAGCAATAAATAACAGTTAAAATGCACCAGAATGCAGTATTATACATACAGTTTTTAAAAAATTTCCACACCCACACCCCCCCCCCTCGGGTGCTTCGCCCTCTCGTGTCCGCTTACTGCCCCCCCTGGCATTTTGCTCAGGCTACGGCCCTGGGCTTTATTTCTAAATCTAATACAATGGAACTCTAAGAACACTCCTCGCAATGAACTCGCCCTATACTACAGGTACATGTACATGTGAAATTAGACATGTTAGATAACTCAGACAGATCGAGCCAAGTAAACTGTAACCTATATCAGCATCCACGTAATAGCCGAAAAGTGGGCGAAATTATCGCACTTTTCAAAGAAAGCACCTGGCAGAGTTAACACGACGTGTCCTCCGCCACGTGGGACCTGCAGTGCACTATGTAATAGATAGACCCCGAGTCAGCGAGGGTTATGTGGCATACACGAGTGCGTAGCACGAGTGGATGTCACAAAACTCCCGCTGACGAGGGGTCTGTCTTATTAAGACCACGGTCCATGAACGGGTTATAACACATTCATGCGAGATGTGCGGTTATGCGAGTTACACCACGTCTGAGTCTTTTGTTCTTCACTTCCACCGTGGTCTAATTCATGTTCAGTATTATACCTGCAGGGGTTCTTACTTCAGGCTTATTGGACGTGTTCTATTGTTCTGCAGATGTTCCAAGCAGTTTTTCTCCACAAATACCTGGCAGTGTAACAGGTGGGAGGCGTGCAGCTTCCTCAGCTTTAAGCTAAAGATATTACACGGAATGCTATCTTCTGAAGGCCTGATATAAAACTCAATGTCGCTTGGGAATCCTGCTGGTCTGACTAAATAATAATAATAATAATAATAATAATGATAATAATAATAATAATAATAATTTATTGAGCACAAAGAAATTGTTTAAATTCACAGGTTCTCTAACTAATACATCTATAAAATAATTTACGTAACAAACTATGCTCATCCACGCAGGGATAAACGCTTTTTAAATGCACTGTTTACAAATTTACATATGGCACTCACAGAGACTGCGCAGAGACTGGATTGAGTAAAATAGATACGTAGTATATTGTCTGTTGGACCCTGCAAATTCACCACTGGTATGCAGGCGAACAGTATTTCCCGTTCGGCTCTGTGTTCACTGTGCTGCATTCTGCAGAAAAACAAGTGTGCTTCATCTTCTATTGGGTCGCAGTGGGGGCATTTCCTTTTGTCTATTGGCGTCTTTGGTTTTGTATATCGCCCTCTTTCAATTTCTAATTCATGATCACTGGTCCTCATTTTTGCTAAGACTTTTTTTTAGCTAAAGGAACATTGAGTTTTACATAAGGTTCAGCCTCATAAGTATATTTAATTTTTCCATATGTTCCGAGTTTATTGTTTTCTCCTTTCTGCAATTCTTCCAAAAATTTTGACTTTTTTACTATTTCTATTGATATGGGGTTAAATAATCCCATTTAATTTTTGTAAGCAATGTCTCATCAGGCATTAGTCTGGACACAAAAGGAAAACGTAAAACTCCAGTTACATTTTGAGATGAATTTTATTAAACTGAAACATTTACATGATACCCACCTTTGATGACGCTGTAATGATGAAAGGTCCAATATGGTTGGCAAAAACACACGAATTGCCTTCACAGACAGATATGTCTGCATGCACTCTGTTCAATAAGTGCCCATGATTTACATGTAGTCGCAAGCTCTTCCAAATCTAATTAAGCCTGTATATGAGTGAGTAGAAACCGTGTGTGTGGAGAGAGAGAGAGAGAGAAAGAAAGTAGCACACACACAGAAAAACAGCCTCTGGTCGTTATCCCCCCCCCCCGTGCCTCCTAGACAGGCAGTATCACCTCACTCCTGGTTAGAGCTATCTCTACCTGAACACCCGGTATACCGATGCACGTACCTACATGTACTTGGTATAACAGAGCACCGTGTGTTTCAGGCTCTACATTTATCTCTTATGTACTTCTCTGTTCATGTTCCAAGTTTAACTTTCCTTTATTTTTTTTTTCACTTTGAGTCTCTTAGTAACACACACCTAGCAAGGTCACGGAGTGGGCCAAAGTTCTGTAGGATACAACTACAATTTTGTGTAGAAGGTGAAAAGTTTAATTGTATAACATGATCAGCAGATTACACAGATGAATTTCCATCAGAGCACATATTTGTTGTTTTACAGAATTGATGGCGCAGAATCTATGTTTCAAAGGAAATAAATATCGCAACGGTCTGGAATGTTACGCAAGCAACACACCGACGGTAAGCCGTCGACCACACATGGAACCAGATATATCAGTGAAAAAGACCGCACACATACCCTGCTTATGCAACTCGTTCAAAAATAAACTGTAAAGCATGAACGACAGCAGGTATCAGAAGATCGGGAAGCGGATTCTGGAGCATGGTCAAATGATCCCACTTCTTGATCCAGCCAAGAAGATGCAGGCAGGATCCCATAATAAATCGGCCCTAACGTTGCCTAATGACGTGCGCCACCTGCCTGGCAGTAAACCCATGTCTTCCCTGGAGGATATAACCATGGGTGAAGATCAGAGCTCAATTCATAACGACGGAAGTTCCCTGCACGGCCACCACGACGGACCTACCAGCCCCAGGGGCAGGGGAGAGTCAAGATGGCGCTACTACGTGTCCAAGAGGAGAACGACCAAAGTCAAAGGCAAGACGAAATACCCTGTGATGTCTCAGTAGATTTTTTTTTCTTTTTTGCTGTTATTTTGAAACAACGATTTTAAGGAAATAAGTATTTAAAAGTTGGGGAATTATTGAGGAGATGAGTAGTTTGACCTTGTATCAAACAGATATACCATGTAGTATCCAATGCACTGGTCGACATTTAGCTTGACCTTCGGAGATTTTGTTTGTTAACTTCCATTTATTGTTATTATGTTTTATCGAATCCTATGTAAACGAGGTTTTGTAGAAAGAAAGATTAAGTTTTTAGTTTGTCAAAAGCGAATGGTTATAGTGTTTACAGCCGTCTTTGCTATCAGTCACTCTTACTTTCTTCCATGAAATGAGATATTTAATTTAAAGTTGACTTTAGAAGCATTCACAGAAAAAAGTCTTTGTTAAATAAGAAAAGTCAAAATTTGAGTTCATTATATTTTTCTCTGTGTATATTTTTTGCGAGTTTCATTTCCTTTTTGAACCAGATTTATTTATTCATTTGATTTTATTATGGCATTTATAATGGATAAATATATGTACACAATAGTACCGGTACATGATTGTTTTATTTGCTTCAGTTTTACGAGTTCTATTTTGACGATGTTGGTTCTGATTTAATTGCCATTGCCAAGCTTTACATGTTATTGTCTGTCTACTGCAGCAAACCCTCTCGAATGTTACCCATTTCCAATTCCATTTAATGCTTTTAACTTTGAATATTTTAAACTACTATAAGTGAAAAATGGGCTTATATTGTGAACACGTGTTTATGAAAATTGTTTTTGTTACGAATGCTAAGGAAATGGAGTTAAAATATCGAAGAATTAAGACGATAAAACAACACTATGCCGGCATTCCAGCAGCGTTTACTGTTTATTTGTATAATTATAAATATTTTGTAAACAATTAAGGTGTCCACTTGATGGCCGACTTCAAGACCAGTGGCCTGGGGATCGACGAAATGTCCCCCACCTATCACACCGAGAGCCTTCTAAGGGGAGAGAAACAGATCACCGTGGATTGCAATCGAGCTCTTATACATTATTTTGCACAGCTTGGCTTGCTAAAGGACGTAGACAGTCTCGATTTGGATTTTGTAGATTCACTGCTGACTTCCGGTGCCGATGTCAAGTGCACAGACAAGAACGGCCAGACCGTGCTGCACGAGGTGAGTGGGGGTCAAGGTCATGTGCGGGGGTGTGCGGTAGAGGGAACAGGGCGTTCGGTTTTATTATGTTTTATTCGCTTATCTGTTTGTCAATTTATAGATTGACAGGTTTAGAAGAGAGAATGTCAATAAGGTTATTGAATTAAAGATAATTAAAAAAACAGATGATAAATACAACAAAGAAGCCTGGATATAATTATATATAAATTCGCCATGTCATGATTTTACAGTAGCCGCTTGCCGAATATGTGTATCAAAACGTCTGTCATGTATCATAAAATAATACTCAGATAATGAATTTTTTATTTCGTTATTCGTTTCGTCCTTACCCTCATTGGGCATTACTAAAATAAATACGTATTTTGATTAAAAAAAAAAAAGGAGAAAGACATTAAAATGGTAAAAGAACAATAAACTTTTGTTTTCGTGATTCTCGTGCTATCGCAGCTCTCACCTTAGGTTTTTTCTGAACACAGGGTAGCAACAACAGGTGGCTTGTAACGGAGGAAAGTAACCTGAGCCATTAATGCCACTTTAACGCCGTCTGAGTGGCTTGCTTTAGGGACGATTTTGGAAGACGCGCAGATCAAATGTCTTTGTTTTCGTTTGTTTTGATTCGTGTTTTTTTTTTTCGACATGCGTATAGAGTCTGCTCTTCTTACATGAGAAATGATTTCTGTTTTCGACATATAGTGTAGACCATTCTTCTACTTTATACTTAGGGCGGAGAAATTGAGATATCCATAACTAAGCAGTACCATCTTTTATATTTGTAGAGCTTTCTGGTTCAAGATTTTCATATATAGGCAGACAGTAAGAAACCCTAATTTCAGGAACCGTGTGACATCATTTTTTAATTGAAAATCACTAGAATAACTAAAAAAAATACCTATAGTCTAATCTTATGCTTACCGGATACAAAATAATGTTGATATTTTATGAAATTGTGTAGAATGACAATGCAAAGGTTCCACTGTTCAACGTTTCTATCTTTGAATCAAAAGCATGTGCTTCAAATAACAAATTATAAATAAGTGTGTCTATTACGTTAAGAAGATATCAAATGTGTTTATTATATACACTATTATACTTTGGCTGAAATCAATATGCGAGGTCAAAATTGATAACATTTGCTGAGGTCTGGAATACAGTATAGAGAATGAAGTCAGGAGTAAAGAGCAGCTGGACATTGGAACGCCGGTAATTGTTGGTGATAACTCGACCCTAGCGCCACATGCGGCTGTTTGGGATGTCTGCTCCCCAGGGAGGCCAGGTATTTTCAGGATGCACCGGGGTCATGAATGTACCAGAAATAGAGTATAAATCGGACTGCTATTGTTTATTGGGAAAAGGGTTATAAAACCAAGTTACCTTTAATCGAGTAAGTTGCAGTTCTGCGTGCCAGTCCACAGTAGCCTTTGCATATAAACGCTGAGTGGTACGGAAGCGTATCAGGTGTCAATTTCCAGTAACGGTGACAATTAAAAAGAGCATGGAGACGTTAACTGCATGGTCGTCTTAAGACACACAATGTACATAAGGAATTTACATACAGCAAACTATCAGGTCAATTGTACTGTGAAAATCAGCAATATTACCTTTATCACCAAGGTGTACTACGTCAAAAATCGATCTGTAAATCTATTATAGGCTCTTAACAGAAAATACACGCTGTAGTTTCCTTCCATCATGTAATTCACTGGTTCAAATCTCCGTGACGGGAGACACTCGATAACATACAGTAGGAACTTTCCACGCAAAAACCGGCCAATAGATCGTAATTTGTCAGTTTGGTTTTGGTTCGTCTTGGCGATGAAAGGGAATGTTAATATTTTGAGATGTTCTAACATAGATTTTAGAAAACAAAACTAGAACCCCAGTACATGCAGTATGGTGTGCGGATACTATTAGACGCCAAGCCAATATTGAGACATGTCTTAAAAAAGTGTGTTTATAGTCTGATGATTATGGCTCTGAAGTGTATGTTGTTGGTAAAGAAGACCTGGGCCGCTTCCACAAAGAACATAGTACCGGGTACGTAAGACTGAAAGTTGGTCTTTACTTTTAGTGCAGAGATTTCCATGTGCTCTGATCAAGGAATTGTCTAATTAACATCTTTGCTTTGACTCATTATAGGTTAGGTTATGCATGTACTTGACACCAACGATGTACTGCGTCTATTTTATAAACAGAGAGAAATCTTTTAAATACTTCTTTTAGCGGAACTTTACGGTTTTGATGTTTATTGTTGTAGATTAGAATAATCTTACAGTTCAGCCCAGCTTACGGTCTTATAGTGTCTTGTAAGACTAGTCCATGACACCAAGGCCAAGGCCTGTAAACAAGTATTGCTGGCAGACTGTTCAGCACTCTGATGTTCTTAGCAGATATCTGAGTAGTTTTCCTGTAACTTCTTCGTCAAGCAGAACCTAGCATTTGTTGATTTTGATTAAGGAAAAGGTCAACAGTAGCGGTGCTCTACCCAAAAAATGAATAAAAAACAAATTAAGGAATTGATAAATTAATCAATGAAAGAACGGCAACAATAAATTAAAAACATATTGTTTATAAGAATAATTTCGTTTTTTCATCTATCATAATTTTTTGTGCAGAAATCCTGAGAAGAAATCTTGAGAAATAATCTTTCAAATAGATTTCAAAACAACCCATGTATGAGTACAGCATTGTAAATAAAATATGAATAAGAGTAGAGAAATTGAAATTACATCCTTGGGTATAAAACCATTTGGTAATGTATCTCACTTTACGCTCTTGGCAACTTGGCAAATTTCGATTATGTTTTTTTCTTAAGACTGCATGTAGATCCTTAGTGATACCTGAAGGTGAAAACCATAAACCAAAGCCAAAAGTCATTAACGCCATGTGTTTAACTTTGCTACTACGACTTATTTTAAACTACATGTATGTTGTCTGGGATTTTACCATACTTAACATATGGTCTTACATTGCACGCGCGAGTGTTCGCTAATTGCATTTGGTGTTAAGAGCAATGATCCCAAACTGAAGAGATCAACACATAATGATGCCTCAAAACTCAGTTAGAAAAGCTCTAAGGCCCCGAGGGTGGTTCAATACTAATAAAGACTTAAGAATAATTGGCTAATGTAACACACATGTAACATTAGCAGCGTATTGCAAAGCATTCAACACATTAAGCACGTTGAACTCTTCTGCTTGGTTATCTTACTATTGGACATTTTAACTATTTTAACCCCAGTATATTGCCACAACCTTTACCTTCACCTCCTAGAAGACAGCTAGTTGAGTAGTAAAGAGTCACTTGGGTTCAGCCAAATATCTGCATTATCTTATGGAAATTCATTTTCGAACAAATCAATTTTTGATATTAAAATCTTCAAAAAATTTAATACAAATATTAAACAAAAACAAAATTTTAAAACTTAGAACGCACATGTATTTGACATTTTAGAAAGAATTAAAAACAGAAAAAAAAAATATATATATATTTTAAATGTTTAAAAACAGGAAGAGAAATAATTTCAAGTCAATTCCGGATGTTGATTTAACCCTTATATGTAGAAACGGGAAGATGCATAAACACGCCAATCATTGATAGAATATGCCAAATACGTGAAAAGGAACAAGACGATAAGAATCATGTCTTACTTCAGTGCATTGCTTTTATAGAAGAAAAATGTTAATTTTATGACAGGCTGAGCATCCTAAAAACGAAGTTTATGAAATCTCTTTAAATAATTTAATAGGAAAAATACAAGACAGTTCGCCAAATTTTCAGTATAGCATACTAATTCAAATACACTTTTCTAGTACACTTTTATCTACCAGTGTGAATAGGGCATACATATTAAGTATACAAGCATGTGCATCATTCCCCATGGAGCGGGTGTTGCAAGCCGTAGGGGAAAATTCACGATCGAAAAAGCAGCAGTTCTAATCAGTCCGATCTGCACCGCGATGTACCTACAATCAGATAATTCGTTAAGTTTATGTTTTACTCTATAGGTGGCGCGGGTGTGGCACGTGGACGTGGCGCGGTTCATGGTAGAGAAGGGGGCGGACGTGAACCAGGCTGATATGTACGGCCGTACTCCACTCCATATAGCCGCCGCCGTGGACTATCCGGAGATGATAGACTTTCTTATAGGACAGGGAGGTACCAGGCTGGCATGTCATCACTTACTGTTATCATTGCTGTTATTGTTGTTTGATAATTTGCAAATTAAATCATTGAGGACGGAGACCTATTTATATACTATATGAGAAACATCTTGTTCAATAATTATTTATGCAAGCAGGTAAATTTATATTAACTCTTAGAGTGAAAAACTGAGGTGTAGGACAAGCTGTTTAAACCTATATTATTATTTTTCTTATTTCTGTATCTCTATTTTCATATGAAATAAGAGTAAAGTGAACTTTTATGGATGATGTGATCAACTTTTAATTTTTACGAATGTAGCGGCGCGTGAGGCTCGCACAGCGGTAGAGAACCAAACCCCGGTCCACTTTGCCGCCAAGAACGATGCCTGCCAGTCCCTGAAAACTCTAGTCAAGCATCACTGTGAGTACAAACTGGTACGGGACTACAAGGGGAGAACACCGGTCCACCTGGCTGCTGAATCCAGTAGGTTGCTTTTATTGGTTGAAGTATTTGAATTCATAGTTTTATCATTTATCATTTATTTATTTATTTTTGCTTACATTTTTATTTATACGCATATTCGTTATAATCTATTCAATAATAACGCTATCGTAGCAAATTTTCTTCTGTTCAGGCCATCTTTTTTATCATAGAATTGCACGCGTACAGTTTAAATCCCCTAAAAATGGGCACTATTCTTACACCTCAGCAGAACAGTAGCTCCCTGTATTAGCCTTATACTATATATTTTTTCACTTCATGATATCACTCAACGCCAGTGACTATCAAATCAGCGGGATTACGCATCCTGGGATTCTCATCCTTAAATCAATTTTTGACCTTTTTCAGATCGTGCCGACTCGGCTCGGCTGCTCCTCGATCTTGGAGCGCCAGCGTCCGTCAAAGACAACAGTGGCCAGACCGCCATTGTGTGGATGATAACACGGATGCCAGCCGTGGTAAATATATAGATATAGTGCCGGTTATGAATATAACGTGTTATTTACAACACACTGTCTGCGCCAGTGGTTTCTAGACTAAATGTTTAAATCTTAAAAGACCAACTGGCTGATCATAATATCATATCAGCCTATCAAACCATACTGCAGCAAAGTGAGATATGCTTCTTGTTTCGATAATAAATTCAAGTTCAGAATGCCTTAAGTGACTTTTTATGTTGTTTTTACCTATCTTTACCTCCGCCAAGGAGGTTATGTTTTCACCCCTGTTTGTTTGTTTGTTTGTTTGTTTGTTTGTTTGTCAGTCAGTCTGTCTGTCTGTCTGTCTGTCTGTCATCAACATAACTCAAAAAAAGTTATGGACCGATTTTGATGAAATTTTTAGGAACTGTCAGAAGTGGGCCAAGGAAAAGATGATTAGTTTTTTGTGGTGATCTGGATCAATAATCAATCAATAATCAATGATCAAAAAGCAAAAAAAACAAACTAAATCATAATAGAATGAAAATTTAGGGGTGAAACGGCATTGGGTGGAGACTTTGCTGCCTTGGCGGAGGTCTGCGCTCTCGGAGTGCTTTTCTAGTCGTATTATTGTATTGTACATGTGCAATGTAACTCAGGAATTATCTTTGAATACACTGCAGATGTTTTTCCTTTTCCTTTCTTCGTCTATGTATCTTAAGTGTGCCCTCTTTCTACCTGCAGGCCAAGATAGGTCTAGACCAGTTCTACTTAAAGAACGGCACCAGACGCAGACAGTACTTTTACCTGAACCACCTTGAGACGCAGAAGCCAGGAGAACCTCTGGACGGGAGACCCATGTCACCGGTAACCTGATGTGTGGCTTAAACAGACTCTTAATGTTAAACAATATTTGATTAGCACAGATATGTAGGCTACAGGCGTAGACAATAGAGAATTTAGGACGATGACCGAATATTGATCATCTATTTTCTACCAGTGGTGTAGGTAAAGGAGAAATAGAGGCCGCTCGTAATTCATCAATATATACTAGTACAAAGGCCGTTTGAAAACATCTGGTACCCTTATTGAAACTGCAATATTATGATATTCGTGAAATAAATAAAAATGGTACAGTTATTGCAATAAAAGAATGTGTTTGCTGCTATAAACACATGTCACTTTATCTCTCTCCACAGCTGCAGGCTATTGTGACAGCCAAACAGTTCGACCTCGTCATGCATCCGGTGGTTCAGCGGCTCATCTCCATACAGTGGCAGCAGTTTGGGAGGTATAAATAAACAAATAAATTTATTAAATCTTTATTTATTTATCTATTTTGTTATCATTATACAGCACGTGTAGTGAGCACAAGAGTAGGTTTCGAAACTCGTCTTTCTGACTTTCAGAGAACATCGAAAATACACTTTGGTACTTAAACAGTGTGATGATAGCCTTGGTTGTTAATATTATTTCAAGAAATAAAAATTAGTGATCTGTTACCCGGCCAATTATTCCTAAACAGGACAGGTGCCTGGTTAAACATGATGCTGAACCTTTTATTCATCTTGGTGTGGTCGGCCATTGCTGTGGTGAATGGTACGTACGTGGTGGAGGACCAGCAGAGAGAACATGTCGGCTATGAACTGCCACAGGATGTCTGGAGGGTGGTGCTGATAGTAAGTGGAACACAATATTCGCTTATCGGTAACATTGTTCTGTCGTAGTTTCAATTACAATTCAAATTACACGATTTTGGCCTTGCGACGTTGACTAAATAATTCATCTTCCAAATGAAACATTTTAGTAATTTTTTTTAATTTCATTTAATCTATTTTGATTTTTATTTCTTTGTCCAATATTTTAACCTGATCATATTTCAGAATGATGTTTTTTATTATATGTATTATGTGTACGATTTTGTTTATGTGTTTTTTCTATCTTATACCCTTTGAGGTAGGAATAAAATGAATAATAAATGCATAAATAAATAATCACCATTCCCTGGTTTCCAGGGTATTGGCGTTATTTTGTGGCTCATCCAGATACAAGAAGGGGTTCAGAACACCTACACCTCCATCAAGAAATTTCAGAGGTATAAAAAATGGCGGCTTGGAGACTTACAGAAGGACATCCAGTATTGCCATCCAAGATGGCCAGAAGAGGAAGAGTATCTGCAGGCGGAGAAGAAGGACTTGGATCGCAGGAAACCACATTATTTTGATGACTGGTGGTAAGTCGTTTGGTGGTGTCTACAGTGCAACGCGAGTCAAGAAATGTTTTTCTCTTTTAGACCAGAAGTATTTGTTTACTGTATCTAAGGTTAAATCAGTATACTTGTACCGGGTATAGTGGCCCACAATCTGATTGAGTACATGGTATTTTGAGAATTTTTTACGCAATGGAATCTCTTTTGTTTAAGAAGAGCAATGGTTTTATCCCAGTTAACCAAATGATATTCTGAATTTTACTTAAATAAAGTTGCTAATGTTTACAAAATAGTTGTTTTCAAATAGTACATAAAAAAAGAAAAGTTAAACGAAATTCAAAGACGGCGGATCAAAAGAAACATCTGGTATTGTTCCACTGTTCAACTTTTACTGTATTGGATGTATTTTTTTTTCTTTTAACATGTCAGGAACGTATTTGACTGGGTGATCTACACGTTTCTGTTAGTTTCCCTATTTTCCCACGTGACGGCGCTGTTCATTCATGATCACGTGGTATCCAGGACGAATATCCGGATCAGCGTCATCAACGTTATCTTAATATGGCTGAGGCTATTAAAAAGTGCTCGGGCGTTTTCTTTGCTCGGTGAGTATTTCTTTTGCCAATTCGATATGTGACCAATAAAAGTTTTGAATGGTATCATGTTGACTTCTCTTAGAAAATCTTATTGTTCGAGGCCACTTCAAATGTTAAATTGTAGGAGATAATAGAGAACTCAATTATTTTACTACATTTATTGTACGCACAATGAAATTCTTTCTCTGATTATTAAAATTCAGGTAAAATTTTGATTTGTTTTTCATATCAGTATTTTCCTTGAGACAGGACTATCTTCTGCCTCTTTCAGGTCCGTTCATCGTCATGTTAGGTCACATGCTGGGAGACGTGGTACGGTTTCTGTTCCTGTACCTCGAGTTTTACATACCGTTTGGTAAGACATCCTAAGCCAAACTTACTTCTTAAAGTGTTCAACGTTCAATTTATTTTCATTTTTTATTTATTTTAGTTTATTATTTATATTTTATTTAGTAGAATGACAAATATTCAGGCGTGATATATCCGTTTTACATAACGTATCCCTTTCAAATAGAATGTCCGTTTTGATATAAATGTAGCATATCCGTTTTATTTATAAAATTTATATAATAATGTATAATAAAAATATAATAAAAATTAATTATCTCCTTGAAGAAAGCACATAATCCGGAAGCCCGGGCGTCTAATTCCAAGTTTTATTTAAACTTAATATCTGCGTTTTATAGCTTAATATATTTGTTTTGACCCATTCACTGTCCGTTCTAGCTATTGCCTACTGGCTGGTGTTCGGGGGAGAGAAGATCCAGGACGACTCGGAGGCGTTCCCCAACCCCTACCCCCACAATACCACCGTGTACATCAAGGGGTTTGAAGACCCTGCACGAATGATGTTCAGTCTCTTCAGGATGACGCTGGTGGAGAACTACGACTACGAGGTACGTTGCTGAACGACTTTCGTGTTTGCTGAGTTTCTTCATTGATGTATAATTTCTCATTTTCCGTTTATGAATGTATGATTATGTATACCCCCCACCCCCGGTAAATATACGCATATTACTATGAGGTAGCTCGATTATATTGTAAAATGGAAGGGACATACGCGCATTTTATCTCAACATACATAATTAAGTGATGTATACTGTTGAACTAAAATGGAGAGCTAACGTCGGTTTTTAGTAACCCGTAAAAAGCGTCTGGCTGAGAAGGATCCATCTTTATCTTTAACGTGCCTCATGGTGTTTCTGTTGTTCTCTATGTTTAGGGTATGAAGCGTGCAGATTACATCATGGCTGACGTGTTAGTGGGGGCGTGGTTAGCTATCTCCGCCATTTTGTGTCTGAACCTGTTCATTGCACTGCTGTCTGATACATTTCAAAGGTAAAGAATATGTTGATATAAAAATGGTAAATAAATGCCCTTTTAAGTTTATATTAAGCAAAACCAATTAACCATGTTTGAGCACATTTTACTTTCATATTCAACTTTATGTATTTTCCTTTGAGTTATTAATTATCTGTTTTTCTTTTGACGCAAAGACATTATATTGTATTGCACTATCCATCTATTAAGTTGCAAGACACATTGAATGTTATTAGTAGTAGTAGTAGTAGAAGTAGTAGTAGTAGTAGTAGTAGTAGTAGTAGTAGTACTGTAGTAGTAGTAGAAGTAGTAGAAGTAGTAGTAGTAGTAGTAGAAGTAGTAGTAGTAGTAGTAGAAGTAGTAGTAGTAGTAGTAGAAGTAGTAGTAGTAGTAGTAGTAGGTACATGTAAGTCACTTAATTAGTCATGCTGAATATTAACCTGCTTCTATCCAAAGATTCAGTGTCATGTGTTTCTCGACGTTTTCGCTCATCCAGAGTGTATGACAACGCCCAGGCGAACGCCATGATGTTAAAGGCGGTGACCATTCTGAACGTGTGGACCCGGATGTCCAAGCAGCGTAAAGAGAACTTCCGGTCCTTCATCCACACCCAGTGTGCACCGGAGGAGATTCCTTATGACGAGTCGGCCACCTGTGATGACGACGACCTGAAAAAAGTGGCCTTCCAATTAAAGGTAGTTTCATAATTAGATGTCAATAGATATTCAATAGTACTAATAAACCAATTTTGATATCACGACTATAAGTCAGTTTTATACTTGGGTAATGGATAATAACGCCAGTGTTACATAATAGGAATTATATCCCTAGGATTAAATTACATCATTGTACAAAACGTGGGGTTGATCAGTTTTCAGGTTGGGATGTTTCTTTGTTTTTTGTTTCATTTATTTATTTATTTATTTATTTATCTATTTATAATCAAACCATAGTGATGGCGCCATAAAACAACAGAAAACTAATTTAGGGGATTGGTAATTAAAATGAGGTATATGCGTTTCAGGATGAGCTGGAGGACATGAAGGAGTTTGTCCGGATTGAGCTGAACAAAGTGGCCTTCAGCACAGCGTCCGACAGTTCTAAACTAGAGATGAAGGTAAGATATGCTCGGTAAAATATTTATGTATAGGCAATATATGATACATGTAGGCCTAATCATGGTAATAATTCTAAACTAAAGATAAGGAAAAATATGTGCAATGAGATGTGGGCAAGCTTGGATTACGAATGTAAATCATAAGAGTATACAATTATAATACAAGGCCGAACCATGAGGGGGTCTAGCTCAAATGGTAGAGCGCTCGCTTAGCATGCGAAAGGTACTGGGATCGATGCCCAGGTCCTCCAGAGTGTTTTGTTTTCGTTATTCCGTCACAGTTTATGAAATCTTGTAATTTTTTTATAAGCAGTGTGGAACTGACTAACCATCCAGTTTCAAAATATAAGAATATTATACAAATTCCTCTGACATTTACCCTTTGATTTAAGGAACGTTACTGGCTTATCTACCAGGGATCAAAGTTTATGTTTTTATTCATTCAATTGTGTTGAAACCAAAGTAGAGAAAACAATTGACTCAGTTACTGGATACAAAAGGAGTTTTATTTTAAGTTGCTAATGTTTACAAAATAGTTGTTTTCAAAGAGTACACGAAAAAAGAACGTTCTAATATGGCTGATCAAAAGAAGCATCTTTCATTGTTCCACTCCTACGGTTCGACCTGCTCACAATGCCATCCTCAGGGGAACTGACCTGCCATCGGGGTCACGTGGTGACAATTGTCGCAACCATATTTTATTTCGTTTTTATTTTCTTATTGTATTTACTAGATTATTTTTGCTTCGTATTTAATATTCAATATACCACAATCAATGCGCTGTTTGATTATTGGCGTTTCCTGTGAAGCATGTTTTAGACGTCTCACTTTATTTTAGGACAAAATAGAGGTTTTGCTAGCCGATGTGAAGTACTCCATCCTGAATGCATTCTTGGAGAAGAAAACGGACTGTCTAACCGAAGAAAAGTTTGAGACTGCACTGGCACCTATCAGAGATGAAATAAAAACCTTCACCAACAATCAGGAGACATTAATGACTGAAATGGCGGCGCTCAAAGCCATGATTCAGCAATTAGAAGTTAAACAGGCACCGCCGCCAGGTGAAATGATTTAAAAAGCTTCCATCGCTCTAAAGTAGAATCAATATGATTCAATTTATATTTATTAACTTTTTTGCTGTCAAACTGATTTGAGAATTGTTCTTCTGACAACTGAAAAAGATCAAATTTACAAGCATACGCATTCTCTTGAGTGTATCTTGCAGTATGTACATGTATATATGTGTGTATGTATATGTATTTGTGTGTGTGGAGATGTGTTTGTGCGGGCGTACATGCATTCGTCTACTTATATCGTTTATTTGTGCGTAGAGTTTGTGTGTGTGTGTGCCAGTGTGCGTATTAATATATTGTTTGGCCCTCTCTTACGTCTTGGTATGGCTGTATTGGATATATCTCTTCTGTTTAATGTCAACTTCTCACAAAGTATCAAGTTGATCCTTCATCGTAATCAGTTACCATGCGAGACCTTTTTAATTTTCATTACACAAATATGAAACTTACTTCATCATATTGTGCTGTGTATCCTAGGCCTTCCACCCCAGGGGTTTTATTCACTGCCCCACCCTCGCCACCGGACGTCGTCTTACTCGCGGTCCAGGAGGAGGGGGTCCCCGTCACCCGCAAGGTCAGAGAGGTCCCGCAAGAGCGACAGGCAGTCGGAGAAAAGGTAGGGCATTTTAGTGCACGTAAAAAAGAACCCCCATAAGCATCGATTGTAATCAATCTAATTCACTCCAATATGTTCAATGGAACTTATTTCTAGCTCCCTCGTTCAATCGTTACTTGTAACTTGTTTCAGCAAAGAGCAAGTGCAATGGTCGCATCTAGCATATGTGACTTATATATTCCCTTTACGTGAAGGAATATCTGTACATTGTATTGTTTTATCATTTAAGAAGGGAGAAGAAATCCAGTCGCCGTAGAAGCAGAGATGAAGACCGTGGCTCTTCACCCAGCGGGGATGATGTCGCCCAGGGTAGGAACATGTCTGTGATGTACCATGTGGTGTGAGATAAGCCGCCTTCTGATATCTTAGCTTTCGTCTACGTCAGTTTGTCCGATGACTACCCCCAAGAATAGCTCTTTATCGTTCAAAATTTTATTTTTAATCGCAGTTTGATTCTTTAGTATCCCAGGTACAACGAAGTTGTCATTTTTATGCCAACAAGGGAATCAATAAACACATGAGTTAATAATAATAATAATAATAATAATAATAATAATAATAATCCCTCAAGAGTGTCATTCCTTTGAGATTCACCAATGAGCCATAACAGAAAATCTCCCACAAACGTCTCTACATGTTGTTGTGTAATCTCTTTCCCAGGGCTGCAGTCGAGTTCTAGCACCAGTACATTGACGGAACCCAGTCCACCCACGCCCCGCAGACGACACTCATCTTCCAAATCAAGATCTAAATCAAAAACTCCAAGCCAAAAAGGATCATTGCCAAGGAAGTCAAAGCGGTGACGGAAACAAGCAAAAGAAGAAATAATGAATACGGAAAGCGGAAAAACGTGAAATAAAATGAAAAAAAGGAAAAACGTGGTGAACAGGAGAAGCTTGTCTTGTCACATTTGCGACCGCAAGCCATCTGGAGGTCACAAACAGACCTTGTAGTGGTGGACACTAGGGTTTGTGCAGTGCCATTTGATTTGACTTTGATTCGATCGAAAGTGAAATAAATGCCCAAAGGAGTATTATACGCTTTAAACCTTTAAGGAGCAAAGAAAGAGAAGATTTAAAAACTCGGAAACGGGTTTGGAGACCGTGATTTTTCCGGCAGTACTACGGTGATTAAAGACAACTTTGCCACAATGTATGTAAACAAACTATGTGCTTTCATGGTTTAAGGTTTTCTTATGGTCAGATACAATAGCACACCCGCTTACGGTTAGTTGTAAGAACAAATATGACTGTGGCTGAGATAAGGTTAAGGACCAAAATACCCCGATCATCCGTCATTTATATTATAAAAAACACGGATGTCCTTTATCGCCATATTACTTTGTAAGTATACACATGCAGATTGCATCAATAGTGATATGTGGCTCGTGAGAGGGTCTTTTCGTTTTCCCTGATAGTTTTAGTGTGAAAATTTGTAAATAAATTTCAGTAATTTTGAAAATTAATTAAATTAATGGACTTTATGCCACATTACTTTGGGCACCTTAACCATAAGCGAACATTTGAGTTCGGACGAAAATGCTTCTTTTTTTAAAAAATCAAGTATTTTATTAAGCTATTTGATTTGTTTTCTATAGTTTAGTGCAGTGTTAGTAGTGAATCACGTTTCTAATATCAGCAGACCACCAATTTACAGGCCAGCAATACGCGTGCGGTTATTGTGAACATTTAAACTTTAATAATAACATATTCACTATCTCTATTGATTGTTATTGCCTCAGGATAATGGCGTCGAAAGATTTATACATATTCAGTAGTCAATTTTTTGTTGTCTTAGGTTTTGATGTATTTTGTAATTGTTTCTATTCCCATTTGTGTCGTTCAACCTATGAGCATATGAAGCATGGGACATATAATGTTTATATTTGTATGATACTGTTCACACGTTACTACTAGTGACTCGCTGCTTTCTACTGCAGTGTGGATGGTACTTTATTTTTCCCTACATCATGAAAAATTCAAACATCATTTTGTCATTTTTCTGTTCAAATAAATAAATTGTATTTCATAGTTTGTTAAGTGTTTATGACACTATTCTCAATTTGACCATGCAAGGGACAGCAAACTGTCAGCGAGGTCAATGATAAACCCTGTGAACCAACTTTATGTATGACAAAAGTAGCTACAAACACAACCATTTTAGTCATGCAGTGGCTTCAAATAAATCAAACTGACTTAACTGTTATTACTTTGAATAAGACGTAACAATGAAAGAGAAACAACTGTTTCATCACGCGTTATGCATCTCAATAATACAGAAAGAAAAAGGGGGTTTCTAAAGAACGGGAGAACACTTTTCACGACTGCCAACATGTCAGCGCCAAGGCGATATTTGAATCCACAAAAAACAGAGGATAGACATAAAATTGAGGAAATTTCACATCTCGTCAGACGGTCAGAAGCGATGATATTCCCTCTTAACTAACAAAATTAAAATTTATTAGAATCATGTATTATGTGATCTGCCGACTCGAGATCGTTTCAAATTATGCGTACAGGTACCACAGTAAGTGCTCCAATCGACGTGTCATACCGCCTCCAAGTCGGATCACTTTTATTGTTTCTTATCCTACTGTTAGTCCAGCTTCAGGCCAACATTTAAATACACCAGCAGGAACCAAAAATATCGACCTCAACGCAATTAAAGTTTTTCAGAACAATAGAGACAGTGACATGAGGTTTTAATTTGTTTACTGCAGTCGTGTTTAATTACTTAACTAATGGAAGGTATCGACTGTATCACAGATTCTAGTTTGTTGGTCGATAAACTGAAAAGAACATCACATTTAACTAAGATTATTAATGGACCCTTAAAAGTTAGTAATTCCGTATGCTATCGACTGCTAGGTTATACTTCCGGTAATAACTATCGGAAGTCCTCGTGATACTTTATTATATATCAGGATACCATTAAATAGCAGACTGTCAATGTTTACTCTGGCTAAGAGTGACTGTAAGATGAGCCGCCGTGTGGAATGCAATCAGCGTTTGGTTGATAAGGAAGCATTGCCAATCTTCGACTTAAACTACAGCAGTGCAAACCTTTAAGCTTAATAACAAAAAAGTTTCGGAGATTTTTTTTATTTCTTTGAGCCTTACAATGAACATGATGTTTCCACTCACATGGATGGCTCTTATCGGCGTCTTAGCGTCGCTGGAGCTTATCAGAGGTGAACTCACGCTTATCTTCTTTAACTTCGAGCATTTCCTGGGACACGTTTGCAAATATTGTATCAAACATAATTACAGTTAGGGATCTGATAAATAATTTTCTTGAATATGTACCTAACCATTTGTACAGGTGCACGGGGCAATTCTGCCATGGACCGCCTGATGGAGTATGTAGGTAACAGGACCAACCCCCTGTCTATCCCGCTACCAGAAGATGTGGGTCCTTTGTCAGTTAACATAACAATGGTTATAAGCAACATTTTCCGCTTGGTGAGTAATATTACATATATATATTCATATCCACCTCATCAGCAGCCACAAATTGATTAAATTTTGTTTTTAGGCTACAAAATAATATAGTAAAGACGATGGCTGAAGGAGGCTCAACATTTGTTTAAACGTAAAGCATCAATTTGACTTTATTTCCACATAATTTATTTGCGGCATTGTTCGACATCACAATTTTTATTTCGCTGTGCCTTGATTGCACATTGTGTATGGAACATATACAAAATATAACTTTCTTTATTGAATATTATTGTTGCTAGTTTGTTCGTACAATAAGTATCTACCTGTAACATGAATAATCTTAAACCCAAGTGACCGCGAAAGCTGACCTTTGTGATCATATGGACGATGTATTTTAATGATGTGCATGTAACACAAGGAATATACATGGGTCGTCTGAGCAAGGGGACGTGGGTTCTACCAGTCTTTCATAAACGGTACCACTTGTCTCCCCGCTTGGCAATCAGCACTTGCATTGGGGATTGAAGCAGGGTCTTTGGTCTGACAGAGAAAGATACTGTTAGTTTTCAAAAGTTTTCAGCGTCTCATTCGACAGCTGGGGTGTATCTACGCTATGGGCGTTAGAACGCTTTCACCCGAAGGGATAAAAATATTTATGTCCAGGTATTTTTTTCACTTATTGTAAAGTGCTCTGAAACTAAGTGTAGTGCGCTATATAATAACAATATTTTACTTAATTATCTCATTATGCAGGACGAAGTTTATCAGACGCTGACTTCCGGCCTCTGGTTTGTTCTGGTGAGTGAGTATTATTATTATTATTTTTTTTTACATTAGTTATACTATATTTGCATTCAGATATGATGCCACTTTGTAAGCTAAGGGATTGGTGGCTGTATCCCAGTCAACCATGTGGTCTTTGTCTTAGTCCTAGTTTTTTTTAAATCTCAAATACATGTATGTGTTTAGGACTACAAATGGCTGACTGGGGTTTCAACTATTCTAAATCGTTCTGTAATTGTAAGTTTGAATTTTAATATGACAATTAAAAATATAACAGCAGTGTTCTCATAATAATGATGTTCTTATATTATTATTATTATTATTATTATTATCATCGTTGAAGGTGTTGGCGGCATGGATGGTGATGGCGTATTAAAGTTATTATTTGTTCCTAATTTTGTGTGAATAACCAGACAGTCTTAAACATACAAATTTAGACGGGTGATCTTAATCACCAGCAAGTTAATCAGCGAGTTAGCTATTCATTGGCTAATGATGGATTTCCTTCACACATTTTACTGTTTGATAACTTGACGTCACCACAAGTCAAAACCGATTTTCAAATCACACACACAAGCATAAAAGTTAATAGGTCCTACTAGAAAAACTCACTTCTGTATTTTCTCCAACAGCACTGGACAGACTATAGACTCACGTGGAACCCAGCGGAATATGGTAACATCTCCTTGATATCCGTTCCTTTGCAGAAGGTGTGGAAACCGGACGTAGAAATGTTCATCACGTAGGGCCCTTTGCTTCACTCATTTATTTTCTATTTATTATGCAGAATTGAACAGAGAAGCCTAATATACGTTTAGTAAAAACAGTTTGTTATTAACACTGTCCTTGTTCCTAACGCATGTAAAGTAGCACTAAAAAAGTAAGAAATATACATCAGGACCTTGTAGCATACCCTTTAACCGAGCACTACAGTCGAGACCCCAGCTGATTCTAAGTGTCATTCGTATTAATAGTTTAATATAAATATTAAAGTGTATTCCCCGTAGGCATACTCGGGTTTTGTAATGCAACAACTTGATATTTTGTTTCATTTTCAGCGCAGACGACAATCCTATGTTGTACAGTGCCACATACGGGGACGTGACAATGTGTCAGTTGAGATCCAACGGAACCGTCGAATGGTTGCCTCATCGCCGCGTGTCTAGTACATGCGCAGTTGATGTTTATTTCTATCCGTTTGATTCTCAGTCATGTGGGCTTCACATCTATTCCCCTACACTACCAGCTATATTTCTAAATTGGACAGTAGCATCACCTATTGACGCGACCCGTGGATCAAACCTATCGTCCAGAGAATGGGAAGTTATCAGCTTGGATCACTCTACGTATAATAGCAAAGATGCTGCGGTATCAATAATCATTGAACTTAAGATAAATATTCGTCGCAACTTTTCCTTCTTTTCTCTTGCTATCTTGCTACCTTCGGCTCTCCTTGCAGTCCTTACTCTGGCCATGTTTTGGATCCCGCCTAACTCCACGGATAAAATGTCTATGGGTATGTAAACATTTTGTGTTGGGCCTATATAGTTATGCTAATCATAAAATGTCCTTGGGTACGTGCTTCTTTCCAGTAATATCAACATTTAACTTAAATGGTCGTAAAATGAGAAGGCAGAAAATTGATGAGATCAGAGAAATTACGAAGACAAACGATTTTTTTTCTATAGAAAATATTAAAAAATAAACGACTCACAATATTAAGTTTGGTTCTAGGAATGGCCATATGGACCTGTCTCTGTGTGATCCTCCTGGTTTTGGTTGGTATTGTTCCTGGGGGCGGCGGAAGAATCCCCTTAGTTGGTGAGCATATATTTTTAAACGATCATCACATGTCGTTAATATCCGACGCCGTACGTTTGACAGCCGTAGAGAAATAAGGCTTTTGGGTCAGGGACGGATCCAGAGATAATTTGTGACAGTCTTCCAAACTGACGTTGTTGATCCATCCTCCATTTTTTAACGTCTTCCGACAGAAAAAAAAAATTAAAAATTAGATACCCATCAATGTAAACTTGGCAAATCTGAACGTCTTTCGGAAGACCCAGAAGACGGCCTCAATCCGCCCCTGTGACTAATAGCGGAATGGGCTGCTCATTCTTTACTGAGATGCGTGTAATGCCAGTTGTATCTTGGGCTCCCCAGGTTCTTTCTTCATCTTGAATCTGGTTCTTGTGACTGCAACGATGATCGTCATGATTGGCACGACAACAATGGCAGAGAACTGCACCCCCGTGCCACGGTGGCTCAGCAAGGTGAGGCAACCCTAAATGTAATTTATAAGATTCGTTTTCCACAATTGCTTTCCATATCAAATTACTCGTTGAGGGTGAATTGCTAGTGGCAAACTGTGTAATTTTGAAAATTTTCTCCGATAGCGTTTTTTTTTTTTTTAACATGGATATTGCTTCGATTAAGAGAATAAAATAACTATCAAGATGTTTCTGTGATGATCCCCGATGTTCGGTATTCCTGGGGAGTTACATGTACATGTGGCAATGCATCCTACAGCGTGCATGGTAAGGACACTGTTTTTTTAATTGGCAACTATTTACAGGTGATGATGACGCACGTGTTTGGCACGTATGGTACAAACCAAGCACAAAATGAACGTATTGAGCCCCAAGAAAACTCTGCGAGGAAAGCTTCAGTGGTTGAATCTATTGAGAGGAATGTCAACAGCGATATTGAGAAAATACCATGTCACAGCTGTGGAAAAGAAAGAAAGGGATACCAGAAAGAATGGCAGTGTATTGCGAAATCATTTGATCGCCTTGTTTTTTGGTTGTTTTGTATAGGAATCACAATTTCAAGCGTGTGGATTTTAATTGATTTCTTCAATGGTTGAAACCGTTTCAGACATTTTTCATGTGATTATCAATGACTCTTTATCTTGCGACTTTAATTGATATACTGGTAGACAATTCCACTTTACCACGCATTTCATAACATGTGTCAATTTGAACACAGAAATGTATCATTATGACCTTATTTATTTCGATCTTGCGTAATGTAAAAAAATCATTTGGCCATAGGAAACAACTGCATGGAAAATAAGAAATTTAAAATAAAAAGTGTATGTAAGAATCGGATAACCGATTTCTTGTTTATTTTGATTAATGTAAACTTAAGCGGCCCATTTGCGTGATCTTTTACGTGAGGAGGCAGGATTGCGAAGAAAATTGATGGACACTTCAACAGCGTGGCTGTTTTGTAGTTAGCATTCCGTAGGAATAGACTTTTTTTTGCGACACTCCTTTGTGCTTTTATGATAGTTCAGACACCACATAGTATAATAACGTCAAGTTACTTAGATGTTCAGTGATTTTGTAGAGGAAATTCAGCTTTCCAGGATAAAAAGGAATAATTGACATCCACGAAAGCCAGCAATGTGAGTTTTTTATGATTGCTCTGTTGTACTGTATAAGTTAGTTTAACATTCTTAATGCAGTTTAAAATTGTTTGTAACACTCTGTTTTATTTAAGAATACTTATTTATGTTTGTTTTTTTTTTTGTTTTCGTTTTAGTCAGAACCATTGGACTACAAGTACATGCGTTTCTGATGCTGGTTATTGAAATAAACATACAGAATATTAATCAAGACTTTATTGTTTTCACTTAAGATCCGTGGGATCTTACAGTGTATACATAAACATTGTAGACGTATCTCTTTCTTTCATTCTTCCTCTCTCCCTCTATCTTCCTTTTTCATGTATACAATTTCCTGGGAATATCTCTTTGGTTGTCGTTTCTATCACCACGCCTTTCAATATCAAAGACAATTATAAGACGGACGTTTTGGAAATTCATCGATGGGTTTCATGGCTGCTTCCTATTTTTATCAGCAAAGTCGAACAACTTTCCATAACAATATACACTGAAGAACAAACATATCTCCAGCAAACTGGTTCTGTTTATCTTTTGAGATAATTTAGGGTAAATAAGTTGAAGTCGCCTTCAATTTCAAGTAGTTAGATAAAAGTAATTTGAATCAACAGTGCACTTTTTGAAAGTCGTTAATTCCAGTCACACACACTGGATTTTGTCATAATGCACACCATTATAACTTTATCATTATAAATAGTAGTCATTAACTAATAGTTGACTCTCCCTCAGATTCTCCCACAGTCTTTTTTTCTTACTGGAAAATGCGCATCAAAAGTAAGTACATTTACCCTATTTTCAGAACAACAGAGACGTTTAAGAGTATCTACGAGGAATTGCTTTTATCACAGTTGTGCTTACACATTTCATGTTTCATGTTGATCGACACTCGATGAGTAACTTCTTCAAATATATATATATTTAGAATACTCGCGCCGTATAATGTATTTATTGGAAGCAACAAAGTGCATTACTTCCGCAGGCTACTTCCTCATAATTGCAAGAGAACAATATTCCATTAGCTAGTTATTTTCAACGCACCAAGTCCAGTAACTGATTGTTTTAATGTTTGTTTAGGCTGAAAGGGAGTTGCAATTCCTAGCGGGGTAAAACAAATCAATGTTTGGCATCTACAATGAGCTCGTGTCGTACAACTTCTATTTATATTACCACAGTACAGGGGTTCCTACGCATCGTTGAAAAATACCAATCGGTCTTTCCTTCTGTCCTTTGATGAAACGATGTTATAACAAGCACAATGAAGGAATGGATACGGATCTTTTTAGTGATTTATCTAATCACAGGTGAAATAATATTTACTTTAAGCAGTTTACTATTTTATTTTATTAATAATTTAGTGTGTTGAGAAAGTTTGAGATAGTGTACTAGTTGGTTAAACCTTTAAATGTTTTGAGAAATGGCACGTGTAATGCATGTAATTGCCATGGTGTTGCACCATCATCAGTCACGAATTTCTTTGTAAAATGAATATATCTGTACATGGTATTTCTGGCAGCTACACGAGGGAATTCTGACATGGACCGTCTGCTTGAATATGTCAGCAACAAGACGAACTCCCTGTCTATCCCGCTACCTGAGGATGGAGGACCTCTGCCTTTCAGAATCCTACTGAGGCTAAGCGCCGTATACAACCTGGTATGTGGTCAATTATGTCATCATATTCACTTAAGGAATTAAAGTCTAAGAAATTGACTCGCAGCTCTTCCTACATTCAGTGGTATTTAATGTCGGGCTGTCTTCAATTTTCTCACTGTTCTAGCTTACTACACACCACAGCCAAGAAACACTTATATTAGATACACTTATACATATATACAGTGTGTAGCCATGGGAAAATGCCATGGCGCAAGAGGAAAACGGACAAGCCCTGTCCGTTGCGGTTGAAAGCGGAGAGCGACAGTTAAAATTACCAGTACACTTTGACATATTCCTTGAGTGTTTGACAGACTTTTCAAAATGCTAGGAATATGACGTACATTTGAAACATTTAAAGTAACATTTCTTTTTAAAATAATTTTTCTTGCAATTCAGGACGAAGTTCACCAAACGCTGACTACAAGTTTATTGTTCATTATGGTGAGTTTTCCCTGTAACAATTAGGCCAGTATAACGTGAAGCGGTACTTACTTCATTATTTCAGCAAAATGATTTTAACACTATACCTCAATTTATTTTGAAGCATTTGTATTTTACGGTTTTAATTACGTACAGTGTGTCTATTCATATAGCCTTCATATAGCCGTCGCATACGCCGCCGTCGACGTGCACTTTCCACTCTCAAAGCGATAAATTGGAAAAAGAATGACTTTTTATCATCGAACTAACTGGCCTGCTAAAGGACTAAAATACATGTTAAGTTCGAATAGCAGCTTTACTGGGCAATTTACTTTAATTCTGCAGTAGGTGATATTGATGTTTAGCACCATGCACATCTAATTTTTTTCGGCGTCATCATAATTCTGAACTTAATGTCTGTACATTTGTTAAGCTTTGCTGCCTTGTTGCATCCTCATCTAAGATACATACGAACATTGAACGTATAGCTTACTCTGAGGGAATATTATGTAACACTTTGTGAAAAACTTGAAAGGAGATCTATGCACACACATACACACTCACACTGTATTCACTGTCAAAAGATATGTGCGCAACATTCTTAGTTTAAGTACCTTCATGTTTTACAGCACTGGACAGACTATAGACTCAGGTGGAATCCAGCAGAGTTCGGCAATATTTCCTTGATAACCCTACCCTTACACATGGTCTGGAAGCCGGACATTCAGATTTCAAACAGGTGTGTATATGATAAATTTTAACCATGAACAAGAAACTGGTTTAAAACTGCAGTGGGCCTTCTTTGTTAATATCTGAGGTAAAACGAAACCAAAAGAGGTGATATTTTTATAGACATATATTAAAAAGAAGGGAAATGAAATGACATTTACTGGATATTAGATTTTAACAAGCATTTTTCCCACAACAGTAAGTAAGGCAGCAGGTAGATTTCATTTATTTTTGTTTTATGCTCCATAACTGTTTTGTTCGCAGTGCAGACGACAACCTCCTGCTATACAGCGCCACGCTAGGGGAGGCAGTCACGTGCAGATTGTTCTCCAGTGGCGTCATTGAGTGGACTCCTCTTCGTCACGCGTCTACCACGTGTCCAGTAGATGTTTACTTTTATCCATTCGACACCCAGTCATGCAGACTTTACATAATGTCCCCGACGTTACCAAACACTTATATCAATTGGATAATTGAGTCGCCTATCGACGATACCCAAGGCACAAAGCTTTCGTTGACAGAATGGGAAACTGCGGCCCTGAATCACTCCACAATCCAAGTACACGATGATGAAGACAATATAGCAATAACTGTCTTGGTATATATAATACGAATTCAACGACATCTTTCCTTCTTTTCGCTCACGATTTTTCTACCTTCAGCACTTCTTGCAGCCCTTACCCTGGCCATGTTCTGGGTTCCTCCCCAGTCCACCGATAGAATGTCTATGGGTAAGTGCATATTTCATGTACACCTTACATACCGGTACCTTGACAAATTTGGCTTGCAAGTATGTTTTAGTCGAACGCATGCATTGCAGTATATATGTTAAAAAAAAAAAGCAGATGGATCGGAAAAATCATGGAATTCTACTCTTCCCAGTTGAAATTTGCCTCTACATTTTTACAGTCAAAGGGGTTAGATCATGCTAAGTATTACAATCATAATCACAAATATATATAATCACACATCAAGTAATTTATTGAATTATCATATAACCTGTTATGAATTGATCCTAAGCCTGTTTATACATTTCTTAAGCAAAGAGAGCTGGACAATGGCACTACACTATAAAATAACATAGAATGGTTAATTGTGCCAAACCAAATCAAGTCCGTGATTCCAAGTTAATACTTTGTTTCCAGGAATGGCCATATGGACCTGTCTCTGTGTGGTCTTACTGGTGTTAGTCGGTATCGTCCCCGGTGCTGGGGGCAGGATCCCCCTACTGGGTGAGACATATACAACATAGCCTCCACTTAAGTAGTATACAAAATGCTCTAAGAGATTTAATTTCCAAAGTTGTCATAATTTACTATGTACAAATCAAGTGACCTTGTAATCAGTAAATATAAACTCGCAATTTGTTTGCAAACATTTGATAATTATACATCTATTTATGTATTGTTTGTACATAGAGTAACAGAATCAGTGAATGCATAAATTGTCTATGTAATGTAATTGTTTTACGTGGCAATAACATAATGTTATGCAGGTTCTTTCTTCATCCTGAATCTGGTTCTTGTGACTGCTACGATGATCGTCATGATTGGTACGACAAGAATGGCGGAAAACTGCACCCCCGTGCCTCGGTGGCTCAGCAAGGTAAGGTGTAAGTGATCAATGATTTTAAGAATGATTTGAATTTTTCTTCAGTCAACAGCTAATATTGAGATAGGTTTTACCTCCAATATTTCGATGTCTATCAGGACATCTTCTTGAGGGAATGAGGCTATCCAGGTGAATAGCCTCTACTCAGGAGGTGTACTTGCCCCCCCCCCCCCCCCATTGTCTTAGGAAAGGGAGGTAGAGGTCAGAGAGGATGGCACCATCATTTCTATTGAGACTGGTCCCTGTCTTTTTNTCCACATAAAAAAGACAGGGGCCAGTCTCAATAGAAATGATGGTGCCATCCTCTCTGACCTCTACCTCCCTTTCCTAAGACAATGGGGGGGGGGGGGCAAGTACACCTCCTGAGTAGAGGCTATTCACCTGGATAGCCTCATTCCCTGAAGAAGATGTCCTGATAGACATCGAAATATTGGAGGTAAAACCTATCTCAATATTAGCTGTTGACTGAAGAAAATTCAAATCATTCTTATAACTTAACACAGCTGATGAAATTCTTCTCTGGATCAATGATTTTATTTTTAATCATAACAGGTTGTTTTGGTTTGTCATAGGACTTTGTGTCATTTCAAGTGAATTAAGCAGTAAAATACGATATTTTTAAAGTGAGCTTCGTAGGACTTTGTGTCATTTCAAGTGGATTAAGCAGTAAAATACGATATTTTAAAGTGAGCTTCGTTTCACAGAGAAGTAAGTTTTATTGACCTGTGGGTCTATATTTTTTACAATTTCATCAGATGAGAAA